TCGCTTTATCAAAAATATACGCATACCGGTAATCGCATGCACCCCTTACCGTCGCCTCGAACGGCTCCTCCGCCACCAGGCGCCCCGCCGCCAGACACGCCTCCGCCCACTCCACGCCCACCACCCAGCAGCCCTGCATCACCGCGTGCAGGTACTTCACGGTGCGCACCGCCGCACGGCCCTGCGGCGTCAGCTTGACCACCAGATGGGTCAGGTGGCTGCGCAGCGGGAGGGGCAGCAAGGGTGGAGGCAAGAAGAAGGGTGGCACAAAGGGTGGTTAACTGGTTTGCGCAATACCGATAGACCGTATGTACCGCACCCAAAGCTGGGGCACGTTCTTGCATGGAAGCGGCAATCTGCCGTACCCGCGGTGACGGGAACTGGAGGCTAGCAGATCCCTAAGCCCCTTCCTCCCTCCTCTCTCCTCCCACCCGCCCTCCCGCGCCCTCCCCAAACCCGCACCACCACCACCCACCCACCCGCACCCCGCGCCCCTCAACTCACGGTGTCACGTCCTCCACCAGCTCTACACCTCGTACCCGCCGAGCCAGCTCCCGCAGCCGCGCTCGCTCAGTCGACGCCAGCCCCGTCGACAGCACGTAACACGGCTTCTGCCTCCGTGCGCCGGCGGCGCCGCCAGCCCCCAGCGCCGCCGCTGCTGCCGGCGGCGGCGGCGCAGCTCCAGTCGCTGCGGATTCCCGGTCGCGGCCGCGGCCCCGGCGGGGGCCCCCGGCGGCGGCCCCGGCCGGCGGCAACGCCCCTCGTCCCTCGCCTGACTGAGGCTGCTGGTGTTGTCGGGCCCCAGGCGGTGCCGACTGCGGCGGTGGCGGCGGCGGCGGTTCGGAGCGGTGTCTCCTGGCCGCCGCAGCAGCACCCGCCTCGCGGCGACGGCGGCCCTGCGGCGCTGGGGCGGGGGCCGCCCCTTCAACATCGGCTGCTGCCTGCGGAGGTGGCGGCGGAGGCGGCGACGGCGACTTCTCCTCGCTTGGAGAGCGTGGGGCTGCAGACCTGGGCGCGGCGGACTCGCGAAGCAGCCTGGATGCACCTGCAGGAAGGGGGAGGCCCGGCATGTCGGGTAGGGACGTGTTCAGAAAACTGGCCGCGAGGAGGAACATGAACTGTGAATGTGTAAGGACGTGCATGCGTAAACACAAGAACATATGGCATGGTAAGATGGCTTTCATACATCGGCCATGAGAACTTCGCACCCCCTGGATGAATTTTGCTGTTGGTGTGATCACCTCTCGCCCTTGAAGCGTGCCCAGCTTACCCTTCCTTGCCGCCACAGTCCCGCTGCCGCCGCCATTACGTCGCTGCCCGCCTGTAAGACATGCAGCCGCCTGCTGCGGTCTTTCCTTGTCAGCTAGCCCAGCAGCTGGGGCCACGAGAGGGGCCTCAGCAGAGGCTGCATGCAGAGCAGCCACCTCCGCCCCAGGACCTTTCACAATCCGTCGCTGCTGCTGAGGCAGCTGCTGTTTCCCCGGGTGTGGCGACATGCTGCCTGGGGCGCTCCGACGGCGACCAGCTGCCACCCCGCATGCAGCCGCAGCACCCCCAGCCCCAGCCTGCGGCAGCTCCTCCTGCTCCTCTTGTCCGCACTCCTGGCCTGTCGTACCTCGGGTATTTGCCATACCCAAGCCAGCGCCCGCTCGCCGTACAAATACAACAGGCGCCGTTTGCGGGCGCACCTGCGCCTCCCTCGCGGCAACCTCCTGCTGTCCCTCCGGCGCCGCGACCCTGCACACAGCCTGCATGCAGCCGCCAGCCGCCACCCCCACCTGCCCCGCTCGCGCACCGCCGCTGCTGCTGCGTTCACCGTAGCCGGCCGCTTCTGGGTCCTCGACCCTCACCACAGCAGCCCTTCCATCCTCACCGCTGACTGATGCCGCCTCGGGTTGCACGTGGGGAAGGATGTCCGCTGCATCGTGGTCGCCTAGGGTGGCGGTGGCGGTAGCGGTACCCCCTTCCGTACGGTCTGCAGCACCAGCCGCTTCCCGGTCCATACCAGCTCCCCCATCATCTGGTGCCGGGACATCTGCGGCGGCGGCAGTTACAGGGGCCATGGCCGCGTCTGCACGCCCATGCACTTGCTGCTGCGCCCCTGATCCGGACGGCTCCATCGTGAAGTCCACTTGTGATGCTGCAGACCGCGCCACAGGGAGTACTGGCTGCTCCTGCCGCTGCTGCTCCTGCTGCCGACACCCCTCCTGCTGCCGATGCTCCTGCTGCTGCTGCAATTCGCCATCCGCAGCAGCAGCTGCTGCGTCGTCAGAGAACGTCGCCCTGCAACCCTGCTGCGGTTGCAGTAGCAAGCCACCCGCAGCCCCTGCACCCAGGGAACCCTCTTCCTCCCTCCCGCAACGCCCCACGTCAGCAGCACCTGCACCACGACACGACCCAGCTGCGGCTGCAGCAGCTTCCACCGCGTGCCCATTTCCTCCAGCGCTGCCGCCGCTGACGGCGCCCTTGGCGCCCTCGCCTTCAGCACCCGCTGCATGCGCATCTGTTAACCGCTGGTCGATCTCGCCTAGAAACATGTTCACAATGCTGAGCTCAAACTCCAACGCTTCGCGCTCATGACCCGTGGGTCCCGGCAGCGCAGCCAGGCGCCGCAGCCATGCCGCCTCGTCAAAGCCATCCTCCCAGCCGTCGTCATCAGCTACTCCATGTACGGCAGCGGCAACGCCATGCGTGTCCGCATGCAGCCCCCGGCCTTGTACGGCGTCTTGTCGTATGGAATCCGCCTGCAGTCGGCCCATGAGGCTTACCACCGCCTCCTCCAATAGGCAATGAAACTGCAGGTAGGCGTTGTTGACGCTGGGCGTGCTGCGGCGGATGCTGACCACGGATCCCGGGCGCTGCACGCCGCCGAAGCCACCCGTGCCGCCAGGAGGTGGCTTGCTGTTGGACGCTGAGGGCCATCCTGCGGCTGGCTGCAGGCGGGGTTGCGGCAGGAGGTTTGCGTTGGGCGTGGCGACAGTCGCGGTGATGGCTGGGGCTGCCGCTGCGGCTGCGGCGCCCTCTGCATGGACGCAGGCTGGCGGGTTGAGGTTTATGACCCCTTCTTGCGGCGTGGCGCAGGCTCCATCTCCCGCTGCAGTGCGGAAGGGGCTTAGGCCGGTCTGAGGATGGGACAGCTCTGATCCTGGCGGCGTGAGGTGCGGGTGGTGCAGGCCGGGCAGGCCTGCAGCCAGGTAAAGCTCCGCCGTGCATGACGTGCCACCGGCGTTCGAGGCATGTGGGTCGCCGTGCGTGCGGAAGGTGAAGGCCAAGCCTGTCGGTTGCTGTTGCTGCTGCTGGTGTTGCTCCGCAAACGGTGTTCCAGCCGTCCCGGGCCGTGTACCCAGCGGCACTAAGCCTAGGGGGCCAGCCCCCTGCAACTTCGGCTCATGACCCAGATCGCTTCTGGCGGCCAATTCAACGGACAACCGCTGAGCGTCGGATATGACCCACGGGTCGACATTACCCACTGCCTGCGCCGCGAGCCTTTCCTCCCGCGCAACCGCACCACTGACGTCCGCATCTGCCCGTGCGCCTCCTTGCATGTCGTCCTGCATCCTGCCTCCAGCCATGAAGTCCACAGCCATAGCTGAGTCCGCGTTCACACCTCTGTCAGGTGCTGCTTTTTCCTGCTCCAGCTCCAGCTCCGGCATCACAGCGCCGTCCTCATAACAGAGCCCATCCCCGTGCTGCTCCGTCCGAAGCCGCTTATGGCGGTTCAGACGTGCTCCAGCCGGCGCCCGAGCCCTGGCAAGCTGCCCCGGACGTGTCACATGAGGACCGGCGCCGCAGCTGCCGCCATCGGCCACATGGAAGGGGCCAGCGGCTGCTGCATGCTGCGCTGAGGTACCGTCCTCGTGGCTGTTGCGCCCACCGCAGCTGTCTTCAGCGTCGCTGGCTGCCCAGTTGACATCAGCGCCGCGGGCTCCGGGCGCTGCCGTAGCAGCCTCAACTAACCCGCGATTGGCAGCCGCGCCCCAACCTGCAGCGGAAGTGCAGGATGCAATACACGGCACCATGTTACTGCTACTTGGGATATGGCGGCTGTAAAAGGCCCTACAGGTACGGATGGGATGTGCCTGTGCACGCAGGCTTGAAGTGCTTGACCTCTTACGACACCCAGAGAAGCCCATGCAGCCCGGCAATTAACACATTGCTTGTCACTAAAGCTGTTTACAAACATGGGAACACCGTGATTCAGCGCCAGTGTAAGGCTCGCCACGCACCTGATAAACCAAGGATCATTTGAGCATGATCCACGGCAGTCTGCAGCTGCGGATTTTTCTTCAAGTCGCGCTTCCAGTATTTGATCCGGCATGTTGGGCACTCGGACTGGCTGATGCCAGGACCTTCCAGCGTGGCAATTGCACATTTCCTGCGTCAAGGGAGCGCAGTACATGGCGAAAGGATAGTATTAACACAAAGCGTAACTCATAAGACAAATGAGTTTTGCCTGAGAGGGTTATCAAAGGAGCGGGAGCAGGGAACGGAGACGCTCCCATCCACACATGTAGGGGATGGCATTTCGGGACCAGCCTTCGCCCCAGGGCACACGCAGCAATATGTGAAACATGCTGCCGGGCTGACTTACTCGCAGAAGGTGTGTCCACAGGGAAAACTGCTGGCATCTTTCCAAGGCTGCTTGCTGCAGCAGGAGCAGTAATTGGCCTTAACACCCCAAAAGAACGCGTAAGAACCACCCAATCCTGACTACCACGTTTACCCACCATAAGGGGCATCTGCATTCATTCAGGAAGGCTTGGCAGGCGGCCTTCAGCGCGCCCACATCTGGGCCGAACATCACTATTCGCTACCTGGTTAGTCCATTAGCTTTAAGCAGTTGCAGATACAAGTTAATTCACTTAGCCTATCTTTGCTCTCTGCCAGCTGTTCCCCTTTTTCCCAAGAACCCAAAGAAGTTAGGATCAGCCCCGAAACCGTTTTGGCGCGAGCCCAATGAATAAAGAAAGCAGAAGACGCGTTGTCGTTTAGTCTGTATACTTTACACCTTTAGGCCATACCTTACTACTGCAATACAATGCTCGCCTTGGCAAGTCGGCCCGTGTTCCGGGCGTGCGTTCCTAACGCGCGCCGATCCTTGAGCGTTCGCGTGCTAAATGAGGCAAAGGCGCCCGCTCCGGGTGGAAAGAGGGCAAAGGCAGTGCAGAAGGAGGAGCCCAGCAAGGCCAAAGCCAAGGGTAAGGCCAATGATGACAACCGAACCTTGTTTGGCGATCGATCATGAATCATTGCCGAAATCTGCGTAGTGTTTTCTTCTGTTTGCGCTTCTATGCAAAGTGAGTCTGCCTGATCGGGCCTACCTATTGTCGCCCAGGATCCGCTCCCAAGAAGGAGGAGAAGGGGCCAAAGAAGGCACCTTCTGCCTATAACCTCTTCTTCAAAGCCAAGTTTCCGGAAATTAAGAAGGCCAAGCCGGATGTGTCCCTAGTGGACGGGGCTGCGCTGGTCCGGGAGGCATGGGCAGCCGGTAGGTTCTCCGGAACGCGTCATAAGTAGTAAGACGCTGTAATATGGGCGCCTTGCCGGGCTTAATTCGTGTTGCTTACTTGTCTGCAGCGACGCCGGAGGCCAAGGTCCCCTTCCAGCGGGAGGCGGCCGAACTGAAGGCCGCCGTGGCTGTCAAGCGGGTAAGTGTTTAGCGATTGGGGGACGCCACCGGGGCTGCGGTTAGTACTAAAATCTTGTGGGGTTTGCCGCGAACCTCCGGCTTTCCCTCTAGCTAGTTGGGTTTCTGTCATGGCAGTACAACACTCTCACCCCCAGCGGACAATGATGCATGCGATTTTGCGGGCTTGCGCTTGTCAACTTTAGCCCACCTACGCCCTGGCAAACTTGTGCCATGCCGTACTTGCGGAATGCCCGATGGATACACTCTATCTCCACGCCGTTGCACCGACCACTCGCTCCCACAGGCTGAGTTTAAAGCCGCGAAGAAGGCCAACGCCAGGCCGCTATCCGGCTACATGCTCTTCTCAAACAAGGAGCGCGCTGCAGTTAAGGCTGCCAACCCGGACAAGTCGATGATTGAGATCTCCGCTCTGCTAGGAAAAGCGTGGAAGGAGCTCCCGGAGGCGGAGAAGGAAAAGTACAAGGCTGAGTCTCAGAAGCTGAAGGACGAGTGGAAGGCCAAGCAGGCGCCATCGTCGTAGAAGTCGCTGGCTGCAATGCACGTCTGGATGATAGCGTAGGAGAGCTGGAGCGGGATTGGGGGCCACGCACGCATCTTGGAGTGGCGCATGTCTCCATGTGTAGGCAATAAGTTTTGCGCGGATGGCGAAGAGTATTTTATGCTAACGGAGGCGTAAGGAGGGTGTTGAGGACGATTGTCAGGCGGCCCCTAAGTGTGTGTTGTCGAGCTTGCCGCTTTGGTAGTACAATTGGCGGTTTGCTCTTACTTAGGCATACACGCAAATGTTACAAGGGGTTATTTTTACGATGCAGCATTCTTTTCGCTGGGTTTAGCTCAAGTACTCTGCAGCGTTGTCTTGGTTGTTCCTGACCGAATGACACGCCTGCTTAATGTGAATTGGACCCAAAGTTGTTGGATTCGGGTTGCATCACGTGCCTATCTTGAATCCTGTCTTGGGACACGCTGGATTTCGAGCAACGTCGAAGGGGTTTGATCTTGGCGTTTGGTAATTGGACGTATCGCAGGCCTTTTGCTGCAGGAAGGGCGTGCTTTGCATGGCCAAAATGTAATAACTCCACGTCAATGGCTGTTTGGGTCCGGTTCTTTGTGCCTTCTGCAGCCATACATAGGGAGCCCAACTGAACCGTCGTCAGGACCAGGACTAAAGAAAAGATCCTCCCTTTTGTGACCGTCGGGCTGTTGCTTACCAACCAGCGCATAAGCGATTTACGGACGTTGGCCCATGCCCTGCTTGCACCTTGCTTGTCCCTGGTAATAGTTTGCCGATACGCACACGCCTCCCAAACCCGCCAATGCGCCGGCGCCCATGTATGCACACCCTCTCAGCCTGACCAAACGCCGGCGCCCATAAGCGCAGACCTTCCTACCCTGCCCGAATGGCCCGCGCTCATGCACGCAAGCCTCCCCGCATTGCTGAACCGGCGGTCCGTGCTACACATTGCTCGCAGCGGCCCGTTCCCTATCGCAAGGTCTAGAGGCATAGGGGGTTAGCATGCTGCATGCAGCATCAGCAGCAAGGTCTCTGTTCGCATACGCCCAACATATACACACACCCACACACTAGTCCGGCACGGCTCGACCCAATTTCGACGGGACGGGAGGGGCAAAGCAGGCTGGGCTTAACTTGGTGGTCCCCATTACGTGCTTGGGTGCCCAGGTGCTTCCCCTCCCAGCTGTCAGCCTGCGTCAGTGTCGGTGCTGTTGTTCCCCGCGAGCATCGCCTTGAATGACTATCACTGTAGCATGGTGGAGTGTTTTGCAACCGACAAAGCCAGTAGTATTTCCTTTGGGTCCCGCTTGTTGATTCCTCAGCCCTTACACCTTGACGTATTGAAGATCACGTTTTATGTCCGCGAGCCCCTTATGCTTAATCATCATTGTTGCCCTAGCCATTGTTTAAGGAGGCGAGGTAGTATTGTAAGGACGCATACGTCTTCACATCTTCACGTCCGCGTTGCAAACTCATTGCAGTGACTTGGATAGAAGATAGGGCACGGTGAGAATCTCTTAGACTGATATACGTTAACGCTTTTCGACAAGCCGGTAGGGTGCGTTCATAGCGATGAGACAGCCCATGTCACATTGCACGACAGCCCGGAGACATTGTTCGAAATGGGATCCATGCTGAGTCTCGTCAGCGAAGAGCCTACCGCGAACTCCATAGAGACGAATAGTAGTAGAAGGTGCTGGTCTTGTGGTTCTTCAGGGGTCCGTTACAAATACTTGACTGTACCTTCCCGGGCCGTTTCTACGCTATACGCTTAACTTCGCGAGGCAAAACTTACCATTCTTATATCACAGCGCAGCTTCCAATATATAGCTGCGCCGGTCATAGGCGGTTTCCAATAGGAGCGGCGATGTGGATATAAGCTCCTGCAAGGATGCCCTTACCGGCTTCGCAGGGGCTCGGCGAGGACAGTGGTACGCTCTATTGAATATATTGGCTGTAATAGCAGTTTTATAGCGTACGAGGCAAGAACCCTGGACCACGGCATTCTCATGTTGACGGAGGACCGGTTTGCGTGTTACAGGCGTCAGGGGCAAGTCTGGCCATGTGTCAGGGCGTGTAATATCGAATACACGGACCGTAAAGGGGTCTCCTACAGGTATGCCGGACCTGACGGGTGTTACGCTGCGTCCTTGGAAGTGGCTCACCAATTTTGTCCCAAACGCCCTGAAGGGAATGCGGAAGGAGGCCGCATGTTGCCAATCAAAGCCAGCGAGGAGCTTGCAGGCCTAACGTTGTCAAACAGCCAGCCTGCTATGCCTCCGTCAACCGCCGGCAGGGGCCGCCGGTCCACCAGCGCTTCGAGTGGAGCCCCGACCAGCGAGGATTCATTTGACGCAGCCCCGCCCCGTCGCCAGCCCCACCCAATAAACGCAGAACTTGTGAAGCTGGTGGCGAGCCATGCACCCCTTGAGCTTGCGCAACTCGCAGCCGTCAGGCAGAAAGCTCGATTGAAGAAAGCACACGCATCAAGTACGGACAGTGCAGCGGCAGCGGGCGATGGCGTCCAAACAGAGGACTATGTTGCCGTACAGCACAGCTACGAGCCGGAGCCGCTCCAGGAGGCCGCAGCATTGCAAGCCGATTTGGGGCACGCCAGGCTCCTCATGCGGCCTGCAGCAGCGAACACCGCCGTACCCACATCTGCGGCGGCTAGCCGGCCCAAGTCACGCTCCCCGTCCAGACCATCTCACCTGCCTGCTGCGCCAGCCAAGGGGGCAACCGTTAAACGGGACCAGAACGTAAGTTTCTCTTGCTAACGCATTGCATTGTAGGCTTGCTTACCCGGAATCGTGCTTGCAGTTGCTACCCAACCCAGTGGCGGCGAAGCAAGCCCAACTGCTGCAGCGGCAGGCGGCGGCGGCTGCTTTTGCGCAGAACGTTCAGCGGGAACAGGACCTGCTCCGCGCGGAAAAGGAGCGGCGGCTGAAGGTAGGAGCGGCCTATTATCGTAGGAAGACTGCTGCTGATCGCATGACGTTTAGGGCTTCGCCTTTGCGACTAGGAAGCTGGGAGAGAAACAACGAACTGCATTGCGTAAAAGTGATCACAATGTTGCTGCCGTTGCCATTTGCCCTTCCATGGACTAGGCGGAGCAGGACGCCTTGGCGGCACAGCTGGCGGAAGCGGCGGAGGCTGCCAAGTCAGACCCCGCTGAGGTGGCGCAAGCACCGGATCACAGACCCGCACCCCCCAAACGAAAGAAGTCAGTGTCGCCATCCAGGGTTAGTGGCGCTGCTGCCTTGCACGGTTTGCAGGTAAGCGGTTCGCTACTTTCGCACCGGTCGTCAAAAACATGTAACACTTGGGGGCTTGTCCGTTGTGTATTGGGTGCAGGCGGCCGCTACAGGGCAAGACTTGGCGGAGAAGAAAGCGGCGGATCCGCGGCCATGGCGGCAAGGCATGCGAAAAAAGTCGTCGGTTTCGCATGAGGCGCCGGCAGTGGCTCCCCCAGAGGCTGTGCCTAAGCCAAATACGGACCCGCCACCGCCACGCAATGTTAGCCCCTGTGCTGCAGCTGTACGGACTCGGACCCTGGACCCTGTGGCACGCTCCCAACTGAAGGTGTGCAATGTGGATTTGGGTTCGAGGTGGCGAAGGTAGTTCCCTCGTCAAGTCCTGGAGGGCGGTCTTTGTGAAGCTGGAAAGCCATGCTTAGGATGCTTATAGCAATTAGCAGCCATCTTCCAGGACTGCCAGTTGAAGGATTGTTGGGCCTGCTGCATGCAGGAGTTTACTGCTCGCAAGGCGAAGGAGATGGCTGAGAAGCTGAAGCAGGAGAAGACGGCTCAGTTGGAGGCGAGGACAGCGCACCTCCGGATTATGAAGGAGCAGATGGCGAAGGCCCGTGAGGTGAGTCGCAGTCCCGTGCAGCGCGTGCGAGGCCGACGCCGTTGCTAACTTGCCGCTGCCCAACCATGGCGCAACCGCTGATGTCGTTTGCCTCTTCCTTCAGCGCGCGCAAAAGTACGCCGAGACTGCCAAGGAGAGGCCGGCGGAGTACAAAGAGCCGCGGCCAGCATGGGTCGACATCGCTGTAGATGCCGCACCAGCAACAGCTCAGCATGTCCCGCTCAATCGGTCTGCTGATGTAATGGCTGGGCTGGCGCAGCAGCGTCGTCAAGGAGAGGACGCGCTTCACACGGTAAGAACCGTGGGTCGGTTTGGCGTTTGAGAGTAAGTGCACAGGACATCTGTCGCAAGGGAATTGCCTTGCTTCATCATGCGACTTGTTGCAGTGGGAATCACGCATGGCTGCGCATGCACGCGTGTGCTAACCCGACCGCCGGCTTGCTCGAACAGGTGGTGCGTGCCCAGGAGGCGGACGGTGGTGCAAAGGATAGCCGAGCTGGTCGCGCCAGCACAGCGCCCCGCACGCGCCCTGCAAATGCGGGCAGGTCGCTCTCCGCTCAACCCGTGAAGCGCCAGGTGGGTCTACCAGTGAACGCAATGTGGCTCTCGTCGTCCTGAGTGCGAGTGGTCCAATGTGCGAGGTTGTTGCTGTTACCCCTACCTGAACCCACCTTTGGAATTGCCTTGGACGCCGCGCACAGCCTGCCAAGATTGCCCCGGCACCCGCCGAGGTCTTGCGGGCTGCGGAGCTGGGGGCTCGACTAGCTGCCCGCAAACAGTATGACGAGCGCGTGCGGGAGATGCAAGCAGTAAGTGGCGAATCCTATGGCTAACCCCCATGTCAAGTACGTCACGTGGCTGGGAGTGAAGTACCTATGATGTCTCGAGTAGTATGATGTGTTTAGTCCCCTCGTATGAGCCCATGAGCGCCAGCACTGGGCTAAGGTTGAACCTCCCTTGCACTCCAGGCGGAGCGCCGAGACAGCTCCCGTGGTCGTGACACGTACGGCCGTGATACCTCTCGCGGTCGTCTGCGGAGTCCCACAGCCGGTCGCAAGCACCACTCAGCCTCGCTTCGCTCACCTTCCCGCTCGCCATCCAAGCGGCCAAAGCAGCAGGCCCGGCGTTCCAGATCGGGCTCGCGCGCCGGCTCGGCACAGAGGCGTCGGCCGAATACGGCAGGCCACGCTCCCGTCGCCGCTGCTGCCAGCGGCGGTAGCGGCAACAATGAGCAGCGCACTCCTGGCAGACAAGTGGCGCGCTCGCAGTCAGACGTGCAGGACCCTCGGAGGCTGGACGGCTTGTGGGACTTGGCGCTGCAGCTTAGTGCTCGGCTGGGAGCTATGGAGCAGGGCGGGTACAGGGTCCAGCAGCGTCCCATGCAGGCCTGGCCGGAGGCTGAGGGGCAGCAACTGACAGAGGAGCAGCATCAGTTTTTGCTCCTGGCAGCGCAGCAGCAGCAAGAGCTTGACCGCCTGTATTTGGAGTCCGCGGCGGGCGCCCAGCCTGGTTACCCTTACCCAGTAGCTGTCGTGCCAACTGGGTTGCCATCGGATCCGGTCCTGTCGCCCATGGACGCCGGTCTAGCCCAGGTACGGTCTTTTGCGTTACCCCCGACGAAGGACTGCTGTTCTTTCGGCACATAGCGTTTACACTAGACTCATAGCGTCAGTTTATATCTAAGCTGTGCTCCTGTGTGGCAAGGACGCTTTGGGCAGGCCGCAATATCCATGATCCTTGATTGGGACCCGGCCCTCGTCTGTAGGCGGCACCGAGCAGGCCGCACGTCCACGTGTTCGATGAGGGGGTGGAGGCTAACATCGAGTTTCGCAGCGAGGTGTCTTGGCCCACTGCAGCCCACAAAAAGCTCCGCACCAACGATGGCAGCGGCTATGCTGGCAGCAACGTCGATGGTGCTGCCGGCGGTCCCGTGTCCTTGCATGGGACCGACAGCTTAGCCAGTCAATACCAGGCAGACGTGGACGGACGTGGCGCCTTCAGCGGGGCGGATATTAGCATGGCGGGTAGCGTTAGCGCCTTAACCGAGGACCACGTGCCTGCTAATGTTGCGATACAGACCGGCGGGAGCTTGCTTGCAAGCGATGTGACCTCGGTTCGGGGCCGTGCTCAGGGAGCCGCTGGGGGTCAGGAACAGGTGGCAGCTGGCCGGCACAGCAACGCTCGCTCGGCAAGCCAAGGGAGTCACGGAAGCGGCAAGCGGCGCATGGATGAGGTGGGTGGGTCAGCATGACCTACGTACAGCTATGCACGGGAACAATACATGGGTTCAAGCTCTACTATGCTCCGGTGCGTCAGGCTCGGCTGATCCGTGTCCGGTGTATTATGTTCCTCCCCTACCCCTCAGCAGGACCAAGAAGCGGATGTCCTTCCACTGCGCAAGCACGTGCCAGCGGCGCCCGTTATCCAGATACCCATGCCGGCGGCAACCTCACAAGCCGCCGCTGTGGGTGTCGAGCCCAGTCTCGGTCTGCCAACCGTTGTCGGTCTTCCGTACGACAACGCCACCTTCAGCGCTGAAAGCGCCGACGATGACGGCAACAGCAGCGGCGGCGAGGGGGCGTACGGTCAGCGCGTGCTGTCTATAGCCGAGCTACATGGCGTGCTTGAGGAGAACCCGCTGCTGGCCCAGAGGCTGTCGCTTGAGCGGGAGCGCACTTGGTGGGAGGAGCGCCCAGCGACGGATTCCCCATCCCGGATCAGCATCGCTAAGCGGACTCCTCGCCAGCGGAATGCGGTCAGCGAGGGCAGTGGGATTGCCGTACAGCGGCGCGTGACGAGCAGCATGTCGTACTGTGACGCAGACGACAGCAGGTACGCTGGCAGGGTTGCTAAGCGCCCGGCTGCTTGCGTACCTGTACTGCGCCGCTTGGGCGCATGCCCGCTGGCGGCATGTTTTGAGCCCTCTTTTTCCTGTATCCCTTCCTCTTCACTTCACCCGCTGTAACATGTTACCGATACCTCGCTCCGCTCTTCAACTCTTATTCCCCGCAGTACCGCCAGCAGTGCACCTGGTTCACCCGCGCGGGCGTGCGAGGCTGTTGTGAAGGACTATGAGATGGGGAACAACGCGCTTCAAATTCGACCTGTCAAGACCGAGCTACTCAAGGTGCCGTACTGCGGGGGTTTACTGGGTTTGGGTTTCCCGCGTTCTTGGCCGCTTGCTAAGTGGTCCTTAGCATCACGATTTTCAAAATTTGCCATGTGTCCTTCGCGATCCAGGCGCAAGCGGCGAAGCAGGCTGAGGAGCAGCGGGAGCGAGAGTTTGCCCTTGAAAATGGGGAGCCTGAGGAAGAAGAAGGCAAAGAGGAACTGCCCATGGCGCCCTTCACGAATCCAGGTACGGCAGCCCTTTGCGTCGTTGTACACCCCCACATTCGAGGTATGCCATGACCTCGCGCATGTTGTACAGACTTCCATTGGAGTCGTCGTGAGCAAGATAAGCAACGCCTTATGGATTCTCTGACGCCCGTCGCTCCCCTGCCACTCCCACAGGGGACCCGATGAGCATCATTAACCTGGTTGCCCACAAGGGACGGCTTCCCGCACGGCCAGCCGTCATCCAGCTCTCAGAACCGCCCCTGTCGGGCCCGCGCGCTGCGGAGCAGGAGAGCCAAGCTGTACAGACTGACCACGACGTACTGCTGCTTGCCTCCGGGGCGCGGCCGGCCTCTAAAGTGCTGTTGATACCGGGGCCGCATGGGACGGACCTTGTTTTCTCCAGAGCGCTGGTGCAACCGCAGGTGGCACAGCCGTCCACGGCTGCCCCGCCCACGAAGGAGCTCCGGGAGATTGGCGTGGGTAAGTGCCCATCGTTGCGATCTAGAGTTCCCGTGAATGGCAGTAGTGTTGCTTGCTGCTACATGATGCAACGGTACTACGTGTGCTGTAATAGCGCTTAAGACCAAGGGCGCAAAGGCGCCTACAGACTGCTCATACTTAGAGCCAGCTCTTGTCCTTGCAGGCGAGGGACACATCGGCGCATCCGACCGCGTGGACTCCTCCGCTCAGCAGCTCACGGACAGCTTGCCGCCGTTTGTCTTGCTACCCGCCACCATGCATGCAACAGCCAGAGTAACCCCCGCCAACAGCGAGCGTGAATCTGGCCAATCGCCGCAGCAGCTGCCATTGCAGCCACAGCCATCGATGCAGCAGCTTGTAGGAGAGGTGCTAGCAGGAGCACCCCAGGCAGAGCCGGCTGGCATGGCTGGCGCTGAACCCGCTCAGCCAGGGGCGTATCTTGGGATGCAGCGTCCCGGTGGTGCTGCGGCGGGGACCGAGGCGTCTGACGGCCAGGGCGGCTGTGGCAGCAACGGTGTTTCCGGGGTGATGGCCAGTCCTCCCATGCGTCCGCGCATGGTGACTTTCCTGGACGAGGTTCAGGGCCCTCCGGAGAGGGTGCGGTTGGCGCCTAACGAGCTGTTCCGGCAGATGCAGGATACGCTAAAGACGTAAGTCCTCTGCGCTACCATGCGATGATTGCCCCCTTGTCATGCTCTAGATTGCGTATGCGCCCTGCGGTCTGGCCATGCAGGCATGTGCTCATACCTAAACTTCCTGAGGAGCTGATGACACCGTGCGGTTCCTTCCTTCCTCTTGCAGGTATGAGGAGCTGGATGCAGCGGAGCTCGAGCTGCAGCAAGTCCAGAACGCGCGTGCGATTGCGGCTGTGCAGCGCGAGGCTCACCGCATTGCGCAGCGCTTGGACCAAACAAGCGCTGCGGAGACCCAACTCCATCTCGTCGCGCAAGTGCAAGCCAACATGGTATGTGGTGCGGGGTTCTAAAACACATGCCAATTATGATTCGTTTTGCATGCGGCATGCCATGGGAGTTAGGGAAGCTGCGTTCGGCGTGTTCTCGGTCATGAGTTCGTGACTTATGAGGGATTTCCTGATCTATATTCATCGTATCGGCGGTCTCCCGACAGGATGCCAAGCTGCAAATGATGGAGGAAAGCCTCCGTAGTGAAGTGCGCAAAGAGAGCCTTGGCCAGCTCCACAACGTCACCTCCTTGTTCGTGGAGCAGCTGAACCGCAACAAGGTTGTCCATGCAGCCGTGCAGACCCGCCCCGACTCGCCGCCAGCTCCCAGGCCGGAAATCGGCGTGCAGGTAATGACCGCGGGTACCTTGATACCGCCGTTACAGGCTTGGTTGAGAACCCTTTGAAGCTTCAGAGGCTGTTTATACCTTTTGTCGGAGCCATAGTTTAGCACGCGTGCAAGTGATAAGCTGGCATAGTAAGCACCATTCCAAGCAGACTGGGTAAGCCTCCTTTTCCCCTTACCTTCTTTCGCACGTCCATGCCCGTCAGGTCGAGCCGTCTGTGGGACGCCTCCCGCTCACAACACAGCCCAGCAACAGCTCACCAGCACCGCAGCAGCAGAGCCCTTCCCTGCGATCCAACGCATTGTCGCAATCACCTCATGCGTCGCGCTTGCCAGACTCCCCAGCACAGCTGCTGCTGCCGCAAACCTCCTTGAGGGCTAGCCCGGACGTCAGGCCGTTCTCCTTGGGCCAAGAGGTGCTGGGCGGCCGCTCCACGGCTACAAGCAACGCGGCGTCTGACTACACTGCAGATTTCGAGGAGGATGGCGGCTTGTCAAACAGTAACGCGGCCTTAGGTGGGACCGGTAGTGCGCACGAGTTGGTCGCCTAAATGTTAGCGGTCGTCAAGCAATTGTATGAAGATAGATGCAACCCCCCGTTGTGCTGGAAGGCGAGCTAAGTACCGTATGCGGTACCCGTGTCCCACAGGTCGCACTTCGTCACGCGTCACTTACCGCCAGACCAGCCGTATCTCAGTGCCGGAAAGCGTCTATGAGGAGGACGAAGAGGAGGAGGACGTGATTGAGGAGGAGGACGCTGCGGCGCACCGTTCTCGCCACGCCAGCAGCGCAATCTCTGTCCCTGAGAGCGTGTCACACTACCAACGCGACCGCAAGCCCTCCCGCGCCACCATCCGACTTAAGAGCACGGGATCAATACCTGAGAGCGTGCCTTCGGAGCGTACCTTGTCACAGAGCCCGCTGCGGCAACAGGTGGGTACCAGTACCCCGTCAGCTGCGCAGGTTGCCATTGTGCTACCGGTATCTGGTACTCCTGCACCTTGCATGCGCATGCCCAGGGGGTCGCCTTTGGTAATTAATTGTTCTTACTGGCAACAACAGCATGGCAAAAGATGTCCAATGTCATCAAAGCTTGATATTCTTTTTGAACCTTGCAGGCGAGTTCGCTGTCCGTCCCTGAAAGCGTGTACGATGAGGAGGACCGTCCCAGCCGGGTCCACACACGCTCCGCCCTGCGTCAGGCAAGCACCGTGTCCGTTGCGGAGAGCGTGCGGTCTGAGCGCACTGCGGCTACCTCCACACGTGGGGTTGCCATCACCGCTCCCGCTGGCGAGCGACACAGCACCCTTACTGTCGCTACAAGCGTTCCCTACTCCTCAATCGCCGGTGAGGACAGCAAGGCTTCAAGCTCGGTGCAGGAGAGCCTGCCGCAGCCCCAGGCGTCGGGCTCATTCGGCAACATCCCATCCTCCTCCTCGAGGCGGCGCCGTAGCACCGCCGCTGACACGGTAGGCACCAGCGAGCCCAACTACAGCACGGACTTTGACAACGACTACGAGGAGGATGACGACGGCGTTGCGGAGGAGATTGCGGAGGGCAGCGTTAGCACGATGAAGGGGGCTGGTAATGGCAGCAGTGCGGTTGATGAGGTGGAAGAGGAACCTTCAGAACCGTCGAACGCAGGGCGGCACCAACAGCAGCAACAGGGCCGGCGCACCGCGACTACGGTCTCCTTCCGATCGGTGGTAGAGGAGGAGGAGGATGTCCGGACCGAGCAGCCTTCTAGCTACAGCGAGGAAGCTGATACTAGCGGGCGGCTTGCATCTGAGGAGAGCGTTCCGTTGCAGCAGCAGCAGCAGAGGCCTCCACAGAAGCCGCAACAGCAAGGGGCTTCTCGCGGGCAGCACGCATCTCCCGCAGGGCCCTTGGGTGCCGTGACTGACCCACGGGTCTTGGGCGGCACAGCGATGGCGGCAGCCGGCCAGCTCAACCTCCAGACGCTTATCAGCGGTGCGTATTCCGCCCTGGGCAATGCTGAGGGGGGGTGCTTAACAACGCTTGCCTTTCACGCACCCTAACCGCCTTCGCACATCAATAACCATCATGCCTACACGCCACCGTAGTGACTCCTATCGTACGATATCTACTAAACCTTGTCGCCTGTCTCGCTGCTCCCCACGCATGTACAGGAGGCATTAAGCTGGACGACGCGATGATGGCGTGGTTCATGAGCGATGCCGAGGCGCGCATGCGGCAGGAGCTCGAGTTCCTCACGGGCCGTCTGCACACGCTGAACGCGAGCGCGGCGGCCAGGATGGCGGAGCTGGAGGCCGACCTAACCAACGAGTCGGATGCGCAGAGGCGGCATGTCATCATGCGGGAGCAGCGCCTGCTGCAGGTGATTTGGTTTTTCGGCCTGAGTGGGCTGGCTTGTGTTAAGAAAACTGGCCGCGAGTAGGAACGTACTGGGATGTCGGAAGATGAAGCTTGTGTGGGTGTGCTTCGCGCAGGGTCGGTCTGGTGTGTTCGCTGGGGTTAATTGTGGGGTTTTAGGGTTTACCGGTAAATGGCACTGGGCTGGTCCGCATCCAACCCGTAGTCCAAATCCATTTGCCGTACTAATAATGTTCGTGTCGTTGCGCCTCACCTGACAGGTCCAACATGACGCCGATGCTGCCGACCTCAACCGTCAGATCAGCGCCGTCAAGGCAGATTACGCACGCCAGCAGCTTGTCCTGGAGCAAGCCTTCAGGCTCGCCCAGGTGATCGCCCCATCCGCTGCTGCCTTCAAGAAGCCCGACACCACATCGGCAGCCGGCAAGGCGGCAGCCGGCCTCCAGGCCTCCTCTCGAGCCCCGGCTGCCTCCCCATCCCTTGCAAAGGGCGCCGGCGCCACACCCAAGGGCGCGCATGCTAACGTGCGTCAGGCCGGGGTGTCGCCGGCAGCGCAGCAGCGGCATGCCTCTGCTACATACAGCAGCATCGTATCGGAGGAGAAGCCCGTTAAGGAGTCACTGTCCGGCAGCGTCTTGGAGGAGCAGGATGTACGGCAGCCGGCCTCGGCGTCGGACACGATCCTCACTGACAGGTCCGGGCAGCGGCGACAAACCGCGTCAAGCAGCGTCCTGGAGGAGAACGTACAAGGTATGCGGGAACTTCTCCTTGCCTAAATCCCTGCCTCTGTTCTGCCTCTGTTGCAGAGGTTAGGGTCTTGTTCCATGCGAGTAACCCCCTTACCCTTCCCTTACCCTTCCCTGGTGTGTTTGTAGGCCATAGCGGCTCGGCGGCTTCTGGGGTTCCTTCTGAGTACAGCGATGACTATGATCCACCAAGCGCCTCGCAATCTCGGCAATCTCGGCCCAGCCACCGGCAAAGTAAGTTGGTATGTGCGTGTACTCGCCAAGGACGTTGCGTTCAACCCTCCTACCGCAAAGTAGCGATTGTGAGCTACCCATGGCGTCCTTGGGCGGCGCTGGGGGGCAATACCCAAACGCCCATGCAATCCTCTAATACTGCATACACACGCATGCTTTCCTAACACACGCATGCCTCACCGTGCAGCTGGTAGCATCGTGGCTGAAATCGAGGAGAGCCTCTCCCAGCGCCGCACCGGGACCTCCGGTGGTCAATCGCAGTCGGTTATCAGCGAAGAGGACGCCGACCAGTCGTCAGAAACAGGGGAAGTGAGGTCCAGGGCCAAGCAGCAGCACAGCAGCGGCTCTGTGGCGGTCACGGAGCCCCAGTACAGTGAGGACTTTGCGGACTCGGGCCCTGTCGCGACGGCGCCCCTGCGGTCAGACGCTTCGCAGAGTAAGTGTCCCAGGACGAAGGGGTCCTTACTGGAAGATCTTTGCTCTGGCCTTGACATGTTATGAGCTTCATGCGGTTTTGCTGCAATGTATCCCTGCAATGCAAATGCGCGTGTTGTGCATGCAGGACAAGCATCCACCATCTCTCCTAGCGACCATCTTGACGGCGGTGCTAGTGAGCTGTCAGCCCTGTCTGCGGACCTTGAGCGCAAGCAGGCGGAGCTGCAGCGTCTGCTACGACGGAAGGAGAAGGAGATGCGGGACCAAGAGCGCAGGTGAGGTTCTTTGGAAGATGATTGCCCCACGCTGTGAACCCTGTAAAGGCTAACCAGACAACGCAAATGCATTCTTGTTGCCTGTAGGGCGAAGCTGCTTGCCAAGCAAGCGGCTGTGGAGGAGCTTCAGAAGAAGCTCGCTGCACTTGAGCAGCGTGAGCGAACGGCGGCAGCAACCGCCGCCGTCCGACCGTTGACCCATGGGTCGCCAGCCGCAGCAAGGCCTGCCAAGGACCAAAGCAGCAAGCATACGTCGCAGGCGTCGATTCCTGGTACGTGAGAGGGAGCAAGTTAACACGGGTGGCATCGACTCTCTTCCTAATGCTAGGTGCTTAGGTGTTACCACCCTACTCAGATTCTATCCTGTCTACCCTTGCAGACGACGCGGGCTCCACCACGCCTCGTTCGTTACCGGAGGAACCCAGTGAGGGCCCGCTTTCAATCGCCTCAGAGTCGAGCCAAGACGGCATGCGGGGCCGCCGTGACCAATCCAGCGACGGAAGCCGCCGGCACCGCTCTTCCAGCCCCCAAACGGAGGTCACCGAGTCGGTCGCATACACGGACGACAACGAAAGCGTGACCTCCGCCAGTGTTTCTGAGTCGGCAAGTCAGCGTCAGCAGTCAGACGGTGAGTGCGGCACGCAGCTTGGTTCTATAGCTGGGCTCTGTATGTCTGCGGCGTTGGTAACAACATTTGCCCTTTACGAATGCGTTCAGCGACGACCTCCGGCGTCTCATCCGAGGATCGTGCGGCACATCGTCTACGTGCCTTGCAGCAGGTAAGGATAATTGAACCCGTCTGAAAGCGATCCTTGACATGTTCCGCACCTTTGGACCCTTCATGGAAACACTTCCATGAAGCGGTCATTGTGTGCGCTTAGTCCATGTCCTGACATTATGTTTGCATGAACCCTTTTAACCTTGCAGGCCATAGCAGCCAAGGAGAAAGCGTTGCGGCGTCTGCAGCGGGAGGCACAAGAGGAGGAGCTGCAGAGGCGCCTGCGTGACTTGGAGGAGCAGGTAAGGTTGCATGCAGCGCCTGCAATACCGACCTGGCTGACGGGGTTGGTGGAAGTAGGGTATCTCACACGCGTTGCACGTGACCTGTGTCGCGCTCCCTCCCCTCTGTTTCCTTGTTTCTGTCTAAACACGTTAATATCCTCTTTCTCCTCCTTGAACTCGCTGAACAGGAGAAGTCCCTGAAGTCCAAGCCCCCGCCCAAGCCGCCAAAGGCACCCGCCGCAGCCGCTCTGGACACCTCGCAGAAGCCTGCCAACAGGAAGGCCGCACCGTCCTACGGCGCATCAGGCGATTCCGCGGTCTACTCTGAAGACTTCAACGCCAGTGGCTCTGGTTCTGCCGCCGCCATCCATTCCACCTCTTCGGTGCTTGACGAGCTTCCAAAGCAACGCGGCACAGCGGCAGGCTCTGGGTCGCGCTCTGCGTCTGTGGCGGAGGAGTACAGCAGCCGTAGCTTTGCCACGGACTCGGGAAGTGCACCGAAGTCGGCGCATGGGCAGGGTGGCCGCAGCAGCTCGATTCCGGAGGATGAGGCCAGTCGTGGCGCCTCCGGCGTTTCAAGGTCCAGCGGTGGAGCTGTCAGCAGCAGCCAGGGCATCAGGTCTGCAGGGCACGGCAGCACGTCGGGTTCGGCAGATGTGTACGAGGACAGCTTTGAGGCTCCGAGCACGGTAAGTCGGCCTGGCATTACTGTTGGTGGAAAAGGTGTGGTTTCAGCAACAGCGTGCTTTAATTTGCACCCTTGTTAATGGTCTTGCCTGTGAGCTACACAGCGCCGTGCCTCACAACCGTCTTTGTGTTTGCAGCATGGCGGATCCCCGCACGCGAGTGGGATCCAGGAGGAGGCCAGCTTTGGCGGCAAGACAAGCAGCGAGAGCCCTGCCGGTGTGACCTTGGACCCCATCCGTGAAGAGGAGGATCCCCAGAGCGCCTCTGTCCGCTCGTCAAGCCGCCTCGCGGCCTCCCGCGCCAGCGGATTGGTGCCTGATGAAGTGGATGGCCCTTCAACTGTCGGGCGGTCTGCGGACGGCGGCTCTAGCGATGAAGGTACTGACAGCGGTGACATTGAGGAAGACCAGGTGGGTGCTAAGATGTTCATGTGGGCCAAGCATCATGGCAAGCTGTTACCCCTGTCCCCCATTCTCGCCCCTGCTACTCCAACACTAAAGGCGCGTCTCCTCGTATCACACCTCTCAGCCACTCCTAGGACTGCCTCTTGCCACCTTCAAGCAACGCATGCAACGCTTTTCCCCACAGGTGGACGCCATGGACGACGTTGGTGACGACCTGCAAGCTGACGTGTCTGCTGAGCCCAGCGCGCAGAGCTTGGAGGTCTCTGTCGCCGAGCCGTCAGTCTCGCAGGAGTCCAGCCTGCACAACGTGGCGTCGGTTCAGGAGTTCTTCACCACCGCCGAAGTCAACAGCCCATCCGTTGCGCCCAGCATCCATAGCGCGGAGTTGGCCGGGCGGTCCGGTTCTGCGGTGACGGCCGACGGCAGCCAGCAGGGATCGCTGTCGGTCCGGGAGTTCATGACCACGGCTGACGCCCTGGGTGCCTCAGTGGCTCCCAGCATCCACAGCTCAGACCTCGTCGCGGCGCCACCGGCTCAGCCGCCTGCAGCCAGCCTTGGCGCTAGTCTCTACGAGTCTAATGCATGGGAGCAGGAAAGCCTACCCAGCTCTGAGGAGGAGGAGAAACGGGAGCAGGAGGAGGATGACGAGCCTATTGTCCTGGAGCAGCGCAGCCTCTCTTCTTCCTCTGGTGGTGATGATGACAACGATGAGGTGGAGGAGGAAGAGGAGGAGGAGGCCTACGTGATTGAGCAGCCAGACCTTGGTTCCAGCTCCGAGAGCATGCAGGAGTCGAGTGCCTTGGAGCACCCAGGTGCTCCGGCGGGTGTCACGGACGACAGCAACGTCTACAGCGCAGACGTTGCGGACACGGGCCTTGAGGACAATGGTGGTTCCGGTGTCACGGTTGAGGGCGCCGAGGTGGAGGAGCTGGATGTGGAGTACAGCGTTGCGGAAGAGGATGAGGAGGTTTCGACGCAAGCCGTCTCGGTTGCGGGCGCCAGCCAGGACGTTGTCAGCGATCTGGCAGGCATGGTGAGTGACCTCAACCTTGCATGCAGGGTTAGCTTTCATAGGGAGGATGTCGGAACAGCAACCCTCCTGCCGCATACCGGTAACTTATTGCCCCTAACTAAATGCATGCAGCCTGGCAACCAATCCTCGGCCTCGGGTGATGTGGTGGACGATGTGGCTGTGCAGCAGTCTGCTGTTAGCGCAGCAACGGGCGCCTCACCAGAAGTCGAGGTACGAGTTACGGATGAAGTTGGGAACCATTTCATGCTGCCGTGTTTCATTAGTAATGCAAGTGAAACCACGTGGGTGCCGAATGGGCGATGCACATTGCAAATCGTACGAATGCCATGCTAACAGCCACTGCTCGGTCATCATCTGCAGGACCTCGACGATTATGAGCTCGACTTCCAGGCTTCCGCAATTGAGGCGGAGGAGGTCGTGCAGTCCTCCCTGCAGTACGTGTCCTCTAAATCCTCCTCCTCTGTGAGTGGAAGCCGGCAGTCTGCCGCGGACATCGCCACCACCATGTCCATCAAGGCTGGGTCCGCGCAGTTGCCGCAGCAGGCATCCCTCTTGTCCGTCGCGACCTACGATGAGGACTTTGAAGCGAGCGAGCCGTCGGAGGCAGTACTCTCAGGTGAGGGTGTCACGATGGCTTCGCTACTCCTAACCGACTACCTGTTCCGGCTGGCCGCTACTCCTGTGTGTGGCCTGTGGGTTATAGACTTATAGCCCTGCGCGTCGCTTCAGCTATTGCGACGTTTATCGAGCTAAGTATATTCCCCTGTCCTTACCCGTTACCCCTTAAGGCCAAGCTGTAGTCGAGCGCACTGGTCTGAGCGCCGTTGAGGAGGAAGGCGACACCGAGCTGCGCCAGGATGCGTCAGCAAGCCTCGCGGTGCGATCCTCCCTACGCGAGGTCGCCTCCAACTCCTCCCTGGGCGCCAGCAGGCCCTCCGCAGCCGATATTGCGACCACCGGCTCCATCAGGGCGGGTTCCGTGTCCATGCAGCAGCAGGCTTCGGTTGTCTCCACAACAGCGTACGATGAGGACTTTGAAGAGGGCGAGGTGTCGGAGGCAAACCTCACCGGTAAGTCCCTGCTGACCTGCTAGCTGCTGGGGGGCGTAATGAGTAAGGGCAGCTATTGACCTTCTGGCTCAATCCTGTATTCCGGTTGTTCTAGGGTGTCTAGACCCCACCAGGGAGTGACTGAAGCGCATGAGTTTCTCTTTCACAGGTGCTGTAGCAGCGGAGCGGACCAGCCTAAGCGTCGTTGATGAGGAGGGCGACACCGATAACCGCCAGGACGGCTCCACGCTGGTGGTGCAGTCCTCCCTGCACGATGTGAGCTCGGGGTCCTCTCTCGGCGCGAACCAGCGTTCAGGTGACGGAGACCTGGCGGAGACAGCCGCCACCTCCATCAAGGCTGGCTCCCTCTCTCCACAGCAGCAGGCCTCTACCGTGTCGAACGCGACGTATGAGGAGGATTTCGAGGAGGGCGAACCGTCCGAGGTCCAGCTGACAGGTAGGGCGCTAGGGCTCTGCTTGGTTGGTTTCCCGGGTGTTTGGGTGCTTGATAATTTAGGTAAAAAGGGCTAGGCGCCTCCCTCAAGTACTGCATTGCCGGTGTTCTAACTTCGGTTGTCGCTCTAGGCTCCTATGTACATCCCGGGCAAGTTTGGATTTGTGGTTCCGCCCCCAAACGCCTGGTTGGTGTGTGGCGCAAGCGTTTATCCCACCCATGCACAACTCACCACCACTGCAGGCCCAACCGTGATGGAGCGGACGACCCTCAGCGTCGTGCAGGAGGAGGGCGAGACGGAGCTCCCGCAGGAGCCAACAGGTACGGATGGGGCCCGGAGGCACAAGGAGTCATATGGCTGCTTAGTTGGCTGACGCTACCGCGTGTGTTGCTAAGAGCCCTAACGCTGCTTGGAAACTTCGCCAAACCTTCGGAGTCTTAGTACCGCACCCCCAACGCTTGCTGAAACTCCCCACCTCCCCATTTCTCCTCGCAGGCTCACGGCTGTACTCGGAGGATTTCGCCTCGGCAAGCACCCTCCTGCCCGCCGCCGCATCCGGGGTATCAGCCGCCCCGGCTGCTGCTGCCGCCACTGCCCCGACTTCCGCCGCCCCCGCCACCCAAAGCCCGCTGGCATCTTCCGTGGAAAGCGCCGCTGAGGATGTTCTGGACGACGTCGAGGTTGACTACGCCGAGGGAGACGAGGGCGAGGACGATGCGGAGGAGGAGGAAGAGACGTACGGCACCGACAAGTTCGAGTCAGCCAGCGGAGCACCCATGGGTCCGGTGCTGCAGGCGTCCACTGTGGGCATGGAGGTCAGCCAGCGCTACGGCCCCGCCTCCAACAGCACCTCCGCGGCCTACAGTGCCGACTTTCCGGAGACTGCGGAGCAGGGTGAGGAGGCGGATGCGGAGGCAGCTGATAGCTACGGCGAGGTGTCGAGTGAGATGCCTGCCAAGTCCTCTATCTTGTCTGCACGTGCTCCTGACGAAGCAGCTGACAGCGGTGTTGGTCGGCAGACGGCTGGTGTTGACAACGAGTCAGCAGCGCCAGCGGCACCAGTGCTCGATTCAGGCAAGTCCGCTGCTGCGGAAGCCGCGGGCCGCAGCGCGACGGAGTCAGGGTCTGTGTTCTCAGTGGACGAGGAGGCCATCTCGTCGGCAGCGCTGTCCTCTGAGCAATCCTCGGGGATGCCACCCATGGCAGCCGTGGCGCAACCGGACATCTCGGAGCCGGCGGCGGGCCCCGCGGCAGCTGTGGACCGCAGTGTACCAGCCATTAGTGGCAGGCCCTCGGAAAGCATGGACGCCTATGGCGACGACTACTCGCGCGACTTTACGGGTCTAAGCGGTGACCTCGAGACGGATGCTGCCAACCGAACCTCCGCTCCTGCGATGCTGCTGGATACAGCAGACTCCGCCAGTCAGCAACGGAAGGAGGCACAAGAGAACGCAGCGGCGTCTGGATTGGGTGAAGACGACTTGGCTGAGGATGTGGAGGAAGACCTGGATGTGTCGGGTTCGGGCTTGGGCGGTCAGACATCCTTCACTGGGGAGCCCTCAGTGGCTGCGCTCACAACACCCGAGGTAGCACGGCGTCCGTCGGCCTCTGCCGTGGCTGCCGAGGGGTCGACCAGCGGGATCAGCGAAGAGGAGAGCGGCATGATTTCGGTTCCACGCGGCCGTGGCATTCGGCAGACGCGCAAGATTGAGTCCCGAGCGTGGCGCACCCAGGAATCGTTGCTTGCGGAGGAGGAAGGGGCCGAGGGTAGGTATCAACGCCCTAAGAAGGCAGTAACGGGAGTGCCAGGAATGGGGGATTTTGTGCTTTAACAAAGGCGCTGCGTACTCGTCGTGCACCTCGTTTAACGTTCGCCCGACCCTGGCCCGCATCCGCAGGCGAGTTGGACCTGGTTGACATGAGCATGGTTACGGGAGAAGGCAGCGGCTTGCTGGAGATGCTCGGGGCTGACCTGATTGAAGGTGCGAGGTTTTCCCATTCCAAACAGTCCATTGCCTGGGCCATGCCTGTGCTGTCAAAGCCGGTATACATTATCGGTATTATACCGGTACGCATAATACCCTGCTTGACGTTTTCCGTCTGCCCCTCCTCCCTCACGCTTTCCTCCTCCCGTCTGAGCAGCTGCGTCGGGGGAGATCCTCACACCCAGCACCAGCCTCCGCAGCCGAGCAGTCGGCGAGCTCACGAGCGGCACCTCCTCGGCTTCCCTGGCGGCTCAGCTGCGACCCACCGCCTCCTTCCGCCTTGCCACGTTGCGGGAAAGCCAGGCATACGAGGGCGAGGAGCCCGAGGTCACCAGCGGGACCAGAGCTCCACCTCCCGAGCCCGAAGCCGAGACCCTAGGGGGCAAGGATAAGGCTGAAGCTGTGTCTGGCGGCCGCGGCGACGAGGAGGAAGGCGGCCAGCGGTCCTTGGAGGCCGATGACGTGGTTGAGGATGTAGCTGATGTTGTTCCAGAAGGCAGTTTCGACGGCGATGCTGATGATGCGGAGGAGTACCCCTTCAAGCGGCAACCTCCCGTGGAGGTGTCCAAGCCAGGGGAGCGGGCAGCGGTGCCCCTGGAGTCCTCTCCTGAGACGGGAGCAGCGGTAGCAGCAGCGGCAGTTGGGCAGGCGCCTGGGGCCGGCGCTGAGGGTGCAGCGAGCGGCGGAGAGTCGGGCTTGCAGTCCAGTGAGGGCTTCGAAGCCCCCGCCAGCGAGGACAGCGGCGGGCGGCAGTCGGTGGAGGAGTACGACGTGTACACGAGCGCCGCCCTGGCTGCCGATGACTCGGATGACTTGGCGCAGTATGCGGCTGCTTTCGCGTCGCAAGGTGGGTGGGTTACTACCGCATTGGGTTGCTGGTGCAAGGTTGCCCAACCAGCAACCGCACATGGCCGTGCTGCCGGTGGTTGAATAGTCTTTGGCAGTGCCCCGCCCCTGGGTTGACGATGTGGTAGGTATAGGTAGAGCTTTGCTTAGTTTCGTATGCGAGCAGGATCCACCTTGGCCGATGGCTGTTGTTGTTGTTGTCAAGCCTGACGCCTGCTTCTTCCGCCCTCCTTGCAGCCATCGGTGTCGAAGGCGACGAGGACGCCCCGGCTGACGTGTCCGGTGGCCTGGCCTCCGGGCTTTCTGAAGACCTCGGGCAGTACACGGTACGCCTGCCGCTGTGGCTTGTAGCTGCTGTGTTGAGAAAGCTGGCCCCTTGTGTTTGTGTACTGGCCGCGAGGAGGAGCGTTCTAGACTGCTGTGTTAAAATAACTGGCCGCGAGGCGAAACGTACTGTGATTGCCGAAAGATGGAGTCCTCCCACCGAAAACGCCACTGCTGTGTGTGTCTCCCACATCTGCGGTTGGACCGCAACATGCTGCCCTGCTCGCTGCCAGCAGAACGGGTGGCAGCACGCGCTTCCGTGCTTACGATATCCTTTTGCGGCTCCCGCTCGTAGGTCCCCGTGCAACCGGATTCGGAGGAGGAGACTGAAGAAGGCCAAGCGCCCGTGCCGTCAGCGGCTGATGTCGCCACCGCGGCCTCCCAGCAGCCGCAGCCGGAGCTCGAGCCAACGCCATCAGTCGGGGCGACGGAGGTGGTGGATGAAGACCTCGAGGTGCGTCACTTGGCAACGGGCATTGGAGCGGATTGGGGCATCCTTTCCATGTATCCAGCCTTGGCACCCGCGTTTGGCTGCTGCTTACACAGACACAGTGTCGCTACCGTTGCTTGCATCAAGACCGGCTTCCTTCCATACCTGAGAATTGCCATGTTTGTTGGGTTCATCACTGCTGCGCAGGTCGCCGATGAGGTGTCCGAGCTCCCCGGCAACGGCCCGTTCTCCGTGGACGAGAGCAGCGACCGCTTCCCAGTCCTCATGCCTTCAACCAGCGTCGGTACACCCTCGCACCCGCACCTGCCACCTGCTGCCATGAAGCGCGAGGAGGCCCCGTTTGGGGCAAGCGCGGCAGCACCGCAGCAGCCCGATACCGCAGGTCCGCCAGAAGTGAAGGTGAGCGCCGGCGACGAGCCGTCCTCACCCACCGTGTCCTCCCCTGCGTCGCGCCAGAGCAGCCGTGGCGGCTTGCCAGAGGAAACCAGCCTTGGGCCGCTGCCGCGGTCAGGTCTGGTGGCGGGAGAAGAGGACGAGGATGCCCAGGTACGCCTGTTGCAAGTGAAGAGAAGGATGGGTCCGTGCGGATATAAGCTTTCCTGGTACGGTATCATGCGTAAAGCAGTGGTGTGCTCGTCGTCGCTGGGGGACGCAAGCCCCACCCTTTGGTCATAAGCTCATAACCTTCCTTGCTACCTGTTGCCGTAGGGGGGCCTGGAGTACCGTGCAGTCTACCAGCCTGAGCAGAAGACCCAGGCGACCGTGCCTCCTTCTGCTGCCGAGGATTCCGCCGCCGAAACCCCATCCGCTTCACCTCGCCATGAGGTTGACTCTGGGGCCGTCGAGGCGCGAGAGGGCGCCGAACCAAAGAGCAATTACTTGGAGGAGCTGCGGGCTTTTGCCGGATCGGATGAGGACGAGCTAGAGGAGTTTGGGAGCGGGCATCTGGCGAGTAGGGGGCTCTCAGCCGCCACCCTCGCGCCCGCCGTGCAGGCCCTGCTCAACCAGCCGGATGCCGAACCAGACGTCCCCAAGGTGAGAGCTGGGAGGTGCTGTTGGTACGTGCGGTGCTGTTGGTGTGTACGGTATCCAGGGATAATGTGCCAGTAGCCCAAGCAGCCCAGTACATGCATGCGTGGTGTTGGGGATACCTGCTAGGGCTATAACTATGGAGGATGGATGAGCGGATGACACTGGAGGGAATTTATACGCCCAGCCGCTAGGGGCAGTGAAAGACCTAATACGGTACACACATGCCATGCCCTTTTCATCACCACGCAGGGTGACTTTGAGTCCGAGATTGCGGAGATGCTGGCTGCGTCACACTCCAAATCTCGCCTTGTCTCACCCTACCAGTCGCGGGACCTGGGTGGCGAGCCAGGAGCGCAAACGCCCGAGGCCACGACGCCCTTCTCCCTCTCGGCACGGCCCTCCATGGCTGGAACACCTGAGCCGGCGTCAGACAGCAAGGACGATCTGGTGGACCAGATCACCGAGTTGACTGCCAAGGTACGGCATAATTGCGAGAGCAATTTGGTTTGACCAAGGTTTGACCGCACAGGAATCATCGTGTGCCGTAACTACCTGAGGTAGTACCCGGCGCTTTAGTACCGGTAACTAGTTGCGTGCACTGCTCGTTCGCCACTGGGTATTGGTAATGAACTGCCTTTGTTTGTAGTCGACTTGACGCACCAACAACTGATATGTTTCGCAGGAGCTTCTGACCGATGCCGTGGAGACTATGGTGAGCCTTGCCGAGCTCCGCGCCGCCGCTCCTGCAGCCTTCAGCACCCAGCCTGCCGACTCCGCCTTCCTCACCGCAACGACTGTTGCCGCCATTGCTTCGCTGTCGCCCTCACCAAGCCCGCCCCTGCAAGACCGCCGCATCTCCGCAGGCGGCGAGGCGTCCATCAGCATGAGCATGGACGACCTGGAGGGTGACATTGAGCTTGACATTGAGCAAGGTGGGTTCGCCGCGCTAGTTTACCAAGTCCTAGGGTGCTACAGCCTGATGTCTACCGTCTACCGGTAGTATTGAAAGGCTTGAAACAGGGCTGACATCCCATTCTTTCCCGCCTTGCCCCCATCCTGACGCAAACCCCCAACTCCCTACCTTCAACTCCCCTCCAACACACACGCACACAGAGGACGAGGAGGAGGTCCTCGACCTGCCCAGCCCGCTCCAAAGCGACAGTGGCTCCCTGGGATCGCCCTCGCGACCCGCCTACGAGCCGCCGGGCCCATCCAACCTGTCATCCCCATCCACGGGCACCCACCACCACCACCACAGTGCTGCTCCGGAACTGGCGCCCGAGCAGTCGGACATGGCACTTAATAACGCCAATGACACGGACGCCTCGGCGAGTGGGGGCGCTGGCCTCACCAGCGAGGAAGATGACGGGTGCGTAAGGGGTGGGGGTTGACAGGGATACATATTCCGCATTAGGCTGGATTTTAGGTTTGCTTATAGTCAAACTTGTTGGGTTAGCAGCAGCACACAAAGCACAGAGGGGTGGGGTGGGGTGCCTGGGGAAAAAGGAATGACAAACACCATGCAGTGGTGTGATTGTGGCAAGCCATGTGGGGTGCACATTGCATGGGGAGGGTGTTTTGAGGTATGGAGGTGAAGAGGTACGGTACGATGCCTGTGTGTGATATGCCTGGCCAAGCCAGGCGTCATGGTATGGCGTGGTAATTGCAGTAATAACCTGAAAACTGTCTGGCATGGTAATAGCAGTAATAACCTGAAAACTTTCTGGCATGGTAATAGCAATAATAACCCAAAAGCTGGGTTGATTGCTTGAGCTGGATTGTGCTAGAGCCTGCGCTTCACGTGCGTTGTGCGCACTGTGTGCTGTGTACAACGACCCTTCCACAGGTGGGGAGGTGACTATGATGTGGAGGACCCTGACTGGAAGCCTGACTTGGACGGCTACATCTCACCAGAGGTGAGTCCGTACTACCAGCAATCAGAAACAATCCAGCTCTGCTCCATTCGGCTGGTGTGCGTTGCTGTAGCACAATACCGGTAGTACCTCGCTGACAGGGCAGCACGGTTCGTGTATCGTTTCCTCGAAGTCCCACACGTACGGACTCTCCTCCACCCTTTGCATGCTGACACCTGACACCTCCACGACACCTCCCCGACCCACCCAGCTTGACCGACGTGTCATTGAGCGCGAGAACGCGCCGGCTGTCGCCACCACCACCGAGGCAGTGGCGGAGTATGCGGAACACGTGCTACAGGAGTTCATGCAGAACCGGCCCGAGGTGCGGTGTAGCCCTGCCTTGCGCTGTAGCCTCCCTCATGCAAGCCTACCTTGTTGTCCGGCTCGAGTGTACCGCCTAGGACCCACACTGTAGAGCAACTCCGCGACTCTTAGAAGGAACCCTGTGGCGTGTTTTCCTCAAAACCTTTACCTTGCTTGCCTTGCCTGGCATGCTTGCCTTGCCCTGCCTTGCAACGCAGTTCCTGGTGGCGGGTGCTGAGCCGCTGCGGCTGGAGGGCTTCCTGGACCAGGAGCGCCGGCTGGCGGACGCCAGTGAGGCGCAGCACATCCACAACAAGATGGTGTACGACGCAATCAATGAGGCGCTGCTGGCCATCTACCGCTCAGCTAACCGGGTGCAGGTAGGGGTTTGTTAAGAAAACTGGCCGCGAGGCGGAACGTACGGCGATTGCCGGAGGTGTGTGTGTGTGTGTTGTTTCGCCTGGTTGGTTGTGGTGGACTGGGCGGGACGAGGGCCAGGGCCGGGGCTCACATGGTCTTTTTCCGATGGCGAGGAAGTAGTGAGTCTTTGGCATCTGTAGTTTAACGTTGCTGCACATGTGACCTAACGTGCGGCTTTGTTTTGCAACCGCTCGCGCCACCGCAGAGCCCGCCCTGGCTCAGCACCAGCCACATCGTGAAGCCGCTGCCCAGCCCGGAGGACATGGCGGCGCTAGTCCAGAAGCAGCTGCGGGACTGGTCGGCCATGCGCATGCGGGACGCGACGGAGACCGACAAGGTAGGGCAGCGGCAGCTCACCTCCGGAACCGGCTGAGAAACGCGGGTCACACACGCAGAGTAACACACGCAGCTGATGGGTTTGTCTGTTGTCCTTGGGTGCTAAGTAGCGCTGCTGTTTGCTGGGAATGCCTACACATGCCCGCAGGTACTCGCTGCGGACGCGCAGGAGGACGAGCGCGCGTGGTGCGACCTAGCCGCGGAGGAGGCGGAGGTGCAGCGTGAGGTGGCGGAGCTCATCTGGGACGGGCTGGTGGAGGATACGGCAGCGGTGCTTTCGGAGCTGGAGGGCCTGCTGGGAGGGACGACATCGGGGGGGGCTGCTGCCTCGTCAGCATCCGGGCCAGCGGGGCGGCGGCGCATGGAAACACTGCGCCCTACCCGTTTGTTTGAAAGTTTTGAAAGTGTTTGAGGATGGTGATGGGTTTTTATGTGTTGAGTACATGACACGCCGACGCCGGATACTGAACTGCTTGTGAGGGGCAAGATGTGAGCTTGCATGCGCGTGAGGATTGACGTGCGTAAAGCGACAATGATTGGGAATGAATGTGTGGGAAACGAACGAGAATTGCTTCCTTTGAACTGATGAGGAATGTTAAACATTGTTCTTTCCTGTAGCCCTTTGTCTGAGTGGCTATGTCTATCGATTTCGACGGTTGGCGTTCCCTTCGCATGTATTACCAACCCTACCGTACATAGCATGGCGTCTGTGATACCCCAGCGGCTTGTGACTACATTACACGCGTGTGTCATGATAATGCTACGTACCGGCGACAACTTATTGACTAGGTTTCATAACTGCTATTACGCGTGTGTTGTTGTGGCCCTGCTTGGCCACACGTAATGCCGCCTGGTCGACATGGTTTGGGGGCGGAGTACTGGACAATGCAAACATGGAACTGATGACGGGTCTTTCCAGGCAAAGCCATTGTAACGGGTGGATTGGCAACCCTGTACGCGTGGTGCGCCTGTGACGACCAGTACGGCAACTACGGGTCTCGAAAGAGTAGCAAACACGCTGCTTCAGTGCATGGACGATGGGGACTAGAGTTTATGCGCCGTGCACTGTTTCACCGGTTGATAGCGTGATACGCTTCATACCTCTACTTTTCTACTAGTTGCTGAGGGCCTAGCTTCCTCCTGACGTGGTGTAAGACTGACGGCCCTGCGCAGTAGCAAGGATGGGCTTTGCCCTGTCAAGGTGTTACCGAAGGCCACCCTTACCATCAACGTGTTGCAGTGATGTCTAGCAACCAGCCCACAGATCCTTGAACCACGGGTCCCCATATGTGCATAACCTTGCATTTCTTGGCTTGCATGTTCAGGACCATCCGATGACAAAGGTCTGCTGGCTGCGTTTAAAGGCTCTCTGGAGCCGTACGTGAAGGCGACAGGCCCGAACTGGACACGAGTACACGGCACGCCTTGGTTCTGTATATAGTACGACAACACCAGCATCTACGACAACGCCAGCATTAAGCCTACTGCGACAGCTATAGTTCTTGTGATTTTTGGGAAAGATTATGCACGGCTGCATATAGCTGTCATGTGCACATCTTAAGAAGCTTGTGGGGAGCCCAATATATCTTCCTGCGCCACCCTCATCCCCGCTGCAGAAGGCTTGAGCTCTTGTGGCAAGGACATGTACGCCTGAGCGTCTCTGGAAAAGCCAAGCGCGACAACGGTGGGCTTTGGGGCTTCGATCTGCCTGAGGGCTTGAGGAGAGGTTTCCTTTTTTAAGCAAACTACCTTTACATATCTGCTGTTTTGTATGTTTGCTTCATAAATATCACTCTCACTTTGTTTGTCCGCTGGTTGCAGGAAATTTTGGCAGGGCAAGGGCGGCTTTTCAGCAGGGCCCTTGGGCCTAGCAACTGCTGCCTTGTGTAGCAGCAACCTCATACATATGGCGTCGACTATCCCTCCCAGTGCAGGTTCTCTCGTGACCGCGCTGCTAGCGGAGATTGAGAAGGACAGGGAAGCCAAGAAGAAGCGGCAAGAGGAGCACAGGGGCAACCAGCAAAGGAAGGAAGCAGCTCAAGCCGACGACAGTGATGCGGAGAGTGATCGTTCAGAGTCGCCCGGGCCGCCGGATCCTCGGACCTGCATGGTTTCTGGGCCGGGCTTTGCTGGCGGCGCGTCGGGCACACCAGTTAACCTTTTCATTATATGCAAAGATGAAGATGGAAAACGCTGTAAGGAGGGCGGCGATGACGTCGTGGTCAAAGTGGTCCCCGCAGGCGGTGCCAGCGGTCCCGCAGCGACCTACGTCGACGTGCAGATCGAGGACAAGGAGAACGGCATGTATGTAGCGACATACACAGCGCCAGCTAAGGGCACCTACAACGTGACCGTGGAGGTCAACGGCCGGCCTCTGGAGGGCTCTCCGTTTCCTGTCTTCTTCGGCCCACCCGCAGACCCGGCGCCTGCAGCAGCTCCAGCGGCCGGCGCCAGCACTGCTGGAACCGGCGCATCCGCGATGTCCTCAGCCATAGCGGCTGGGACGGCTGCTCTCGGGGCGCTCCCAACCCTCCCCGCCACGGCCGGCATGCCCACCTTTCCGGGCGCCGGAGCGCTAGCCGGACTGTCCGGCGCGCTACCGGGCCTTGCGACCGGACTCTCCGGCCTGCCGACGCTGCCTAACGCCCAGCCTGGCGGCATCAACCCCGCCACAGCTGCCGCCGTCGCAGCGTCGCTGTCACAGCAGGCTACACTTGCGGGGCTTCTGTCCGGCGGCGGCGCAGGTGTCGGCGGCCTGAGCGCCACCAACCCGCTCATGGCAGCAGCCTTTCCACAGCTGGCGTCCGTCGCGCCCGTGGTGGACCCGCAGGCCCGCACCCTGCTGGTGTCCAACATCACAACTGCGGTGACCCCCGAGCAGCTGAAGAACCTGTTTGGGGTGCTGGGGACGGTGCAGCACCTGCAGATGCTGGGCACGGACATGGCTATGATTGAGATGGCCACCCTGCAAGACGCGCAGGTCGGTCCAGGAGGTTGCAGGAACGGGCATCATGGGTAAATTACCTCCATAGAAGGGACGAAGGGACGTGTTTGCATATGCCGCGAGTATACAGGCACCTCCTGGCCACGCATGCATCACTCATATGCCCTCGTGAAGCCTGGCACACGGCATATCGCCTTTAGACAGGAGTTCCAGTCCATCATCGCCCCACTCTTGGAATCTTACAAACACGTCTTGCTAGCGTAACCACCGCTTTTCATCCAAAACTCCACATTCCTTTTCCCCTTCCTCCTCCTCCTCCCTGACCTATGCACAGGCTGCGCTGGCCCTCCACAACCACGTGCTGGGCGACAAGGCGCTCAGCGTGCAGTACCTGGCGGTGGCGCAGGAGGCCATGGCATCCAACCCGCTCATGGCGCTGAAGCTGCAGCAGATCCAGCAGATGCAGCAGACCATGAAGAGCGGGGCGGCGCTGGCAGCGCAGGTGAGTCGGCGTGTTGATGTTGCGGGCTCTGAGTGGTATCCTATAGCGGCATCCTGGGTCATGGCTGGCCTGGGCATGGTGTTTTGCATTTGTTAGGCAACTGTTGGCTACGAGCTTCCAACTGCTCTGGCCAAGGGCTTCCGTGTTGGTATGGAGGAGGATTTGGGATAGGCCCTGATGCTGCCATGCATGTCCTTTTGGTCCCGCTGCTCAGGTGGCCCAGCTGCGGGCTATGGCAAAGTTTGGAGTGAACTCCTTGGACCCCTCGAAGGAGGCGGAGGAGGCGGCGGCGCGGCTGGCGCGGCGCCTGGGTGGTCGCAGCCGCAGCAGGTCACGTGGGCGGCGGCCTCGCTCCCGGTCACGGTCGCGCTCCCGGGATCGACGGAGGTGCGTTCTGGGTTGTATGGACCTACGGGCTAGGGTCATACTGGCATCAAGAGTAGCATGGGGTGCGTGGCATGTGGCGGGAAGGGGTTCCTCATCGGTCTGGGCTACGGCGTATTGGTTGATGATTGTGTCAGCAGGCATTGTGTCAGCAGGCAAGCGATTGACGTAAAGGTTCAGATGCCGGTGACGCCCTCCTCACATGTTCGTAGCTTCGTTCTGACCCACCTGGCCGCTGTCCTCTCCTGCCTCTGCAGAGACGACCGCTCCCGGTCTAGGGACCGCAGGCGGCGCAGCTCTCGGAGCCGGGAACGCAGCCGGGAGCGGCAACGCCAGCGGGAGCGTGAACGGGAGAGGGAGCGCGAGCGGGAGGTGAGCTTGCTGCATAAGGGTGGTATTGGCTAGTCATCAGCCGTTGGCCCTAACTAACTATACAAGCCTCCTCTGCATTTCTATGATCCCCCGGGGTTGGTTTGCCTAACTCGGTAACGTATGCTCGCCTTTCCCTTGAAACCCGCAGCGGCAAAGACGCGACCGGGAAATGCGCGAGCGGGAGAGGGAGCGGGAGCGCCGGAGGGCGGACAGCCGCGAGCGCCGCCGTACAGCCCGCAGCCGCAGCAGGTGGGCTAGCGGGACGTGAAAGTGGCCATGCTTGTGCACCAATGAACCATGGGACACCACTTAGCAGTTGCCTTGGCGTGCTCCATGCTCCATAATGCGGCATATGCGGCATCTTGTTGTCAATGCGTGCCCTTTCGTTTTGAATGCATTCGCGTACACCAGTACTCCGAGAACCTGCTGCATGGGTTGCCTTCAATGGCTTTGCTGCATTAAGTATGAACCGCGGTGTTGTCCGCTTCTTACCTTCCCGCTGATGCTGCAGGTCCCGAAGCCGCGACCGCCGGCCTAGGGATGCGGACCGCAGCCGCCGTGACAGCCGCAGCCGCAGCCGTGGGCGCGATCGGAGCCGGGACCGCAAGCCCGCCCTCCAGGACCGCAGTCGCAGCCGCAGCAGGGACCGCAGCCGGAGCCGCGACAGGTGGGCCCGTGACAGGGACAACGGAGCCGGCGGCAGCCGCAGGTCAGATGGGCGCGGTGGCGAGGGCAGGGATAAGGAAAAGAAGTCGAAGCACAAGAAGGAGAAGAAGGAGCGGAAGGAGCGGGACCGCAAGCGCGAGCGGCGTGAGGCTGAAGACGCGGAGGATGAGGAGGAGCCGGCTGCCGATGTTGGCGATGAGCGGGGAGAGGCCACGGAGCGAGGGAACGACGACAAGGCGGGTAAGGAGCGTGAGAGCGAGGCGGATGTGGCGATGGGGTCACCCAGTCGGGAAGCCGCCGGCGGCGGAGCAGCTGGGGAGGATGAGGGGGATCGGAAAAGAGGACGGGAGTCGTCGCCGAGCGAGGATTCTAAGGGGCCGGGGCCGGACGCTTCGCCGGTGGGACGCGGCCGCCAAGACAAGATGGATGAGGACTGAGGACGTGCATGGTTGTCTTGCGGTCTGGACAGCAGTTTCCTCTGCTGCAGGCTTGCGTGGAGGCATTGCACATGTGAATGGCGGGCGCATGTAGCGTAGTTGACCTTTTGTACTAATTGCAGGAGGCATGCCTGTAATGTGGCGCTTTTGGACAGGATGGGGTACGGGTTTGGGGGTTGCTGTACGTCCCAAAAACAAGTACCGTACGTCTGCTGGCGGCATGCCACATGTATAGACGCTCTCTATAGCGTAACCAAAAACGTGTTGTACTTCCTGGTTTCTTAGGGCTGTACGCGAGCGCCGTCCTAAATCAGTACATGAACCTTGGAAGCCGTTGGCTGTCTTGCTGGTTGGATACTAGGCTAGCTTTGCGCGCGGAACATGGGTAGTTTGGAGCCGGATGCCGCTTCCCTTCAAACGTTCCAAGCTGAGGTGCCATCCTGGAAATGTCCAGGGCCCTTCGACAAGCTCACATGCGTTCACACTGTAGACGCTCAGCTGAGCGCACAGCTCTGCTGCTGATATCACGCAAAATGGTCAAGCGGGCGGCTGAATGATAATGGCGTTGTGTAAGAGGGTATGTGGCAATGCCGCGAGTGTGGAAGCCTCCGAGGGTGGGGCTGGTGTCGACGGCTGACAGCCTGGGCGTCAGACTCTCCGTGTCTGAGGCACATAAATGCTGCAACATCTATACATCGCCAATCCCGGTCATGAGTTCTGGGTAATGAACGCAACCATGGTACCTTTATTGTTCAACCGCCGGATTGCGGGTACTGGTATGCAGATCGTACATACCTAACGCTTAAGGCGGGCAGAGCCCCTTAAGCACCATAACGGACGCACAGACCACCCTTGAACAGTCTTTATAACTTGGTATATAGACCACACAAGATGTCTCGCAAGAATAAGGTTTCCTACTTCTATGACAGTAAGCAGGCAGCACTTCACGCTTGAAGACACGTTTATCAGGTTCTGACATTTGCATTACGGTCTTACACATGCAGGCGAGTTCCAGGAATTCTACTTTGGGCAGAACCACCCGATGAAGCCACATCGGCTAGCAATGACGCACCACCTGGTCTTGGGCTATGGTCTCCACAAGAAGATGGAGATATTCGTGAGTAATTGTGTTCTGTGGGCGATTACAGCGACTGACTCAACTTAATATGGCGGTTACCTTGGCCCACTGTTCCACAGCGGCCAAGGAAGGCACATCCTGCGGAGCTTGCACAGTTTCACAGCGAGGATTATGTGGAGTTTCTGTCCAAGGTGACGCCGGACAGCGTCGCCAAGTTCACTGGGCAGCTGCGTCAGTACAACATTAATGACGACTGCCCCATTTTCGACAACATGTTCAAGTAAGGGCAGACCAGGCTCTATGTTTCATTCCCCTTATCACGCTGTTGTGGGCCAAGATTTGAGCCCTTGTGACCCGCAGGTTTTGCCAATTGTACGCTGGTGCGTCCATAGAGGCAGCCGTCAAGCTCAACCACGGGCTCTCCGATATCGCCATTAACTGGTCCGGGGGGCTTCACCACGCCAAGAAGGGCGAAGCATCGGGCTTTTGCTACGTCAACGACTTGGTGCTGGCCATCTTGGAGCTGCTGAAGTACCACGCCCGAGTGCTCTACATTGACATCGACATCCACCACGGCGATGGCGTGGAGGAGGCCTTCTACCTAACGGACAGGTGTGTCGCCCATGTCGATGTAGGGCTGACCATGGGGACCTGCAGGGTGGCCGGCTGTGGTCTGCGTAGTTGTTGGGTTGGAATGGTTGAGTTGGAATAGTTGGCGCTCCCTTGGCCTTTGCCCCCCGAAACTTCCTCCTGTTCTGTGCGTGTGCATGCTCCTTCGTGTTGTTGCTGGCTGTCCGCTCAGGGTCATGACGGTTTCCTTCCACAAATACGGCGACTACTTCTTCCCGGGCACCGGCGACCTCACCGACACGGGGGAGCTCAACGGCAAGTACTACAGCCTCAACGTGCCCCTCAAGGTACGACAGTACAGCAGTTGCGCCACTTAGTAATCCAAAACAACGGACACCAACAACTGTTTAGAGCTGTCGCAATGGCCGTCCAAAAGCCGCTACTAAGCACGTGCTCAGCAGCTGCAATTAGCACTCGTTGCAATCAGCCATTCCTTTCCCTCCCTCCCTCCCCCCCCTGCGCCCCCAGGACGGTACCAACGACGACACCTTCCACGCGCTCTTCAAGCCCATCATGCGGCGCGTTATGGAGGTGTTCCAGCCGGGGGCCATCGTCATGCAGTGCGGTACGTGGGGGAGCGGTGGGGGGGGGGGTAGGTTGGCAGCGTTGGCAGCCGGCAGAAGTGGCTGAAGTGAGACTTGAGCCGTCACGGCTTGCCACGGCTCCCCTGTGCCTCGCCATGTCCCCTGTCTCCTATTACCCTGTCTTCGCACCTCCCATGTGCCTACTATTTCCCGACTCCCACACGCACGCTCGCAGGCGCCGACTCGCTGGCTCACGACCGTCTGGGCTGCTTCAACATGTCGGTGCGTGGGCACGGCGAGGCCATCCGCTTCATGAAGGAGTTTGGCGTGCCGCTGCTCATCACGGGCGGCGGGGGCTACACCAAGCACAACGTGGCGCGCTGCTGGACGTACGAGACGGCCATCCTGACGGACACGCAGGTAAGGCGGAGTGCGGGGGGATGTTAGTGAAACGCGGGGTCGGAGGGTGGGAGAGGGGGGCCCGGTGCTGGTGCTTGGGCGGGATGAGGCCAGGGCGAGGGAAGGCGGACGTCATGGCTCATGGAGGGGCCATCACTCACGACGCCTTACACTGGTCATGTGGATGGGGTGGCAACATTGCGCGAACATGAGCACACGACCCGTGATTGTTAATCCTGTCGTGATCTCACTGCTGCCATGTGCTGCCGCCGCTCTGCCATGTGCCGCTGCCGCAGGTTCCGGAGCAGCTGCCTCGCTCCGACTACCACGAGTACTTTGCGCCCGACTTCTCTCTCAACGTGTCCACCCACAAGGTGATGGACGACAGCAACACCAAGGCCGACATCGAGCGCATCCGGCGGGAGGTGTTCGAGTACCTGCGCCACCTGCAGCAGGCGCCCGGGGTGCAGATGCAGGAGGTGCCGCCCGACTTCAGGGTGCCCCGGTACAACTACGACGAGGAGCCGCTGGAGGAGCGCATCGGCAAGTACGCGCGCGAGCACGTCATCATTCGCGACGAGGACGGCTTCGGAGAGGGCGGCGGCGGCGGCGGCCCGGGCACCGGCGGTGGCTACCATGACCCGTATGAGTGAAGAGGGGGCAGCATGATGGCTGCGCAGGGCAGAGGGTACACAGCCGCCGGGTGCACACTGCTGCTTTGCTTGGCTATATCCAGCGGCCAGCGCCCCGGTGCGCTTGTGTGCGTAGCGGAGGAATCTAGGAGACGAAGAAGTGGACTCGCACGGGTTGTTGCCAGACAGACTGCAAGCAGCTCGTACTGCGTTCGTCTTGGCCGCGGCCCGCATGCAGCAAGGCACAACAAGCTGCTGGCGAGCTGCGGTACTGGCAGCCCCGCCCTGGTCCTCTACCTTGAAGAGGTAGACGACGGGCCGCGGCACGATGGCGTCACGGGGGCCACGCCCAGCTGCTGCCGCGCCGCAGCAGGACCGCACCCCTTGCGCCTCGTTCGTCCCCGGCAGCAGCGGTTGGCCCCGGCAGCATGCTTGCGCTGCGCTGTCCACTGGGTGCTTGCCTCCGCACGGCGCGGTAGCGGTGTGGGAGCGGGAGGTTTGGCTGGCTGCAGCCTGTCTCAGTGTCCATTGCTCCTCAGTTGCAGTTGGCCCATGCAAGTGGTCCATCGGTCCTCCTGTTACTTTTCCAGGGACATGTCCTCAAGTCCGTTTGCTTAGGCGGGTGGCACACGCAGACTGGTCATGCAAAGCTGCATTGTCACTCGGTTGGCTCTTACAGGGCTGCTTACGGAAATGAGTTGGTAAGACTGCGCCTGGTGTAGGGTGGAGATAGCAGGTGCGGGCTCATGACGCATGGGCCACCTGGTTTTCCGAACTCGATGCTTATGTCGCCCATGGCTTCCAGGTTGTGATAGTTGAGACGTCTTGGAACCGCCTGCCAGCGCTCTCGCTAACGGGTTGATTGTCCACGTGATTCCCGGATCCAAGGGTGTTGCAACGGAAATTAATAATGAAGAAGTGGTGTCGGTATCTGAAGTGAAGAAGAGGTGCCGTGTGTTATCTGGGTTCAGATGTGCGGCCGCGGACATATAACGAACAACGCTGCGACACCGTACGTATGTTCGCTATGCGTTTGGAACATGTTGATACGCCGGTTGGGTGTGCACGCCGTGGGAATGCCTCTATGCAAGCCCCGCACATGGCAGGGTGTCGCGCCCCGTTACCGGTACGTGCATTCTGCCGGCAGGCTTGGGTGCGGCCGTGGTGTAAGACCCGTGGTTCAGTCTCGTTGTGGCTGAGGTGAATGCTTACCGTGGGGAGAACAAGTGGCTCTGTGCATATCGTGAGGTGTTGTGCTATCACCTGTTCTAGGTGGGGTAACAGCAACGCACACGTTCTGGGCGTTGCTGTTACCTAGAAGATGTGAGTGCATTTGTATCGCACATGTGCCGTACTGTAGTCTTCCCTGTTAGGCAGCGGAGCGGCCGGCGCTCGGGCTCGGGCGCTGCGCACAGCTCGCAGATACTGTAAAAGACAGTGCTCGGTCATTTTTAACCACTTGTTGCGACCTTCTCGAGGAGTCGCCAGCTAGCCCGAGGGACCAGCTGTGACGCTGGATTACCAAGCCGGTGTATGGGCGTGACGGGTACCCAAAGGAGGGTTGATGGTGTTGTGGCAATTTTGGGATTTCTGGATAACTAGAATCGAGGATCCTGCTTGGGGCTTGTGCGCGAAGTTGGTGGGGAGAGAACGAGGGGAGGACCTCGATGAAAGCGTGCATAGGTCGGTGCAGGGTTGCAGGGTACGGCAAAAATAACAAACAATGGCCGTAAATGTAATTATGGCGGCCTTGTAAGGGGAGCTTGACCCAACACGCACACAATTGTAGCAACCTATCAATGTTTTGTCATACAAGGCACTTATGGCATAATCAATAGAACATGGGCTCGCACCATAACATACCGGCACTCACGTCATTTATATCAGATCGCAAAATGAATGGAATTGGCCTTTGCCATTCACTGCTCTCGGTCGCACTTGCCCGGCGCCTGTATGGGCCACTGCGTGAACCCTAGCTAATCGTAGCCCACGTGCGCCAATGTTATAGCCCACGTGTGTGTAATGGTGCACTTTCTACAGGACGTGTATGTAAAACAGTAGATGGCTGCTTAATTCCACCCCATAGAAGTAAACGGGAACTATGCGACCTTCGGTGCTGAAGTAAGTTAGGGTGTAATCCATTCGCTTTAACCACTCATGCTGCGTGGATGAGGCAACTTACCATTAACTCTTATTACGGAGCTGGTGTCGCGCTTCGTTTATTATTCCCAGCCATTGCTGCCGCAAGCCTCTGCTCAATGCCACCATAGTGTTTCAGGGCGCGCTGTGCGGTGCCATTTATCATATCAATTATCGGGCGCCTCTGTAGGGAGCGAAAGCTTCCATGTCCTTTTAAATTACAAAGTCGCGGTCCTATGGCCAACAACGCCAGTTTAGGTCCGTGGGATATAGGCATAGGGCAGGCACCATCTTGGAATTTGGCGGCTTATAGCTGGGATCCAGTGGGCCTTGTGGTCTCACGGAAGCAAGGTGCGCATGTTAGGGGTACATCCATGAGGCGACGCGCGTGTGGAACGACCAAAGTGTACCGCTCTGCGCCGATCAGATTTCAGCTGCTCCTTGATCCACACCAGCTTTATGCGATTCTCTCTCCTTGAGTTTCCTAGGACCGTGCTCCGCGCACGTGCTTTGCAGGCAACGAGACGACCCAAGCGCGTGGCTGCAGCAGCGGCCACGACAGCGGAGGCTCCACTACGGACGCTGAGCCTCGAACTGAAGCGTACGAGCAGCCAGAAGAGGCCCATGCGGGTCTCTTGCACCCCACCGGGATTCCCGTATACCTGCCACAGCGGGCGGGATGCAAAAAGCTGATCTGCCAGGTAGGGCGTACGACCTATACCCTTGGTGACCGTCGCAACAATCGTACGACACCTGAAGGTCATCGTACATGGACGTTTTGGCAGCCACGACATACTTCACACTGCCGCTCATCCGTTCCCTGCAAGCCACACGTCCAGCACGTCCTTTCAGCTTCTGCCTTGTATGCCCCTGCACGCTTTGTACGGCTTGCTGCACGTGTGTTAAGAAAACTACGAGCAAAGCCTTCGCTCCGCGCCTCCTTCGTAGGTCGATGGCTGCGGCGCCCAGCTGGAGGGCATGAAGGGCTACTTCCTGCGGCACCGAGTGTGCGAGGAGCACAGCAAGGTTCCCGTGCTGCTTGTGAGCGGCGTGCCGTCGCGGCTGTGCCAACAGTGCTCCAAATTCCACCCCACATCTGAGTTTGAGGGGATCAAGAGGTGCGCGGCTGTGGATGGCATGGAACGGCTCTGCCGTGCCATGCGGCGGAAAGGAAAGGGCGAAAGGGGATAAGGCTGGTCGCGAGGAAGGAGGTCCTCAGGAAAAGATTGTGCACTCGACCTAACCGCTGTAGATGGCACCGAGCAAGTGTTTATCAACTGCATTGCCGAGCTGCCGGTGCCTTGGCTTAAGAAACAAGGCTGAACCAAGCAACGTTTCATGAACAACTCGCACCCAGCTGACAGTGGCTCCGCTGCTTCTGCTCCTGCCCCTCCGCTGCGCCACGGATCCCTCCGCAGGACCTGCCGCATGCAGCTCGACCGCATCCGGGTCAACAAGCGCCTCCGCCGCGACCGCAAACTCAACACCGCTGCGGTGGCAGTCCTGGCGGTGATAAGCGACGCCCATGATCCCCAACGCGGTGGTCGTGGCGGAGGCGGAGTGGACACCGGGTGCAGCAACATGGATGCAGCAGCAGCAGACGCAGCGGAGCAGGAGGAGCCGCTGCTGTTGGCGCCGCCGGGGCGCCCAGCTAAGCGGCCCGCTGAGAGCACCGGCAGTGGGGAGGGCTCATGTACGGAGGGACGCAAGGCTCGTCACGTCAGCAGCAGCAGCCACACGGATCCGTTGCCGCCGCTGCCATTAACACAGCAGGAGCCGCAGCAGCGGCAGGGCTTGCAGGGAAACAGATCTGCGGGTGTCGGCGGCGCGGATTGTGGAGGCGGCGGCAACGCATGTGGGCCCGGCGTTGGTCACGGCGTTGGTGTTGATCCCGCCAAGGGCACTGCAGCGGCGTGGATCGCACCAACCGTCGGGCTGCAGGAGTTAGGCGCAGCTTCTGCATTGCTGCCAATGCTGCAACAGCAGAATACCGTTGCCGATATAACTGCTGCTGCTCTTGCGCCGGCAGTTGCAGTTAGGCCGGCGAATCTTACCAGCACTGCCCTCGACGTGTTGTTAAACAACTCCTCGCAGCCTCACAGCATGCTAGGCAGTTCACCCGCTTTCACCAATGTTGCCGGGGATGCAGCGCCGTTCGTGCCGGCTGCTTACCTGGACTGCACCCACCGGGCTTCTTCTTGTGAGCATAACGGGCTGTCGTCTCCCTTCCATTCGAGCGCTGTCTTCATCTCGGGCTCGAGCGCAACACTGCGCAACGGCGGTGCGGTTGGGGAGCGGGCTGGCCAGGCGACCCTGCCAACTGCTCCCGCAAACCAGCAACCCGAGCCTGGCGGCATCGCCAGGGATGCTAGTACGTTCCAGCCAAGCAACAACCGGCTTCACCCGCTGTTGCAAAGTCAGCTTCAAAGCGATTCGCTGCTCAGGCAGTGGCAACAGGAGCAGCTCAGGCAGCAGCAGCAGGTTGAAGCGGATATGCGCCAGCAGCAGCAACAAGGCTTCTTGCAACAGCACCCGCAGCAGCTGCAACAGCTGCAGCAGCAGGCACAGACCTGGCATAGCCTTCCTGCTTCGGATGTGGCCGCGCGGGGCAGCGCGTTGGAGCAAAGCTTCCCGAGCGGCTGCCTGTCGGATGTTGCGACCTTGTCCCTCACAACGCAAAACCAATCCCGATTGCAACGACATGAGGACGTGCTTGTTCCCGGCTCAGGACAATATCCCATATCGCATCCGGCGCCCACGTCCCAACAGCAGGAGCAGCAGCAGAAGCGGCAGCAGGAGGAACAAACTGGCTTGCAACTCCAGCACCCCCAGGCAGGACCTTTAGCAGATGCTGACTGCAGCAAACAGCCAGCCAAGTTGAGTGTGACACCGTCATTCGGCGATGTCCTGCCTGCTAGGCATTCCTCGCAGGACAGCAGGAGCGGGGCAAACACCCCTCATCAAATGCTTAGCCTTCCTCCGCCGCCACCGACCGCCGGTGGGCTGCTGTCTGCTTCCGCCTCAGTCACTTCTAACGCGGAAGGCGCAAGTCCCGCCACTGCTGCTGCTGCTGCTGCTGCAATACCGGCTGTAGCCGGGGATGCTACGGGTTCCTTTTTCCGCCCTGCTTCTGCAACCTTTGTTCCCGCATTCACGCACTCCTGTTCACCTGCTGCTGCCAGGCTGGCGACCCCAGTACCCGATACCCGGGCGGCAGCCGGTAATCATGGCGATGCGGGCAGTGCAACGCTGGGAGCACCCCACGGCGATGCGGGCACCGCAACCCTTGGCGCCCCTCCGCTACACCCCACGAGCCGTCCGGACATTACATGTAACACTCCCGCCCTAACCGCCACCGCACCCGCCACGACGGCACACAACTCCCAGGGCCACCCAGCTGCTCCCCTGGTATCCCTGCAAGACAACGACATCGACCCCCAGCATGCTGCAGACCTTGGGGGCTCCTTGCTTGACACCCTGTGGGATCTGCTACACGCGCAGGGAGCCGAACTCTCGGTTGCTCCCGATGACACTACCGCTACTGCTGCTACCGCTGCTACTGCTGCTACTGCTGCTACCGCTGCTACTGCTGCTACTGCTGCTACTGCTGCTACTGCTGCTACTGCTGCTACTGCTGCTACTGCTGCTACGGCCAACCCACAACAGCCCTCATGGCTGGGCTGTGGTGCAGCCCGTGATGTCAACAATAGCAGCAACATTATCACCCATTCTGCAGCAGCAGCAGGAACTGGCATGGCTGGTCCGCAGAACTGCTGGGAGGGAGCAGGCCAGCAGGACGCGCTTTCGCGTGCGGGTTCTTGCATGGCCGGGCTTGCTACGGCGCACCCTGCAAGTCTGCCGCTGCCTGCACTACCAGTGGAAGGTGATTTGGGGCTGCCGATGGGTGCTGGTGTTAGCGTGACTGGTGGGGTTGCTGCTACTGCCGGGTTCGACGCCACGTTGGTGCCGGTGGTAGCGCAGGGGCTAGGTGTGCAGCAGAAGGAGGCTGCTGCTCGGTTGTCCGCTGGGGGCATCATGCAGCAGCAACACCAGCAGCAGCACCAGCAGCTGCCGTTGTTGCACCGCGACGTGCTTTACCCGGCGCATGCCTTTGTATCATCTGCGTGTGGTGGAAACTCGCAGCTTTTGTTTCCACAGCTATCACCGCTATCGCATCAGCAGCAGCAGCAGCATCAACAGGAGCAGCAGCGGCAATGGCACTCGCTTGGTCTGACGCAGCAGGCACAACCGTACCGGCCACTACAGCAGCAGCAGCCATGTTTGCAGCAGCCATGTTTGCAGCAGTCGCAGCAGCAGACGCAAGCCTGCTGGTCGCGGCCCCCCATGCGGCCGGCAGTGCAAGTTGCAGGACGGCTGTTGGCACGTCTGCTGGACCCCAACTCAAACAACATGCATCCGGGGGCTACGGATGACCAGGTAAGACATCGTTTCCTAGCTTTCCGGTGTTTGCGAGCTAGTTTGGCAGCGATTCGTGTTGCTAGGCCGTTGCCATGGCAGCAGCACTTGTCTCCTCCGCGTGCATCCCAAATGTAAGGAAAACTATGCCCCTAACTCCGCCCACTCTTATCTTGGCGCTCCTCCCGCCAGGGACCCCCTGCCGAGCAACAGATGCTGCGACGACAGCTCCTGTCCACTCTTGCAGCCCCCTGCGCCGGTACCTGGGCAGCAACCCCCGGGGTTCCCCTGGCGGCCACAACCGACGCCATGGCAACAACAGCTGGCGGGTGCGCCGCCCTTCCCCACGCAGCAGCAGCAAACACGCCGCTTCCATCACACTGCTGGGCACCCGGTGTGTCAACTGGGCTTGGTAGCTTCTTCAACAACAACAACAACAACGGCGTCGGCGGTGATGTCTTGGGCGCAACTGTTGACCCTGCAGGCAGCAGAGGGCACTTCACAGCGGGTTGGTCAAGTGCTACAGGTTACTGCTACTCGGGCTCCGGAGCTGGTGTTGCTGCTGCTGCTGCTTCTGCTGCTGCCGGTCTTCCACATGCAGCAGGAGGCCTGGTTTCCTGCGTTGCACAAGACGGTGTCTTCGCCATGGGTGGTAGCTGCAACCAGGTGGCCTCCATGCGGGGCTTCCATTCCAATGGTTATTATGAGTCGTGTGGTGTTAACTCGGCATCGGCGCTACCGGGCGTGGTGGCACCCGGCGGAGGAATGCTGTTCCCACCCGAGTCTGCAGCTCATCACCCCTCTCCAGCAACCCAACTTCAGTCCCTTTCGGAAGCGAGGAATCTGGCCTTGTCCCGTGTTGGTATTGGCATTGTTGTTCCTCCTTATCCAGCTGCTGCCGACTTTTTCAGAAGCAGTAACAGCAGCAGCAGCACAACAGCAACCGTTGGTACGGAGCTTCCGTACGGCGCCGGCGGCTGTGGTGCCGGCGGCGCTAACAGTGCCTTTGCAGCGGCGGGAGCCTGCGGCAACACGACGATGATGATGATGCCGCCTGACATGCTTTTGACGCGCATTTCCTTGAAGATTGCGCAGTGCAGACCAGAAGAACTGCCGTACGATATTCGGACACGGTTACAAACGCTCGTCCGGGAGGCACCTGTGGAGATCATGCAGGGGTGCCTGAGGCCGGGTAAGTACGGTAGGAAAGTTGTTGGAGGTGTGACGGGAATACATGTCCCGTGTTTAATCCCGCTTTGCTTCAATGTTTAATCCCGCGTTGCTTCACATGCACCAATGGGCTGGAAACCTGGAATGTGTGAGTGAGCGAGTCATAAGAGCGGTTCACCTGGATTTCTGCCTTACCGTAATCCTTCTATCTCATGCGGATTGTGCTTTCAAACTGCAGTGTTGATGCAGCCCTCTTGTCCTCCTGCCGCTCTCCATGCAGGCTGCACCGAACTAGTCCTAGATGCGCTCCTCACGGGTCAGGAAGGACCCACGGGTCAGCAGCACCTGCAGCAGCCGTTGCTTATGCAAATCCTTCAACGATCCGGCTCCAGAAACAGCTGCTCTAAGCACCATGACGACGAAGACGATGATGCAAGCGCTGTGGATAACGCCACCGCCGCTGCCGCCGCTTTGCTGGAAGCGCTGCCGTACAGTCTGCGGAGCAAGGCCGTGTGTCTTCAGGTAGCAGATCAGGCGCTGTTGGTACAGCCGGGTGCGGCTCCGCTGCTGGTCAGCTGGGAGGAGACGTGCGAGCGACGGGGCGGTGGTAGCGGCGGCGGGTTGAGGAGGACTGTTCGGCGTCCTGAGCTCCTGCGGGCGGGCGGCGGGAGCGGTCCGGTGGTTTGCAGTGAGGACGCAGGTGGGTGGGCCGGATGCGTAGGAGGAAGAAAGAGGAAAGAAGCGCTTCATGGTGACTGCTTTAGCCATGCATGTCTTAGATTATACTGCTAATACTATGAAACTGCGAATGACATCGTTAAACCAGTTATAGTTTGTTCAATGGATTAAGGTACCTACTACATGGATACCCGTAGTCATTCTAGAGCTATTACACGCACGCACAACCTGGCTTCTGGTTCTTCCTGATGTTCTCGACCCCCGCGGTATGCAGAAGAAGAGGGCTGCATACGACTGCGTGTCTCCGGCCGGCACCTGACCGACCCAGGGGTCACTCTGCTGGCACGATTAGGCGGCCGGGCGCTCTCCGTACGAGCTATCACACCCGTAAACGGCAACGGCGCTGGTTGCTGCACGCTCAACAACAACGATTCCCACACTGACAGCTCTACAACCACCACTGCAACCACCACTACCTCCGAAGCTATTCATGAGAAGTCTGCGCCGACGCCGGCAGCGGTCAGCACTACTAGCATCACCGGCAGCACAAACACCACCGGGAGTATTATCGTTGGCGACGCTCGTGAGACATCTACGCTGTCGCAATCCCCATCGCCTCCTCACCCAACACCACCTTGGCCCTCGTCCCATGCATCGCCACGGGATCGTCGTGAGTTTAATAAGACGGCAAGCGGCGAGGAAGCGGGGGAGCCACGAAGCACCAACCCTGTTCCAAGTGACGATGAAGCGGCACGGACCCATGACAACAACGACGATGGCGTAGGAATGGAGTACGACGTAGAGATAGATCTGCCGTACGATGCTCCCGTACAGGGCCTGCTGATCCTTGAGCCCCGGGTTGGCAGCATGCTGGGTCCTTGGCTGTCGGTGCTGGTACTGGAGGATGCTGCTCTGTTGGCGGAGGTGGAGTCCTGCTTGTCACGGGGAATGCAGCCTGAGCATGCGAGGCGCCTGGTGGAGGGTCTAGGTCTGTTTGTAGACCATGCAGAGCGTTGTTTAGCAGCAGCGACAGCAGCAGCAGCAACGGGTGCATATCCGAGGGCATCTGCGGGTACGGATGCGAGTGCGAGTGCGGGTACGGAGGAGGCAAGTCATGCAGGATGCAGGGGCGAGCGGGCTCAGGCATCAGCTGGCAGCAGTAGCAACAGCAGCTCCAGCCGCGGCGGCGGCGCGCATGACCGTGTGCTGCGGTTGGGTCGCAGCTTGCTGGCGTTGAGCGCGCTGTGGTGGGTGTGGTGTGGGTGTGGGCGTACCAGTGCTACATTCCCGGCTCTTGCATGCTATCCGGCTCATGCTGTCCGGCGCTGTATGTGTGGTTCAGGAGACGGGGGCTTGGGGCTGCTGTTTCACGTCTAGGTTGGTAGCCTTGGTGGTGCAACGGCAGCCTATCTGTTGGGGCTGGTGGGGCAACCCATTGAGGGGTATCCCAGCATCAGAGGCATTCCTCGTCACGCATGCAAACTCACGTGTCCTTCCCGCGCATTCATCGCTGTGCATGCGTGGAAGCCGCTGTGCGTTAAAATCGCCGGCGTTACTTCGCTGATACACTACCACCTGCCCTTTGTCATGCATGATGGACCCACACACTTCCCGCCGCCCGCATGCACCCGCACGTCCCATGCAAACTTTCCTGCAGGCTTCCCTGCCGTATGCCTACTTCCGCTCCATGCGCGCATGTAACGCTCCCTCTTCTGCACGCATTGGCCCGCTACCCGCCTACCGCTGCACGCAGGGGCTGTCCGAGGCTGCTCGCCTTCCTGGGCTCCCACATGGTGGACCTCGGGGAGCCGCTGGCCCGCCTGCCCGCCGCCCGCTGCGGACCCTGGGAGCTGCTGACGTGTGCGGTACTGTCGGGATGCCGCCGTGTGGTCCACATAGTGGCGGAGTGGGTGGCACGAGCAGGGGGCAGCAGTGTGAACTGGCGGTCGCCTGGTGAGAAGGGAGAGAGTGGGTGTGGTGGTGGGAAAAAATTAAATAAGTGAAACAACGGGCGGGAGGTTGCGACTTTACCGCATGTCACATGCAAACGCTGAGCACGCGCGACGGTGCTGTGCCGCGTTGATGTACATGCCGAGTACACGCCAAGCCGACCCGCGGGTCAGCTAATATGTGGATAAGCCGGTAGGCTTCCTACAGCATTGTTGGCTCGCATGCGTACCGTCACTCGATTGCTTACAGCGTGTCGTCTACCTCTACCCTGCCTCCTACCTTTCCCCAATTCCTACCCTTTCACGCTTCCTACCCTTTTTTACGCTTGGGCACTGTGCACCTCTTACCTTCCCTCCACCCTTCACAATCGCAGTGGCCGGAGTGCGCCCCTCCTCCGGCGCGACCGCCCCCACCTTGTTGCACCTGGCAGCTGCGTTGCCGCCGCCCGCAGCCTCCACCGCGCTCCGCATCCTGTGGGGCCTGGCGCGCGCATGCAGCCGCAGCCAGCCGGCAGACGCAGAGACAGACGCAGACGCCTTCGCTGCCTCTTGGTTTGCCGAGTCAGCTGCTGCAGCCTCTGGCTGGGATGCACCCGCTGCACTCTTTCGGATCTCCGCAACAGCCACGACAGCAGCAACAGCGGCGACGGCAGTTGCTGATCAGGGCCCGGGAGTAGCAGGTCCGAGCCGCGTGACGAATGCCGTACCCTCTGTTACCTGCACCGCGTCTAGGCTGCCGGCGGAAGCCGAGGCTGCGGCTGCTGCCGCTGCGGAGGCGGTGGCGATGGTAGATTGGTTGGACTACCGCTGTATGATGCAGCTGGTTTCCTCGTACATTCGTACACACAGCCTCACCTCCCCGCTGGATTACGTGGATCTGCCGTCCTCGGATCTCTCGTCCAGCGCCGTGCGATTGGGTACCGTACCCATCGGCGGCAGCAGCTACGGTCGTAACGTGGTTGCTGCGGCACCAGCTACCACATCCTCGCCTTCAAAGGAGGCCTTGCCGGCTGCGCACGCCGCGATGGACGGCGGTGGCAGCGAAGGTATGGCTGTAGGCACACCACCTCTACTGCTGCCGAGGGCAGCGACCTCAGTTCACCCCAGCCCTCCTCAGCTAGAAGAACGCCGCCTTCGCCTACATTGCGACAAGGCCAACAAGGACCGGCAGAACTTCCACGCGCAAGACCTGGAGCAGGGCCCTCCACGACGCATGCGGATAGCTGTAGCACCCCAGGCGCTACAGCCGGCGGCTGCCCCCACATCCTCATCTGCCTCCCTCACCGCCGCCGCTGGCATGCGTGCCTCTGACGGCTCGCCGAGACACGTCAGCGGCTCAGCAGCCGACGTGGACCGGGGTTCCTGGATCCCCGCCGGAACCAGCCTTACAACCGCCCTCGCAACCGCCACGGATAAATACAGAACGAACGCAACGACCACAACGGCCACAACGACAACAACCACCATGTGCGCTTCTGGCTCCATGCCCACCTTCTTTGGCAGTTGTACGACAACTGCAACCGGCAGGACATCAACAGCCATGTACGGCGGCGGCTCCTCACTGACCTCGTCTTTGTACGACATGCAAGCTACAGCTCGGCAGCAGCAGCAGACCGCAGCATTAAGCGCAAAGCCGCTGCCGCTGCAGCTGCAGCCCCTATTGCACCTCTCTCGGCCGCTTCCCGGTAGCAGCAGTAGCTGCTCGGCTCCTGACGACGCTACCAGCAGCGGCTCGCTGCTCAAGTTGCGGGAGGTGGGAGATGCAGCAGCAGCAGCAGCAGCGGGAGGTGATGGTGGGTGCGACCGGGCTGACAGTGGCCAACAGGAGCAGCAGCAGGTGCAACAGCAGCAGGTGCAGCTTGATGACAATACCGCGGTTGCAGCAATGGCGGGGGAGACGACGGCTGGCGGCGCTTACGGTCCGCAACCAGAGCCGGTGCAGGAAGAGGGCCTGCGGGTGCACCAGCAGCTACAGCCGCAGCCGCAGTTGGAGCCACATGATGAGGACAGGGATGCTGCAGTACCCAGCACGCGTGGAGCGGTGGTGGAAGAGGAGGAGGGGGAGGAGTTTGACGGGGGAGCGGTGGTGATGGGTCCAGAAGCGGTTACAGAGCCGCCGCCGCGTGGTAACGTGCGAGGTCTGGCGCGGCTGTTCAAGAGATTGTTTAGCAGCCGGGGTTCTGGTTCGGGGCAGTGATGGGCTGGAGCTTAGAAGGAGGCCTGCATGGGGCGCAGATGGAAGGTGGGATTGGAGGTTTGGAGGCTGGATGTGGAGTGGCGGCAGTCCCATGGGTCGGTGAGGAAGTGTAGTGGGAAGGTGAGAAGGACAGATGGGGAGAGAGGGGTTTTAAGATGTCACAGCAGGACGGCGGGGGGCGCTTGGGGATGGAGGGATGGTATGCAAAGGGATGGTGCAAAGGGGAACTAGGGTTTGATGACGGCTGATGAGAGCATGATGAGGAATGCTGTTTTCCTGGGAGGAGGTCTGTCACGGACGATGCACGTGTGGGTTGGGCCGTAAGCCTGCTACAGCTGCAATGCTAAGCAGGTAATCCCAGGCGTGTGTGTGACGCCTGTCTAATATGCAAGGCCACAAGAGGGCACAGCTTCTGCATGCGTCCCGCTTTCAGTGCCGTAAAGCACACACTCACATAGACGATCACGTTTTGAGAGGCATTTTCACGTCCGTTACAATTGAGCACACATGCGGGGATGACAATGTGTCATTAGCATTCGCGGTCTTCACATCATCACCCTTCACACCATGTCAGACCTTTTTCATGTGCAGCGTTTTGTCCGGTCCTTGGCTGGTTGGTTATTTATTATCTTCAATGGTGGGGGAGACACACGAACAGAGGGCCCCCCAACTCGTTTTGGGAGCCTGTCGCGCTCGAAATAAAATTTTTGGCGGCGTTTTTTCCATGAAACATTACCTATCCTGTGTTGCTGTCGCATCTTGTCTGGACTAGATACATTTGAGAGGGAAACCATAGCAGCACGAGACATTGAGAAGATTTTGAAGGCGGGAAGGGTATACAACATCACACGCTTGGCACTGGACATCTATTCTATGGCGGCCAGCGCCAGAGCTCCATAACACTGGCAACTGCAGCATGGTTTCTGCGCACTTATTTCTACGGGTATGCGGCAGGTCGCAAGCGCGCCGGGCTCGGCTCTTAATCATGGCGAGCTAACGAGCGTCCTAATGCGACTTCGACATTTTGCGTTTCATACAGGACCTTGTTCCATTCGGGTGTGGTTGTGGGGGCCATGTGCTGGTGTGTACATGTATGTGTGACTCATGAGGGTCTGGAACAGCAGCTGAGAAGCAGTATAGAAAAAATGAGTTACGGGTTCCCTGTGATATGCAGGGAACATACCAAAGTGCGACACCTGAGCGGGTGAGGTGTGCGGCATAACTGTGTCATTAGGGTATGTTCCGGCTGGTGGGAAGGAGGAATGTTGACCATACATGGCACACGGCACGGAAATCCGATCTTTTTTTGCTAAATATAGTTGTTGCTAGTTGTGATGGCCATTACCAGCCTCGTTGGGGTGTCTTTCTCGTCCGTGGCGTGGTGCTGGCTTGGGTTCACAGTCCGTTTCATGCTGCCATACGGCTGTACCTTTATTCATATATCCGGGACTACATGCAACAACATGTAACTGCAACAGCATCCTCGAGTGGTGGGAAACTGGCGAGCTAGATCCCAACAGCGGGTCGGCGGTTGTAGCACTGGCTGCTGCTTCGACGCCACGGTGCTCAAGCATTCTGCATGCATGGGGCCTTTAGGGTACCGGAAGGTTGGACAGAGTAACGTTGGGGCCTAGCTTGGCTCGTTCCGCTCATTCCGTCAGTCACACTATTTTACATAAATCTCCCTTCGGCCCTTCCTCAACTTCTCCGTCACCTGCCAACCTGCTGCGACCCTTCCTACTTAAAAAGGTAGTAGAAAGTCCAACACACATACCCAACGCACATAGGACATACGTACAAAACATCCACACATGTGGACCCCCACAAACTACGACATTAGTACTCGCAAACATAAAACGCCGTGCCCGCGTCACGTACGGGGGCGGGTGTACGGACGAATGTAGCCCGTAAGCCTGCCGTACTGTCACCTTTGTCGTACCCATCTGTTCTCCAAGTCTTCGGCGGGCTCGGCAGCAGCGCAGACGTGAGGCACACACATCCGCGTTTCTAGCGAGGAACCCAGTCCAGAAACCCCATGAGACCTCTTCCGCCCTGGGATTACATCACAACCTGCTAATAATAACAAATCAGTGAACAAGAAGCGTGTCACACCAAACAAAACATGCGTTTTCGCACACAGGTTTGTGCACGCATAAAAGACCTCCAAACGTGGGCACGCGTTAAATATCTGTACTAAATTGCACTTGAAAGGCAATGACACAGGAAAAGGGGCTATGTGAGTGGCAACAAAAACCACACCCAGTCAAATAACCAAGTACCAGTCGACATACCATCATACCAAGGCAAACCGATTTGCCGGGCACATGCCCGGAAAGGTAAGCAGACTACCAATTAGAATGCTTCGAGCACTGCAGGGATCAGGGCTGCGGCGGGGAGAGGCGGGACTCCGTTGACCGTTGACACACCGTCAATACACACACGCGCAAACCACATTTGCCATACCCGCCTCCAACACACTTGTCGCAACCCTAATCTCCAAATCACAGATCGTGTGCACAATTGGCACCTAGGTCACCGGTGAGGTGAACCTTCAATCATCACAGCCGCTTTGCAAGAGTAACACTGCTGCAAATCACGGCCGTACAAGCAGAAAAAACGCGGTCGCATACACAAGGAGCAGTGTATGTAAGGGACTACTAGCTACGCAGTTAACAAGTGCCGTGGTCAGTGACGTGTCATACTCAATAACGTGTTCACCAAACACATGGAAAATTCGGATGCAGCAAACAAGATGGGGCGTGTACAATGAAGGGCTCATCACTCCCACACCGTTCCGCGATCTTCCAAGACCTTCAAAAGTTGATCTTCAAATCAAGGAACCTTACACCAGTCTCAGGACCAACAAGCACGGACCACAATAAATTGCAACATCAAAAACAGGTACACGAATCTTCGGTAGCAGTACGTGCTGTGATCGCCACGGCGGCCGCACGCTTGCCAAGCTCCCTTCTTCATGACGATCACGTCAAGACCGGACTGCTGCTAATGGGGATGTTAGGATTTTAGGGAGAACATGGCCCCAACAGCTCAACAGCAAATCCAGGCTAGTGTTTTCCTTTTAATAAAAAGGAGCTCAAGAGCAAATCCAGGCATGCTTTCGGAGCTGCATGGCTGTAGGACGGTCCTCGGGCCGCTCTGCGAGAGCACTGGTGATGAAGTCACGTGCTTGCGGGGATGTCGTACTTGGGAAGCTGAACACCATGCTACAGCCGTGAGAGGCGTGGCTGCCCGCAATGTACGGCGAGAACCCGAGCAGGAGCGTGTAGGCCAGGCAGCCGATTGCCCAAATGTCCTGTGAAGGGGGGAAAAGTGGGCGGCGTTAGAGAGGGGAGGAGGCGGGAAAGGGTGCTACATTATGGTGGTTAGGGCGACGGTTCCTGTGTTCTGATACATCTTTATCGGTCGGCGAGTAAAACTTATCCTTCCATATACTTCCCCCGGCTTTCCTATAGTTTCCTTGCTAAATAGCTTTGATGAAGGCTTTCCTGCTTGGCATGGACTGAACCAGCAAACTTGCAGTCTCGCTGTTGCATCAACTGTGTTCAAGGTCGCCTTCCCTCAGACCTCCTCCTTACCGCAGCAGTAGTGTACGACAGACCCATGTCGTGTTTGTTGTCCTCGGGGCGGTCCTTGATGGGGCAGCGCTCCACCTCCGGGGCCATGTAGCCCACTGCGCCGGGCGGCAGGAAGGGGAGGGGGAGGTCCGGAAAGGAAGTTTAAAGGGGTGAAAACGAGCTGAGCACAAACGAGGAGATGAATTCGCGATTAGTTGTAGGAGTTGGTTGCGACTTACCGGTACCCGCTCGTGTTACGGCTCGCTCCGCGCCGATGTTGATTGCGACGCCAAAGTCCGCGAGCATGAGCCGCCAGTCGTTGCGGAACAAGATGTTTTCGGGCTGCATGCACGGCAAAAAAGTAGCAATATGTTGCGATTATCATCGTAACCGCCTGAGGCCATTCGCAATCATATTACTAATGCTTACGAATACCACCAGGCAGCAACCACCGCCAAAACTAATAGAACCTAGAGCCAATTTGGCCTTCCTAAGAACTTGGTCGACTAAACTTTTCAAACTCTTACCTTGATGTCGCGGTGGATGATTTGCTCCGCGTGCAAATGTGCGACCGCGTTCAGCAGCGGCCGCAGCACCAGCACTCGCGCCTGGTCCTCGCTCATCCGACAACCCAGGGCCCTGGCCGCAGCGAAGACAGTGCGAAGGAAAGATATAGTACAGAAAAGAGCAGCAAAGATGTAAACTAACAAGGTTTAAGTAAGATCACCCGAAAATTGAAAACCAAAGAACGACGCAAACACCGTTACAGCTTGTTAAACAATATTTGGTTATTTGAATTTTACTTCGCCCGGCCCCACCTGTGCACATCGTGGAGGTCTCCCTGCGATGCGAACTCCTGCACCAGCACCAGCCGGGCGGCCGCAACGTCCTGCACCACACCAAGCACCGAAATGCACCGCAGCTGTTAGCAACAAGGTACCCAGCTTCACAATACAGCAGAGCACAAAGATGTGAAGGAAAACAACCAAGGGCGGCAAAACATCGGGCGGACAGAGTAAAGCAGTCCGTGACCGCTGTTAGACGCGGTGGTGTGCTTCCGTTACCTGGAAAGCGGCGTACAGCAATGTGATGTTCTCATGGACAACCGACGATTGGATCTCAATTTCACGCCTGTGGGCAAGGAAAAGCGCGCAGGCGTTGCAAAGCAGAGGTTACATACAGTGGTGAACAGCGATTCCCGGCGTTATCTCAAACACGGCCAGTGGATGGCACAGAATGTGAACCTGCGCAAGCACATGTCCATTGCCTCTTCCCAGCTTCTACTCCCTCCCCGCCCCATGCTCTTCCCCGCTTGCACCCCCTCTCCGCCCCCGGCTCTTCCCCTCCTCCTCCCGGCGTCCCCCCTGCCACCCACATCAGCATGTGCGCCACGTTGGCGGGTACCCGGTTCAGGTTGTACACCTTGAGCGCCACGGGGTGACCGGAGCGCAGGCACACCGCCTGGCGGGGGTGGGAGTGAAAATTATAAATAAGTGCAACAACACGGGGGAGAAGGGGGAGCAGGAAGACAGACAGCATGGGAGTCAAAGAGAGACCACAACCACAGGACAGCATGGGAGAGTGGCGGGGGTGGGGCTCATTGGGGTTGCATGGAGGCCGGGGGTGGCACTTCACAAGGGTGAAGTGCACGCCAGGACAGCACAACAGCAACAAGAAATGGGCACCACAAAAAAACCGACAGAGAGATGCAGGGCATTCGGGCAGCTATCGGTATATAGCCCCCGGCATCATCAGATACGGCAACTCACGGCGTACACCGAGGACGTGCTGGACTTGTAGAGCCGCCGCTCCACAAAGTAGTCACCCAGGGACCAGGAGGGGCGCATCATGGCCGGGGGTGTGCCCGGGCTAACCGCCAGGAGGATGGTGGCGGGCAGGCCAGAGGGAACGGAGGCTGCCTGGGCCCGGGCGGGGGCTGGGGGTGCGGCTGCTGGGGGTGCTGCGGGTGCTGTTGCTGGGGGCGTGGGTGTGGGTGCTGCTACTGCCTGCAGCTTTGCTACTGCTGCCACTCCTGCCGCGTCCTTACAGCTTCCAATAGCCGCTGCTGAGGATGCTTGGGGAGCTGCTGCTGCTGGCGTCTGCCCAGAAGAATTCGCGGGTGCAGCTGTTGCTGAGGTTGAAGCGAAGGATGCTGCCGTGGATGCAACTGCCCGCTCTGCAGCCGCCTCCCGGAGGGCCTCCTCCGGTTGAGGTTCAGGTAGCGGCTCCAGAGCGAGCGCCGCCGCATCTGCAGCCACCTCCGCCTCCGCTGCCTGCACTACCTCTGTTGCCACTGTTCCTGCTGCCGGCGCTGCTGCTGTCGGCTCCGCCGCTGCCTCCACGGGAGCTGCCACTCTCCGAGTGGCCTCTGACGTCACCGGGGTTAGAGGCCCTTCTGCAGAACACGCAACCGGGGCTGGCGCCTGCGCTGCTGCTGCGGCTGCAGCTGCGGCGGCAGTGGCTCCTGCTGCGGCGGATTTCCCGGCCTTTGCAGATGTAGCAGCAGCAGCGGCTGCGGCTGCAAGGTTGGTAGGGATCTCCTTCCGGAACTTCGACGGTACGGCTTCTCCGTACCATGAAGGTGCCGCGCCCAGCGAACGCGCCGCTACACCCTGCATCCCAGCCACCGGCTGCTGCCTGGCTGTAGCACTGTTGTAGTTGTTGTCGGTTGTAGCAGCGTCGTCCCCCGGCCGTGCACCTTCCGGCGGCATCTTGGGGGAGCGCAATTGCAGGGCGCGCGCGGCTGAGAGGTTGAGGCCGCGCTTTTGGGCTGCTTTGGGTTCGTTGGCTGTGAGGGGTGCGGAAAGGGCGTTGGCACAGAGGGCCCGTTCCTCTGGAAGGGACAACATGCCAGATGCTGCTTCCGCACCGGCCTGAGGTTGGGGTGCGCTGCATGGCGGTTCGGAAGGCTCAGCGCCTGGGATGGGTGAAGGAGGCGTGCTGCGACCGCCGTCGACAGCCGCTACTAGGAGTGACCTGAGCCGGGAATCGGTTCGCCTGTGGGAAGGAGCGTAGAAAGTACAGGGTTGGAGAGGAAGAAGTATGAGTTCATGCGCGGTGAGTTTTTCTAAGGGCGCAATTCCCCGAAACCTAAGAAGGTCGAGCCCCCAAGGAAAAGACCGACATACATACAAGTCGAGTACTAACCTCCATGGTGCGACAGGTAAGGATGCGCGGCCGAATCCTGGTGAACAACCGGAGTTAAAGGACGGCGTCTGCTTGCAGCCATCCGAGTCCTGAGACAGTTCAACGCCACTCGGCCTACTGTCGGAACTTAGGTTGGCTTTACTTAATTTAGAAAAGATTGACTTCAGCTTCCGTAGGCCTAAGAAGCCAGAGGCTGGGTCCGCGTTCCGAGGCATGGAAAATTGACGCAGCGCCAAACCTCCTGTCCTATGCAGTGTGTTTCCACAATAAGCCCACACTCAGTGATTTAACGTAACGCTTATGGTGCGGTCGTATTAAAAGTCTGCAGGGGAAAAGGAGCCCGCTGGCGGAGAACCTTTCTGCGAGAAAAAGAGCAGCCTCACCTAAAGATTCCTACCGAGGCGCGGGCAACACGTATATAGGAGAACAATACTTAATACTAAGGACCTGGCTGTCCTTTCCTTGGCTGGAACTATTTAGTCAGGCTCCGTATTCCTTGGAGTTCGGGTTCCGGGGTTCGGCACCCATCCCGGTACACTCCCCTATAGCGAATTCGCGATAGGTACATATACTAATTGCGGCCTGCATAACTCTGTGCCGCGATAGTAGATACAATTGTTGGGTAAGAAAGCTGACCTGGCAGCGCTTCCGTAGGCTGCGTCAGATGCTTACGAACCCGCGCACTCGCCATGAACCGATGAAGTTTCTATATGTGTCCCAGACAGCAGAGGAATTATACTACTACAGTACCAGCAACGTTTATGCGGAGGACTTGCGCTTGCATCAGTGGTCCACGTGAATCACAAACGGGTAACGCCAACGCACCGGGCTGCGACGCCTTTACGTATCGCAGTTTGCAGATACTGCAGGTTTATATTAATTCCAATTGTTGGCCAGCTGTATGAACCACCGCCTGCCACACGCAAACATATAGTTCGTGGTTCTCTGTCCTCTGCTGTCATGCGCCTGTTCGCTCTATCTGCACCGATGTGCGCGACATGCCATCACACCTTCAGATTTCAAGAGGCCCTTCGGATCAGCGCCTATGCAAGCCAATGGTATTTGTTGACAACCCTTGCTTGCCTTGCAGACACCGGGACAGGGCCCGGTAGCTGCACCACTCATGTCCAAGGTATATTGCAATCTCGGCAATCTTGTTGGCTACTTCTCTGCGCATGCATGCAGTGCATGAGAGGGGAAAGCTGCGACAGGAACCAGCGCCGGGACTGGCCATCCTTGGCCTCCTAGGTCCCGTTTGTTTGGTAAGGCCTGGGTGTTTCAACCGGCTGCCAATGGAGTAGTGCTAAGGGGCCAGGACTTTGCGGGCACTCTCCAGGAGGCAGCACCCTCCTGCTTAGAGGGATGCCTTAACCATGTATGCCTGAACACAGCCGTAATACGGTAGCAACTACTACACATAGCCATACATACCCATGCGTAGGCCTGAACAGCTCATTAAGCGCATTTCAAGAGTGTAGCAAGTAAGCCCTTAAGGGTAAAGGGCAGGTATGCCGTGATCGCATGCCCTGCATAACTGTACGACAACCGATGCAATCGCGTACGGTGCCATAACCGCCGCACCCACAATAGGAGCAACGGAACCGTATAGGACACGAATGCGGCTAACAGCCGACCTTCATCGAAGTGTATGCACATCTTGATCGACGGAAACAGCATGCCTATTGGCCACTTGGTAAGCAGCCTTGTGTTTTATGCCTTTTCTTCCTCATGATTAAGTCTCATTAAGGATTCCCCGGTTGCAGTTATATACCAATCCATGTAACAAGGCTATGATGGAGTGAGTGATAGCACTCTTAAGCAGCGAAAGCAGAAAGATCGAGAGGCTGCGGCTAAAAATGGACGACGCCGACGATTGGATCAGCCAGAATTTAGTTAATTTTATAATGAGTCAGGGGTCTTCAGTATCGAGTGATGGAAATCCACACGCGCTTGCGGCGGAGTTGACGTCGGCAGGTAAAGCATTGCTAATAACGCGAAGCCAATTAACGAGTCTACGCCATACCTAGGCAATAGCGAGTGCACCGTACCTAAAGAATGAATTAAAAAGCTAATGCGGCCCTATTGACAAACCCGCCATCTGCATGACAGCTCTGGCTCTATGCCATGTCGAAGTCGCAACCTTGGCAATAATCACGATGGCAAATAAAAAAGGGTTGTCAACAAACGGTTGTCGTCTGCTGTGCCACTTTCCCTTACCCATGCCTGCACAACATCCCGCGCTTTACGCAGAGTCTCACCTCAAATCCGCCTGGCAGCAGCTGCAGCAGGATTCAGGAACATCTTTCCCATTGCCCTTCGAGCAACTAACGGATTGGATCTCTGCTCAGGGCAAGTTCTCGACCTCAGCCGATGGCTTGGCCATCGTTCTTCACCCGAACCTACCGGAGATTGGCCTTGACCCCAATGCTCCCGCCAAAGTCTCATCGGTTGATCCGAACGGTGACTTTCCTGGGGAGGCCACCACAGCCGTGTCTCCAAGGCTAGATAGCGGCGTCAGCAATGGTGGGCTACATGCCAATGCCGCGCACTTGCTGCTAGAGCAGCGCCTACAACCCGACACGCCGTCGCCGGCGTCGGACGCAGCCGGGCCTGTCGTACGTTCCCTCGGCGGCGCCGACACTGACGAGTCGTCGGGCGGCGGCATTACGACGGCGAGCCGCCAGGAAGGCGCGCTGCCGCGCCAGGAAAGCGTCACTGAGGCGGTCGAGCGCAGCGTCAGCCGAAGCGAGTCGGCTGCCAGTGGAGGCGGCGGTGATGTGAGTGACGGAGGCGCCACGGCCGCAGTCGCCGCCGCCGCCAGCGAACGAACCGACGCCGATGACCATGGTACGGCACTCTTGGCAGACGCGGAGGTGCACACCGATGTGATTGCGGCGGCAGGCGACCGGACCGACATTGCTGAGGCCGACCCATGGGTCCATCCAGTGGCGGGCGGCGGCGGTGACGACGAGCATGTCCCGGGCGAGTCCGCATCCGGGGGCAGTCAGGAACCTGCGGATATCTCCTCCGCCTCCGCCTTCGCCTCCGCCTCCTCCGCGGCGGGTGCCGGTACGACTGTTGCCGCCGCATCCCGACCCACTGCTGCTCCCAGCGTCGCGCTCTATGTACCGCCTAGGCAGCGCTCAGGCGGGGGAGCCGCCGCCCCTGCCGCCTCTTCAAGTGGGGGCGGCGGTGCTCCTGCTGCCTCCTCGCCTGCTGCTGCTGCTGCGGGTGCTGCTGCCACTCCTGCAGCAGTAGCTGCTGCTGAGGCTGCTGCGGGTGGGGGTGCGGGTGCGGGTGACGATTTGGAGTTGTGTCTGGCGGTTGTGTTGCCGGGGGAGGACCTGGTGTCGGGGCTGCGGCGGGCGCTGGTGGGGGGCCTGCGGGCGCGACCCAACCGCATGATGACCTTTGCGGAGGTGGGTGGGGGGTGGGAAAGGAGAGCCGCCGTTTGCGTGTCAGGGAGGTCCCGGAAGGTGCAGGAGGGGCCTGGCACCTGGGCTTTGTTTGAAATGGCTTCCTCCAAGATGTGCCTTCTCACTTTTCCTCACTTTTCCTACCTGTGGGGCGTGTAGCTTTGCTTTAATTCTGTTCCTGTTCGGGCTGGTTCGGGATACCTGAAAAGCCCTTTCCGGCTGCGTGTGTGTGTGTGTTGTGTTGTGGCAGGCCGGCCTCCGCCTGGCCAAGCACCGCGAGCTGGGAGCCGCCTGGCGCGACCCCGCCTCCCAGCTGCCCAAGCTCAAGGAGTTCGCGGAGGCGACTGTGGCGCTGGTTCCGGAGGCACTCAAACTGTCGTACAACGAAAACTGGTGTGTTAAGAAAACTGGCCGCGAGTAGGAACGTACTGCGATTGTCGGAAGATGAAGTCCTCACAGAACCTGGTGTGTAGTTGTACGCTAACAAGGATGTATGTAGCTATATACGTATGTATGTGTACGACATCAGGGAGATAGGGCCAGGATTGACTCAAGGGCTTGGGTTGCTTGTCTCTTTGATATGCCGTACGTTCGTCCGAAAGTCACATGGAAGGGAAGTCCTCGACTTGGACCTCCCTTCCCTCTTCCCTTGAAAGAGGGCTGACACTTGGCAACAGCCCCAGTCGCAAGGTCCCCACCCCACCCCAACCCAACCCAACCCAACCCACCCCAACCCACCCCAACCCACCCCTAACTCGCACCCCCTCCCACCTCTTCAGGTGCCAGTGGGTGCTCCATCTGGACACCCCCGCCCTCCGCAAGGCGGCTCTACGGCGCGCGGTGGCGGCGGCCTACCCCGGGGAGGATGACGTCAGCGTCGTGCGGCGGGCGGCGGCGGCGGCGTTGATCGAGGCGGAGGGGCCGGGGGGTGTGCGACACTCCATGAACATGCCGGCACTGGGCTCGGTGGTGGTGCAGGTGGGAGGTGGGGGGTTAGAAGCAGGTGTTGTGTGGAAGCGGTTGGAAGGTGGTGGTGTGGGTGTGTAGGATCTTGGATCCTGCCATCGGATCGTTTTCTACTTCCCCGACTCCACCCATCCCGCTCTTCATCCCGGCCTCTTCCTCCTCTTCCTCCTCCTCATCCTCCTCCTCACAGACCGCCAACGGACCTCGCAGCCGCCTCGCGGCAGCCCGCGGTACGACATTCTCCTTGGCTGCCGTACTCACAGAGCGGTTGACCAAATCACCTTCACCTTCGCCTGATGACCAGCCTAACAACATTAACAACCTGCAACAACAACAGCAGCAACCGCCGTACGGCAGACAACGGTCGGGATCCAACGGTACCGGATCCAGTGGCGGCGGCGGTGGTTACATCAGCCTAAGCCCCCTGATTAGCGGCTCGGCTCGATTCGCGCGACTGGATGCAGATCGACTTTTGCAGGTGCGCGTGTGTGTGTGTTAAGAAAACTGGCCGCCAGTAGGAACGTACTGGATTGTCGGAAGATGCTGTCCGCACCAAACGTGTGTTGCATCAATTGGCTGCAAAACCGAGCCCGACCTCTTGGGAAGAGAATTGGTTTCGATCGAACCAGCTGTGACAGTGTGGGGAATAGAAGTAGACGTGAAGGTGCCGGCAGCATTGGGCTTTGGGGTGCAACTCTTGAGTCATGCTAACCGCACACGCACACCCGCTAACCTACGCCACTAGAGAACCCACACCAGCGAACACTCCTCCGAACCCTCCTCCCCGTCCCCCCCCCTACACGCATGGATTTCACCAGGGATTGTCAGCAACTGCTATCATTATCACACCACACATTGGAATTCCTGTTGTTACCCCCCCCTATGGTTTGTTATGGTCTTTGACCCCCCCCTACCCGCAGGACGCTGCAGCCGGCCGGCTGGGCGACCTCACACGCGTGCAGCCAGTGCCCCCGCGCGGCGGCGCCATCGCAGGTCCCGCACTCATGCCAGCCGCACCCTCGCCCTCGCCCGCACCCTCCCCTGCAGCAGCTGCAGCCGCCTCCGCCCCTGCCCCCGCCCCCGCAGCTTCAGGCTCCGGAGCCGGCATTCCGCCGCGAGTCAAGGTGCGTTTGTTGTGGGTGCGTGGGTGGGAAGGAAGCGAGCCGGGAAGGAAGAGGAACCATCCTCTTCATCCGTCCTTTCAACCCTTCCTGCCTGTGTTTGGAACCCTTTTCGTTGCTTCGTATGAAATTAATCACATTGTCTTCTCCTCCCTCCCTCCCTCCCTCCCTCCCTCCCTCCCTCCCTCCCTCCCTCCCTCCCTCCCTCCCCTCCCTGCCTCCCCCCAGGAGGCCCTCCGCTCCGCCATCCCCGAGGGCCGCCCGGAAGCCCTCGCCAAGCGCGCCCTGGCACTGGTGGCCGCCGCCTCCCTGGGGGCGACCCATGGGTCGGGCGACCCGCCGCTCACCCTGCGCTCCTCCCCCTGCGGCATCCTGCTGGCGGAGCTGGGGCTGAAGCCGCCCAAGGTGGGGGGGGGGGGGTAAAACATATAATGAGACACTGACGAAGCAACTCGGGGGGGGGGGCAGGGGGTGGGTGGTGGTGGTGGTGGTGGTTAACAACCCGGTACATGGGTGGGCCGCGAAATGCGCACTGATGGTTGTATGACTACTCCGTAGGAAGACAGGTGCTGGGGAGCCGGTGGTGGTGGGGGGGGAGTGGGTGCTGCTGCTATTGGTGCTCTTGGTGCTCTAGCCACCAGCCACCACTACCCGACCTCATCCAACCCCCTGACCTCCTGCATGCGGCCTTGCCTTGCCCTGCCTGCTGCCTGCTGCCTGCTGCCTGCTGCCTGCTGCCCTGCCTTGCGCGCAGGGCGCCATGCGGGCGCTGTTCGAGGAGGAGCCGGAGGTGTTCCAGGTGGGCCTTGTACGGAGGGGGGGTCAAAGACCATACCAAACCATAGGAGACACAGGTTATTAGGGCACAGCACCGTTAAGTAACACCCTACCGGTACGGGGGCTCCTGCTATCCTACGATCACAGTCAGGTTTCATGCGGCTCAGCCCATCTAATACCTCCCTCCATCCACCCTCCTTACCTTCATCCCACCCCCCAACCCCCCCCAACCCCCTCCACCCCCCCCCCCAGGCCGAACGCCCCAGTCCCAACTACCGCATCACGCTGGTGCACCCGGGGCTAGTGCAGCTGGCCAGGGAGCACCCGGAACAGGTGGGCCGCCGGCGGTACTTGAACCTCCGTGTCTTGTGGTTTGCTATCCCTATTTTGCTTTTTGGCCTAACCCGCCGGAGGTTTCATATGGTCTGTTATGGTCTTCGACTCTCCCTCATTCACCACATTGGGTATTTTTCTTTTTGCCCGTGTGTCTTGTGGCACCCTGCCGCTCTTGTGCCCCCCTGCCGCCCTTGTGGCACCCGCCTATCCCGTCCGTCCCGCCCCCACGTGCTTGTCCCGCCCTCACGTGTGGTTGGGTGCTGCCCCCCGGCCCGGCGGCAGGTGGCGGCGGGGGCGGCGCTGCTACTGAAGGGGAAGAGCTACGCGGGGCTGAGGCTGAGGTCAGTGGGTGTGTTAAGAAAACGAAAACTGGCCGCGTGCTAAGAGAACTGGCCGCGTGCTAAGAGAACTGGCCGCGTGCTAAGAGAACTGGCCGCGTGCTAAGAGAACTGGCTGGGTGGTAAGAGAACTGGCTGGGTGGTAAGAGAACTGGCTGGGTGGTAAGAGAACTGGCTGGGTGGTAAGAGAACTGGCTGGGTGGTAAGAGAACTGGCTGGGTGGTAAGAGAACTGGCTGGGTGGTAAGAGAACTGGCTGGGTGGTAAGAGAACTGGCTGGGTGGTAAGAGAACTGGCTGGGTGGTAAGAGAACTGGCTGGGTGGTAAGAGAACTGGCTGGGTGGTAAGAGAACTGGCTGGGTGGTAAGAGAACTGGCTGGGTGGTAAGAGAACTGGCTGGGTGGTAAGAGAACTGGCTGGGTGGTAAGAGAACTGGCTGGGTGGTAAGAGAACTGGCTGGGTGGTAAGAGAACTGGCTGGGTGGTAAGAGAACTGGCTGGGTGGTAAGAGAACTGGCTGGGTGGTAAGAGAACTGGCTGGGTGGTAAGAGAACTGGCTGGGTGGTAAGAGAACTGGCTGGGTGGTAAGAGAACTGGCTGGGTGGTAAGAGAACTGGCTGGGTGGTAAGAGAACTGGCTGGGTGGTAAGAGAACTGGCTGGGTGGTAAGAGAACTGGCTGGGTGGTAAGAGAACTGGCTGGGTGGTAAGAGAACTGGCTGGGTGGTAAGAGAACTGGCTGGGTGGTAAGAGAACTGGCTGGGTGGTAAGAGAACTGGCTGGGTGGTAAGAGAACTGGCTGGGTGGTAAGAGAACTGGCTGGGTGGTAAGAGAACTGGCTGGGTGGTAAGAGAACTGGCTGGGTGGTAAGAGAACTGGCTGGGTGGTAAGAGAACTGGCTGGGTGGTAAGAGAACTGGCTGGGTGGTAAGAGAACTGGCTGGGTGGTAAGAGAACTGGCTGGGTGGTAAGAGAACTGGCTGGGTGGTAAGAGAACTGGCTGCGTGCTAAGAGAACTGGCTGGGTGGTAAGAGAACTGGCTGGGTGGTAAGAGAACTGGCTGGGTGGTAAGAGAACTGGCTGGGTGGTAAGAGAACTGGCTGGGTGGTAAGAGAACTGGCTGGGTGGTAAGAGAACTGGCTGGGTGGTAAGAGAACTGGCTGGGTGGTAAGAGAACTGGCTGGGTGGTAAGAGAACTGGCTGCGTGCTAAGAGAACTGGCTGGGTGGTAAGAGAACTGGCTGGGTGGTAAGAGAACTGGCTGGGTGGTAAGAGAACTGGCTGGGTGGTAAGAGAACTGGCTGGGTGGTAAGAGAACTGGCTGGGTGGTAAGAGAACTGGCTGGGTGGTAAGAGAACTGGCTGGGTGGTAAGAGAACTGGCTGGGTGGTAAGAGAACTGGCTGCGTGCTAAGAGAACTGGCTGGGTGGTAAGAGAACTGGCTGCGTGCTAAGAGAACTGGCTGGGTGGTAAGAGAACTGGCTGCGTGCTAAGAGAACTGGCTGGGTGGTAAGAGAACTGGCTGCGTGCTAAGAGAACTGGCTGGGTGGTAAGAGAACTGGCCACGAGTCGGAACGTACTGTGATTGCCCCGGTGTGGGTGTGTGTGCTGCCCCGGTATGTTACCGTTGTGTCAGTGCGTGCTGCACTAGCTCATCGTGACGTCATCATGAAGTCAACACATGTATGGGGCACTAACCAGGGCCAGCGAGAGGCGAGTCCACACCCCTCCACACCCCTCCACGCAATTCTCCATGCAGCGCCCCATGCAGCCCACCGAACATCCCCCCCTTCCCCCGTGCGCCGCAGGGCTCCCAGCGACGACAGCGCCACCGTCGCCGCCGCCGCCAGTGCCGCCGCCAGTGCCGCCATCGCCGCCCCACACCCCTCCTCCCCCTCACCCGCTGCCCACGCACCTCCGCCCCACCGCGCCCCTTCCTCCTCCTCTGCCGCCGCTGCTACCTCCTCCGCCTCCGCCTTCCCCCCCACCGAGGCACCCCCCGGCCAGCCCGCCGACTACTATACCCGCCTCGAACGGGCTCTCAACGACCGGCTGGACAACAGCAGCGGCGCGGAGTTCATCACGCGTGCGAGGCGTGCCGTGGCGCATGCGCTGTTGCACCGCACGCCCTCCGGCCCGCAGGGCGCCTGGGTCGGACCCACGGGTCAGCCCTACCGGCCCTACAGCATGTCGCTGAAGGAGGTGGCGGCGCTGCTGAAGCGAGTGGTGCCCGAGGTGGGTTGAGGGGGGGTTGAGGGTGGGTGTGCGGGGTTGTGGGTGGGTGTGTTGCAGGGTTGACTCGCATGTCGCTGTCTGATGCCGGCAATTACAATTACCGGTACTCCGCCTTTGAAGTCAGAGGTTACAATGAGAAAAGGAGCCTGATGGGTTGGCACCCGTGTGCCTCCCTTTCCTTTTACCTACCTAGCTACTTGAGAGGTGGTGGCTGGTCTAAGGGCTGCTGCTCCCTCCTCCTCCTCCTCCTCCGTTTGGCTCGCAGGCCTACTCCAACCGGCGGCCTCCGGGTGTGTTCCCAATCAATGTGGTGGTCATGGCTCAGCAGGTGCGTGCGAGTTGGGAAAACACACTGGGGTGTGCTTTGGTAGGTTAGGCAAAGGGCCGCGAGCGTGTGTTAAGAAACCTGGCCGCAACTGGTGTGCTTGCAAAGTGCGGGTGACGGGTCAAGCCAAACCAGGCCCAGCCGGTGCACCCAACCTCCCATGCAGCCTGTCAGCCCTCCTCCTCCTCCTCCTCCTCCTCCTCCTCCTCCTCCGCCTCCTCCTCCGCCTCCTCCTCCGCCTCCTCCTCCGCCTCCTCCTCCGCCTCCTCCTCCTCCTGGCAACATCGCTGCTGCCTCCCCCCTCCTGGATTGGACTCCGTTGCTTCACCTCTCACTTGTCATTCCACGTTTCCACCCCCCTCCCGCAGATGCCGCTCGTGTTCCAGGTCGACAAGTCCGCAGGCAACGCGCGCGACTGGGCCATTCGCCTCAACCTCAACAGCCTGGAGCTATCCGCTGGGCTCAACCCCACGCCACCGGCCGCCCTGCCCACCCTGACACACAGAACTGCTACCCAGGGCGTCGAGGAGGAGCCATACGCTGAGGAATACGAAAAAGAAGAAGGGGACCAGGCGGAGGCTGATGCCGCCGCCGCCGCAGTCTATGACGACGGGACGGCCGCCGCCGCCGTCGCTGGCGGCGGCGACGGCGGCGTCAGCGCAGCGGAGGTGGCGGAGGTTCTCGCCACGCAGCCGGCACGCGCGCTGGCTGCGGCGCTTTCACCCACCATCCCCCCCGACCTCCTGCCCGATCCGCACACCCACATCATCACCCTGCCGTACAGCACCCCCCACGTGACGGCGCTCGCGCACTGCCTGTCCTGCCCGCAAATTGGGCTGGCGGCGAAGAGCGTCGGAGGCATGCCTGCGCTGGTGCTGTTGTACGCGCCGGCGGTGGAGTCGCTCAAGCCGGTGGCGGCGGTGGCGGCGGCGGCGGCGGCTGGCGGCGTGCCGCCGCTGGCGCCGGGCGGTGTCCTGCCTGCGACGGTGTATGTGTTGGATGCGGCGGCTGCGGGTCCGATGGAGGGTGTCGTACTGCTGAGCAGCTTGAGGGTGTTGTTGGAGGAGCCGGGGGTAGCCAAGGTGGTGCATGGCTGCGAGCAGGTGCGGAAGAGGAGGGGGGGTTGTACGGCAGGAAATAGTAGGCATTGTACGGCAGTAGATTGGCATTGTACGGCATACATTTGGCATACATCTGGCAGTGTTCACATTCCAAGGGAGTGGGTAGCTGGACTTATGGTTGCTCGTACTACGTGTGTGTTTGCATGTGCCCATTCGTACGTACCATGCTAAGGGTAAGCCCTACCTCATGTCGCACCTTATACGCTCATACCCACTGCAGTTGGTGCCCTCCCTGGAGCACGCTGTCGGCTGCTGCATCAGCCCCCTGCTTGACACCCGCCTGGTTTCGGAGATGCTGCGTCCGCTGGACCTCAGCCCCCCGCCGCAGCAGCAGCCGCTGGCGTCACCGCAGCAGCACCCGCAGCAGCAGGCGTCCTCCGGTCAGCCAGACGACCCGGCAGCGGCAGCAGCAGCGGCAGGGGCGGCAGGGGCGGTGCAGCCAGCTGCTCACCAGCAGGAGGAGGAGGGCAGGGCGCCCCTGCTGTGGCCGCACCCCAGCAACTGGCAGGTGGGCGGCCTGCATGGGGCGGCTGTGTGAGGAGGGGGGGGGTAAAATATATAGGAGGAGGGAAGGTGGGGTGCTAGTGGTCGCGTGCATGCATGCATGCATGCGTGCAGGGTGGGGGTGTCAGGGTCTGGGCGGGGAGAGGTGGGAGCTCCCTCTACTCTCAACACCCCCAGACGTCCTGAATTCCAGAGTGGCTTAACAAGGGCGACCCCCCTGTCCTTCCTCCTCACGCCACACAACCCCACTCCCATAACCACTGCACTCTCACGGACCCGTGTTTTCTCAAGGACCTCACTCCATCTAACCCCTCCCTCCTCTCCCCTCCCACACCACACATGGACTTCTTCTTTCCCTCCCTCCCCCCCCAGACCTCCCTCAGCTCCAAGTACTGGGACTACCAAGTGGCGCTGCTGCAGGCCACATGCGGCACGGACGGGTGAGCACCTACTCCGCATCACATCACATCACATCATATCACATCACATCACATCACATCACACTGCATCCCCCCTCTCCCACCGCCCCCTCCCTTCCTTCCAGCCCTCCCCTCCTCCCTTGGGACTCCCTTGCTTCACTTGTCACATGTTTTTTCCCTCCCACCCCCCCCTCCTACTCCTTCCAACCTCCCCCCTCCGCAGCTCCTGGCTGGTCCGCCCCCTCACCGGCGGCCACCTGGGTATGGCGGTGGCTGCCGTACAGCACCTGCCCGAGCTCTGGTCCGCACTCACCTGGCTACTGCCCCGGCTGGCGCAGTTCTGCAGTGTGGCTCGTGCGCAGCAGTGCCGCGCGCTGATGGCGCCGGGGGCGGAGGTGGCAGAGTCGGGGGCAGAGGCGGGGGTGGGGACGGGGACGGGGACGGGGGCGGAGATGGGGGCGGCGTGGTAGGTAGGGAGGAAGGAAGGAGGTGGGAGCGGGCGCGGTGTTACGTAGTGGCAGGAGTATGAGGAGGGATGTTGGGAGGGAGGGAGGGGATAGGGGAACGCGGGCGAGGTGGGCGGTGGGTGGCGAGGGGTAGAGGGATTGTAGGAAGGCGACGAGGGCTAGTAGCTGGTAGCTGGTAGCCGCAGGAGCGAGCGGTTAATGGGAGGGGCGTGCTGTTCCAGCAGCAGCAGCAGGCATGCAGGAGGGAAGGTAGTGTAGCCAGCAGCAGCAGCAGCGGGATGAGGGGCGAGACGCCGATGCACTGGGATTTAGCAGAGGTTGGGAATCCGCATTTGCCTGGGGACGGGAGCACTGGTCGCAGGAGGGCGAGGGTGCGGAAAGCAAGTGACAAGCGTGCGAGGGAAGGAAGAGAGGTTTGACTTGGCCTTGATATCCACCTCCCAAGGCAGCGGATTGCAGCAGTAGTTGACAGTGTGCCTTTGTGCATGCAGCCACACGGTACGGCAGGGCGCTACGTTGTCATGCCCTGGTGCCGTACATATGAGTACGTTTGACGCAGCCCGACTCGGCTGCGGAAATACTCCTGGATTACCTTATGGAGCATACTTCCGAGGGTATATCGGTGGGCATTCTGTAAAAACGATGCTCAGTGATGTGTTGCTCAGTGTCCATATTAGCGCAAGGTGAAAATGTGGGCAGAGGTCCGGAGGCAGTGTTGCTGGCGGGTGACTTGCAGGGTGATATCCTATGCAACGGCGTCGGCCAGAAATAGGTATGAATTGGTTTCTGTAACACATCCCCGTTGCATGGCGCGCTGTGTTACAAGGCGCTTGGACACGTCCGCAAGCAAGCAAGCCGCCATACATCCACATGCCCACAGTGCCATGCTGGTTGCTATGCAAACGTTCAAGCCATGCAGCTATTCCTTCAGCTACCGGTAGCACTGAAGGAACTTAACACCGCATGTGTTTTGAAGTGGTGGTGCAGTCAAAAGCCCGTTGACCGGTAACCTGGCTGAACCCTGGGTACGGCTGTGCAGTGGGCAGTTGACCGCTGTGCGTTCCTGCCGCCCCTGTCCTGCCCCTGACTGCGTAATACGCGCATGTACCCGTGCGTCACATTGCCTCTGAGTCACAATTATACATGCAAATGAGTCACTACCTATACATATGCATATGTGTCACACCTGTAAGCAAGCTCATTGACCTTCCCAAAGGCCGGCCATGTACTTGGACGGGGGAAGATGGAACGTACCGGCAATCGCATCGACGCCTGCTTCAAGGAAAAAAACGAGGGCGTTGCCTAAGTTATACAAGAGAAGAGTTGACCGTTATATGGGGCTCGGCATTTTCATTAGGTGGATGCGAGGGAGGCCAGGTGGAGATGGCAACGGGATGGAGTGGAGCATCTTGGTACCCCACGCAACGGAATGACGGGAAACCAAGTAGACATGATAAAATTGGGTACGTAGTGCTTGTGTCCCTTGCTTATCGGGCATAATGCGGCCTCTACACAATCGTCCGCACCTAAATAGAGTACGGAAGTCGCAAAGATCGTCCAAAATCGGCGCTCGTCGGCCATCCATACAGCAAAACTATACACCTACTCATCAGTAACTCCCTGCATTAATGATTTCCGCCTGATCTACGCCTTGCAATTTTCCTCTTGTTCTACCTAGTTAGTAGTCGCAAGCAGTCATTGACTTATAAAAAGTTGGGTTCCGTTTACTTAGATATGAGGCTATGCGTTCCCTGGCCATAGTTGCTGAGCTGTTGAAGTCCAGGAGGCCGCAGGGATTTGGTTCTCAAACTGCAAGGGCGTTTCACAGGCATTTTCGCCAAACAAACTTACAAAGCATCCTAAGGAATGGATATCAACCTCGCCTACAAGATTATGAGGTATCGTGCGCCGGGTGTAGGTCCTACATCATCGGCCAACGCCTCCGAACCATCGTCGCCAGCCCTTGCGCCTGCCGGAACGACAAACAGCGCCGAACCTGCCCATGAAAACTGTCGCCCACAGCAGCGGTCGCCTTCGCCACCGCGCCAGCGCAACAGTCAGCCTCCAGTGTCCACGGTCCCTCAGCAGCAGCAACAACAACAGCAGCAGCAGCAGGTGCCGCCTCACGGCGCGCAATCTCAGATACTGCAGCGAGCACAAGGCCGTGCCAACCGCGCCTACAGCGCTGTTGCCCTGGCGGGAGATGATGGCCATTTCGCGGGGCTGCTGGACCTGGGCGGCAGTAATGCGCTAGATGTAAGCTGTTTGACAAGGATTACGAACTATGATATGCGGGTGTGCAAGGGGGCTCCCCAACGCGGGGGTGCAAGGTGACTCCCCAAAGCGGTGCATCCTTAGCTACCTGCCGACATGTTCCTCATACCTTGCAGCGGCAGCAGTAACCCTTGCCTGACCTCCTCCTTGCCACCCTTAGCGCGACATGCACCCCTCGCGGGCAGCCAATTTTCCAATTACACCGCATAAACCAAACCATACACCCGCAACCCGCATCCTCCTGACATTCCTACCTACCCATTGTTCTGCACCCACCCTCCCACATACCTCAAAACCCGGGGTGGTGCGCTGCAGCCCCCCAACAGCCCCACGCTGCACATCGTTCCTCGGCCGCTGGTCCCCTCCGCACGTGGCGTTACCATCGGGCCCTTTGCGGAGGCCCTCGCTGCCGCCGCCGCACGTCCCGTACGGCGCCGCATGGACGGCGGCATGCGCACCTGGCCTACCGGCCGCGGCTCGCCTCAGCCCAACACCTCCCCTTCCGCCGCCCTGCTGCTACTGGGCTGCTCCAGCACGTCCCCGCACACACCCGGCGGGGGCATCGTCAGCAGCAACAGCACCACCAGCATCGGCAGTCCGCCCCTGGCGCGCCGTACAACCTACCACTCGCAGGCGCTGCTGCCCACCATGCCAGCCACTCAGAAGCGCAGGCCAGCCGCTGCGGGTTGCAGTCCACAGCACGGCAGTGCGGGGGGTGCAATGGTTGGCGGCGCCAGCTCCAGCCCGCCACACTACATGGCAACGGGCTCGTACCCGACTTACGGAGGCAGCTACGGAGGCGTGACGACACCTACCGCCGCCTCGCCTTCCAGAACGGCTACGTCTCTAGGTGAGCAGCAGCAGCAGCCGCAACAGCAGCAACACCATACGTCTGGAACCGGAGGTGCAGCAGCAGCAGCAGCAGCGGCATCTGTGGGACCGAGTTCCGGCTTCTACCTTGCAGGGGCGTCGCCTGGGAGACGCTTTTCCGGCGTAGCCGCGGTGCCTGAGCCCCCAGGGACAGCTGCGGCGGCGGCGGCGGCGGCAGCAGGGTCCGCCGCAGCGTACGGCGGAGGCAGGGGCCGCTCTTCGAGTGCCGGGGAGCGGCTGGCGCGCATGCGGGCGATGGAGGCGCAGGCGGCGGCGCAGGAGGCGCATGAACGAGCCGAGGGCGACCGCCAACGGACCGTGAGGGTGAATGTGGGCGGTATGGACGCGCGAGCCTGGGTGAGCGTTGGCGGCGCCGCCGGGAGTAGTAACAGCAGTAACATCGGCAGCTGTGGTGCCAATCGACGTGCGAGTCGGACAGGACCGCCATCCCCGCAGCAGCGGCCTTGTGAAGGCGAATGGGGCGGTCCCCCGAAAAGCCCGGGCGCAGAGACGGCATCAGCAACAGCAACAACACCAGCAGCAGCAACCAGCCACAAGCAGCAGCCCGCCGGATCAAACACGTCCGCCGCCGGCGGTCGTGAATCCGCCCCCATGCTTCCCTCCCTGCCCATGCATTCACCACTGCAGGGCGACGGACTCATCACGGTCGCCCTTCGCAGTCCGCATTGTTCCGCTCACCACTCCCATCCCCGCTACCTGGGTGGTGGCACGGACGCCGCTCCCTATCAACACTCAGGACCCGGGCCGGGGCCGGGGCCAGGAGCAGGGCATGGTGCCGCTGGCGGCGGCGAGGTCGAGGTCGGTAGGGTGGCAACTGCGGGGGCGGGTAACGGCGGTGGCGCGGTTTCGGAGGCGGACTCCGAGGCAACTGAGCTGGCGGAGTTGGAGCAGTGGGCTGCCAGCACGCTGCTGGATCCGGCGGTGGTGGAGGCGACGATGGAGCAACGGCGGACGTTGAAGCGGATAGCGTACCTGCGCAGCCGGATGCTGGCCAGGGGAGGCACGGCGGCTGGTGGGTTGTGGGTGGGTGCGGAGTGGGTTGGTTGCGTTTCACTTGTACGCTACAACGTCCTTTGGTGCGATAGCCATGAGCCCATGCCTGTCGCCCGTGCTGCCTGCGTTCCTTGGTGCACGCCTACGGCTGCAAACGCCCTTCCTTTACCTACTTGCATGCTGCTGCTGCGGCTGCTGCTGCGGCTGCTTTCCAGACGTGCTGAAGCTCCTCCATGCGCCTCTCCTTCCAAGTTCCAACCCGACCTCCTTCCAACCCTCCCTGGTTAACCCGTCCCCGCCTGCCTGCCTTCCTGCCTGCCCGCTTCCAGCCGCGCCGGCTTCCAACACCGCTGGAAACGGCCCCGGCAGCAGCGGCCTGCAGAGCCTTCCCTCCTGGGCCACGGAGCTGCAGTCGGGGCGCGGCGGCAGCGAGGCGGCGCTTGCCTCCATGGCGAGCCAGGTGTCGCGGCTGCCGCATATCGACTACGACCAGATGCGCGACCCGCAGTACCGCATGATGCTCAAGGCGCGCAGCATGCGGGGAAGAGGTGAGCAGGGCGGGGGGGCAGGGCGGGCAAGAGGTGAGCAAGGGGAGAGAGCGGGGCAGGGCGGGGAAGGGGTGAGCAGGGCGGGGTGAAAAGAGGAAACTGGCGAGCTGTTTGACGAGGCTTCATCTTGGGCTGGGGGGCGGGGAGACAGAGGTGAGCGTGAGGATGAGGTGATGTGGGGAGCAGGAGGAGGGTGATGGGAGAGGACAAGCAGTAGCTCTACTGTATGCGGCGGAAGAGGTGATCAGCTGCCTTCTTAGGGGGAAGATGCGGATGCTGCTTTTGCCTGAAGGGGCTCATGTTACGGTGGATTGTCATTGCCACGCCTCGTCATGTGAAGTCAGTAAGCCAGCAAGCCAGCAGTTTACCTACATTTCGATCACCACAGCTCTCCCCCGCTCTCCCCGGTTCGCTGTTTCGCAGAGGTTTCCCTGTCCTCGGGTGATACGTTGAGAGACATATTCATACAAGACCGGCACAAGGGATGGAAGCCACCCCACGTGTAGCCCTCTGCCCCCCTGCTGCCACCGCATATGGTGTTGTACTGCTCCCTGCCTGTCGCCGCCTTGGGGGAGGTATGTGCGCCAGTATGTTGAAGCACAGAGCCGTGCGTAACGTTACTGGCCGTAGATGTTTTTCCGAGGAGAGATGTGCTGCCATGGGCGGGCTGCGTGGCGTTGTACTTAACCGTGGCATCTGTTCGGAAAACGCGGCTCTGATGTGGCATGTAGGGGCTTCATTATCGCAAGTCATATGTCATCCTGCCTTGCGCTTCCGTGTTTAGCCCACTGCTCGTGCGGTTAGGGGCCGAATTCACTGTATCGTCTGCTGCTGCTGCTGGTTGCATGGACAGAAGCTTTGGAACATTTTGCTTGCATAGCTAGCTAGATAGCATAGCTCCTTTTCATTGCGTGCGCCGAGACCAAGACATTAATGTTGTGTGATGTATAGTTTATGGCGCGCATAGCACACACGGCTAAACGCTGCCCATCCCTATTTGTGTCGCGGATTGCTGCTGCGTAGAAAGCCCTTATCCAGCTCTGCTATTGGTAGTGTTCTGACACATATTCACTTGTGGGGAAAACTAACAAACTAACACTTACGAACGCCGCCGGAATGGTGCGCACGCAGTGCCTAACCGCAGCCCTATCGCAGCGCATTACGGCCGTATTCATGGATGGTTGTGTGCAGGGTTTCGGTGGGGCATGTGACGGAGGGCCCCCCTCCTCACCTGCACTGCCGTATCCACCATTCCGTCCCCCGCACGTGCATTTGCTGCTGCTGTTTATGATTCAGTTGCATTGCCAACTTTTAATTCTGCTATATCACGGATTTGCATTATGAACGGTTATCCTAGCATCGCTTCTAGGGGTGAGGTCTCAACAGGTGTCGTGTTGTGTTGTGTTGCTGGCTGGCTGTGCCAGTTGTAAGGGCTGTTTGTTGTCGGGTTTGTTATTTTGGCGAATATGACGAAGGAAGGTAACGACTAACGGGTATTTGAAGGAGTGTATCGGCAGCTGGAGCGCTGCCTAGTCTGGCGGTTCCAGCGGATGAAATATGACGGGTTGGAGCAAGGAGAGTTTAACCCCTGCGGATTGATCTTGTTACGCCATCCGCCGTGATCTCAATCGCTGTCTTGGCTGCAGCGACCCATGGGTCAGGCAAAGCACACACATAACGATTACACACTGCAAGCACTTGTACTTGAAGAGAGTTCCAGTTATTCACACGCGTCGCAATCCGCGGTTACACACTGATACTTGCTCGCTCATGGTGCTTCTGTCAATGAGCAGGAGACATTACTCGACTTATTCTAGGTCGGCTTATTCATCAGGGCAGCATACCTACAGGGCAGACATATCACGGTAGCGGTGCCGCGGTGAGGTGACTGCATCAGGTACCGAGGTACGACCCGTCAGCTCCCATAGCACCCCTAGCGGACCGCGAGCGCCCAGGCGGCCACTGCCAAGGGTGCCAACCCTCCCAACAAGAGCCGCCAACCAAGCTACTCACAAGGACAAGGAACAGAAGGGCAGCAGTCCCACTGCCTCGTATTCACCAGAACAACATGGGAGGACAGTAAGTGAAGTGAAGCTTGACCCCGAACTCATCTATCTTCAACACCTGCTAACGAAATACCGTAAGCCAAAAGTGTCAATTCCATTCTGAGCGGCCACACAGAACACGGCCACGCATTGCCGTGACGTCACATGTCTTGCATCCGCATGCCATGGCCTATACCAGGCATGCCTAAATGTTCGTTTTTCTTCTCCTTTGCTGACTTCTTCCCAGACAATACACATGCCAACACCCTAGCCGTCCGTACTATCTGTCCTAAGTGCTAACGCCCAACACCTGTTAACGGCTTGCGTGTATGCCGGTGCCAGTAGATGGCTACCAGAAGGCCCAGCGGGGCCAGGCCATTAGGAGGCCTGTGCTGTATCTCAGCACGCCGGCATGCGTGCGCGTAGCATAGCATCTCGGACGATGCCACAAGATAAGAACCTTTATAAGCAACGCGATAAGCAAACGGACCCTTTTTACCCCACCCGCACCATACCCCTGCACCCTTGCACCCCTGCATCTACGCAAGGCGCATGCACCAAGCCACAGCTGCCACCAGCCACATCAGGTCAACGGCTCTGCAACTGTAGCGATGCCATTCACCGTATATGCATGTCGTCCCCGCGTGCGTGCCCTTCCCGCCTGCACATCCTCCCTTGCATGCATGCCCTTCCCGCCTGCATGCCCTTCCCGCCTGCATGCATGCCCTTCCCGCCTGCATGCCTGTCCTCCCCCGCATGCATGCGCGGCCTGCTGCCCAACGCAACGAGGATACTCTCCTGCGCCGCAGCAACTCCCCAAGCCCCACTCCCACAGAAGCCCCTGCAGGAGTCAGTTCAACACATCCATCTCCACCGGAGCAGGCACTGCTGCTGCTGCCCCCCCTGCTGCTGGTGCTGCTGATGCTGACGTGGCTGCTGCGTGTGCTGCAGCTCCTGCTGACTCGGCGGGTGCCGGTGCCGGTGTGGTCTGCGCCGCCTCCAGCGCCGCCACCGCGGACACCAGCTGCGCCTGGCTGCTGAGCCGCTCCTCCATCTCACGAAGCCGCTGCGCCATGGCGTCGTACTCGGCACGCAGACGAGCCTGGTAGCACAAGGCGGCGTCGAACAAAAGCGGCGTAAACAAAAGCATGCACCGTATAAGGAGGCGGTGCATGCGGCCAAGCGGCCAACCGAGAGGCAGGGGCTCAGGATGGTTACAACGGGTAAAGCAGCAATCACAAGCCAACAAGCCCGTTCCCAGTTACTGCCAGGTAGGAACGGTAGCGGCCACCGAGCTCGTGATTCCCCAAACCCCGCATGTGCATCCTGTATCCATGCAGATTACCCGTATGCCAGGACCCCAGTCCACGCCCACCTGCTCGCGTCGGAGCTCCTCAAGACGTCCGCCCTCGAAGACACCCCTTCGGCGCCTGACAGTGCCATTACCCGCTGCAGGCGGAGATCCCCCCTCCAGCCTGGTCCCAGCAGCGTCCTCAGCTGCCGCTGCTGCTGCTGTGCTGGTCAGCCGTTCCTGATACAGTGCAGCGTCGTCAGCCAACTGGCTGGGTCCACCGTTACCGTTACCGTTATCACCGTTGCCGTTGCCGGTAAGTTGGTCCAGCCCCAAGGGGTACGCTACAGGGACCGCGGAGGAGGAGGAGGCAATGCCTGCCTCCGCCGGGATGACAGCGGCTGCTAGTGTGGAGGGTGGTGCAGCGGGTAGGGTGTCGTTCGCGTGCCGTGCTTCAGTGCTGTCCTCGGCCGCCTCAGCCGACAGCAGCCCCGCTGCCGCGTCCTCACCCTCAACTCCGCAAGCAGTTGCTTCGAAGAGTCTCGCCGTGTATGCCTCAAACAGCTCCCTGCAAGGTTGCCAAGACCGTACACCAGACAAGGCAGGAGTGCATTGCTAACAGACCTTTCAAGACCAAGGCATGAGGAGAACTCGGTTGGTGACTACGCAGTACGTGCCATAACGGTATTCCAGGAGGGGTATTTATCCCCAGTTGCGGGGCACACCTAGCTTTCCTGCTGGGTCGGCATGCTTGGGTCGAAAGCTATACAGATGTTGCTGAGGCAGCACGACCTCAACAGATCCTTCATTGTACCCCGTCCCACCACTAACCTGCGGCGGTGCTCCGGCAATGCTTGGAACCGTGGGTCGCTCGCCACCGCCCGGCGCACCAGCGACCAGGTGCTGGTGGAGGTGACCCGCGGGTCACTGAGCTCTGTAGTACAACGGATACGCCCGTGAACAGGTATATAGTTTCATCGTATGAAGTGTAACCCGTCCACATGACGGTCTGCCCGTACAACACAGACTGACAAAATTTCTCAACACGGAATGTTCGTAAATTTTTGTACCTACTAAACGATTCAGATTGGGGCGACCATACATAAGTTATGCAAGCCTTGGGCAGATCAGCGCGCCAAGCTAGTCCGCTGCTTACCTTCAAGCATTGCCGTAAACTCCGCTTCCGCCTTGCGCGCCGCCTCCTGCAGGGCCGCCTGCAGCTGCAGCTCCGAAACGACCTCGAGGAACAACTGCTGCCGCCGCTCTTCGTCCTGTGAGTGGATGGGACGGGCAAATCCGGGTAGTGATGAGGGGGTGGTGAGGGGAGTGGGGACCATGACGGGGGGTGGGAGACCGTGTCATAACCCATGCCGTACTGTGTTGTCGTACAACAGCACACTCCGGGTGATGCGTACAATTTGCAAGGAAAACGTGCGTTGGGTATCAGGTGCATGGCAGCTTGCAAGGGCACTTCCTATCTATGTGATACCGGCATTACGCCTACGTAATTACTGACACCGGTGAATGGAGCTCAGGGAGTGAAATAGGCAAAAAAAAACCGCTTCCTGCTTCAGATTATTCTGTCCTCACCTGTACCTCGGAGAGTGCAGGGTCGGTTTCCAGGAGGCAGGACTGCACCTCGGCCCAATTGGAGCTGGCAGTGACGTTGAGGCGTCGGAGAGCCGCCTGCACACAACGTAACCCGGTACACCCACAAACACAAACATGAGCAGCGGGAAAGGAGAAACCGGTCACCCGCTGATACCGGTAGTGTTAAGGGGTGTGGTCAGCAGGGCACCGGTATGTACACGCAAGGAGGAGCCGAAAAAGGAAGGCAGGAGAGCCGTCCTCGTTACTACCGTACATCCTTATGTTGCTTCCACCTGCCCTTCCCACCTTGAAGCTCGCTTCCGCAGCCGCCCTCGCCTGCTCCTCTAGCCGCCTCGTGGCCTGCAGGAAGCTGTCGTACAGCTGCCGCCGCCGGGGCTCCTCCGCTAGCGCCGTCCAGCGCTCGTCCCCGCCGAACCTGGCCTCCGCCTGCTGGTAGGAGGTTCTGCCGGTGAGGGGCGGGTGCGCCTCCCGCAGCAGCGCCAGGAAGGCGAGGTCCGAGGCGCGCTGCTGGCGCTGTGAGGAGGGCAGGGGTTAACAGGGTAAGGGTTGCTGGCGCTGTGCGGAGGGGAAAAGAAGGATATCCAATGTGTGGTGTGATAGTGGTAAACTAGCTGACAAGCCCTAGGGGTAACAGGTAAGGGGTGGGAAAGGGCGGTAGACGGCGGTACGGCAGACGCACGGGTACCGAGAGGGCGTACCGGTACCGCGTGCGTAGGAGGGGCAGGGGTTACTTGGCATGCATGCCGATTGCACCAACAATGGACACATACACACATCTTCATCTTCCGGCAATCACAGTATGTTCCGATCCACGGCCAGTATTCGTAACAGGTTAACACACATGCTGCCTTCCACCACTCACCTTTGCGGCCTCCTGAGCCTCCAACTCTTTGAAGTACCTGTCCGCCTCAGCCTGGGGTCCCAGGAGGGTGCAGGAGTGGGAGAAGGTACAGCACAACAGCAACAGCGGGAGCACCGGTACCAGCAGAACGAAAGAGGCGAGAAAACCGAAGACACCGAAAGTAAGGATAGCACAGCGCACACATGACGGATGACGCCCGCAGTACATCAAGAAAAGGCAAAAGACAAGACGGCCCACAGCCGAAGCTGCAGGAATGAAGAAGACACGCATGCATGCGCGTACCACAGGGGTTCGACTCATAATTCTACATACGCCACCATACTCCTCGGCTCCTGTGGTGTTTCTGTGGGACTTCATCTTTAGGCATTCTCAGTACGTTCCGACTCGCGGCCAGTTTTCTTAACACACACCTACCTTCAGTGCCACTGCCATGTCCCCCGCCACCCTGGCAGCTAGCCCGGTGAAGCCCAGACTGCTGCGGATTACACGGCCAGCTCCCTCCAGCAACACATCCCCGCTGGGGACCGGTGCAGCTGCTGCAGCAGCACCAGAAGCAAAAGAAGAAGCCGGGGAAGAAGACGACTGCGGTGAAGCAACAGCAGCAGGGGATCTGCCAAGACCTGCCGCGCCTCTAGGAGCACCAGCGGAGGCTGCATTACCGCTGTCACCAGATGAGGGTCGTTGTTGTTGCGGTGGTGATTGCGGCCGTCCCTGTGGGTCCGTGTCCTGACGAGGCCGGCCGAAGAGGCCGTTAAAGAGGCCACCGTTACCGGTCTTGCTGTTGTTGCTGACCCGCGGGTCGCTCTTGGTTTTGTTGGAAGATGAACTGGGCGGGGACGGCGGGGGTGTTGAGGTTGTTGCAGGTGTGGAGGCGCTCGGAGCCCTGCTTGCATTACTGCTGCCGCTGCGCCTGCCGCTGCTGCCAGACGCATTGTTGTTGTTGCCGCTGTTGCCGCTGCTACCGCTGCCGCTGCTACCGCTGCCTCTGTTGGCACTGAAGGAACCAAAAATGGATCGATACCCCAGAGCCTGCTGCTGCTGTTGTGGCTGGTGTTGCGGCTGCTGCTGTTGCTGCTGTTGGTCTTGAGGTGGCTTGGTTTGTAGGAAACCTTGGAAGGGCGACGATGACGATGAGCGAGGGCGGAGCGGCGAAAGGGAGCGGATGAAGCTTGCGGCTTGCGACTGCTGCGCGGGGTAGCTCTGAGCTTCTGCTGAGGGGCGCACCTCCTCACTACTGCTGCCGCCACTGCTACTGCCGCCACTGCTACTGCCACTGCTAGGTCCGCCCAGTAGCCGCGGCCAGAAGGAACCGCTGTTGTTGCCCTGCTCTCCAGCTCCCCGCCCCGCAGGCTGCTCGCGGCTACTGCCCGTGCCGCCGCTACGTCGAGGCGCCTCCAGGTCCGCTGACACGTTGCCTGAAATGCATGTAACGGTGCAGTTGTCGTTTTGATACATGGCCAACATACATGGCAATGGCAAGCGGCCCCTACAATGTACCGCTCTACTACAACAGGACTTCTCCTTGGCGCCGTTCGATGGCAAGGCCAAACATAAGGGCACATGGAATTCAGCTCAGCTCGGTAAAAAGAGAACTACTGTTACGCATTCCTTAAATAACCACTTAACACGTCCTACTTACTCTCCGCACCAGTACTGGATTTATACATCTACATACGCTACCATATTCCTCGGCTCCTGCGGCGGTTCTGTGCGGACTTAATCTTCCGACAATCACAATACGTTCCTACTCGCGGCCAGTTTTCTTAACACACCCTCCTACTTGCGGCCAATTACCATAACATCCACAACACCCACGCACCTGCCAGGGCTCCGCTGGCGCTCTCCTTGGCAACGCGGAAGTCCCGGTCCAGGGCCAGCAGCCGCCCCTCCATACGCTTCAAGATGCGCTCAGCCTGAAGTTAAGAAGGCCAGAAAGGCACCAGGGTCGTACAGCGCAGCGGAAAGATGCAAGTTCTTGACTGCGCCTTTTCCCATGCACGCATGTGGGATGCCCCACAGCAAACGACGGGCGCATGGGGCGCCCAAATTAAACGACAGTTGGCCAGTAAGGTAAACCCCTATGACGTTCCTCTTGTTCTTATCGAGTACCCGTTCTAGCCAGCGATATGTGGTAACCGAAAACCGGCCATCTACACAAATACGCACACATGCTATTCTCAGCTTACACATGTGGGTGCCAACACCCACGCACCCACACGCACCCGCTCCAGCAGCTCCGGCTCCGCCTCCCCCGAGTCCACCTTGGCCCGCAGCCCCCGCACCACCATCGACTGCCGCTGTGTGGCGGATGCCTGGTTGGAGATCTTGGACTCCAGCTGGGCTAGTTGGCTGCTCAGCCGCTCCCACAGACTGCTGAACATGCCGGCGGATGGCGGGGAGGGGGAGGAGGAGGAGTCGGGGTTGTTGGAGGCTGAGGAGGCAGCAGCGAAGGCGGATGCAGAGGCGGCGGAGGCGGCACGTAGGGCTTGCAGGTTGGGCTTGTTCCTGTGGTAAGATGGAGGTGGTGGTAAGGAGGAGGAAATGGACGAGGATGCAGCCAGCAGAGGGATCGGGATTAGGATTGGCGGACTGAGGAGGAGAGGTACAGCGAATCTTGTGTGCATGTCGTGTATAAGAGCAAACCACGGGGAATGGCGGGGCATTGTGACAGAGACCATCACTCAATCACAGATAGGCCAGGACAGGCAACAGGGCCCACCACCACCATATGCAGCAGCCCCGGGTTCCCCAATCCTACCATGCAGCACCGCTTGCTTACCTGCCTGCAGGTGCAGGCTGCTGGCCATCCGCGGAGCCTCCTGCATCGCCGCTGCCCTGTTGCGGCCGCTGCCGCTGAGGGTCGGCCGGGGTCGGCAGCGCCTTGCCGCGGCCCATTCCTAGGAAGTTGAGCATGCCGGAAGCCTGGTCGGCCATGGAGGTGAAGTCCTGCTGCAGGCTGGCTAGCCGGGTCTGCGGGCAATGTCACGACATCCTAGGCGTTGTCTTAAAACGTTATAAGTGACCCATGGGTCTGTTTTCACCCTCCGAATGTAGAGTAGCGCCGCCACGACAGCAGCCCCTGTGTTAAAAAACTGGCCGCGAGTAGCCCCTGTGTGCGTGCAGTCTCCTCCTACCTGCATCTTGTTCAGCACCTTCTCCTCCTTCTGCAGCACGGCGGGATCCGCCTGCCCGCTCTCCACCTGCGGAGGAGGCGGAGGCGGACGAGGGGGCAAGTTGGCCACCATGTTAACCCTTATCGCACTAGCAGTCTTAGAGAACGACCACCTTGTTAACCGCCCTTAACACTTCGTTTATCTCTCGGCTCGACGGGCGCCCCGCAGTAACACACTGGCAGTCCAGAGAACAACCTCGTAGTGCTCATGATGTACCGTTTCAAGCGAGAATGAAGCAATAAAGAGGTTAACCAAGCACATGCATCTCATCGTTCAGCTCTCCACCCGCCGGCCCACCTTTCCCCAGCAAGTACCCACCACCCACCTGCTCCCGCAGCCTCTTCACGGTGGTGGTCTGCAGCTGCGTGGCCGACGCCTGCCGCATGAGCTTAGACTGGGGGGATAAAGGAGAAGGCAGGAAGGCTAGTTAGACACGTTTTATTTATAATAGAGTCATTGCACCAGGATGCCCAGAATGGTTGGCTGATGTGCAAAACACACGGACTATGCTGTCTTGCTGTGTACTATGTGTTCCAGAGAGGTGTTCCAGGGAGTGCTGCAAAAGCATACGACCGCTACCGGTGGAAGCGAAGCGGCAACCAGCAGCTAGCGGATGTCTACACCCCCACCTCCAAGTCAAACAGCCGACCCGTCATGTCCCGCCACAGGCCCAGAGCCGAAGCCAACGCAGCCGGAGGTGCTGCACCTGCTGCACCTTCTGAAGCTGGGCCCGGGTTCTCTACCTGCTGGAGCTGCTGCCTACCGCCGCTGCCTGAACCCGCAGCTGCTGCTGCGGCAGCGGAGGAGCTGATGCTAGGAGGCCTGATTAGGCGCCAGCCAGGTGACGAGACGTCGGCGGTAGGGTCCGGGCTGGCGTCACGGCCGCCGCTGGCGCTGCCGCTAAGCGGCTGGGAGGTGGCGGGCTGCGCAGCGGGGCGTGAGGGCGTGGCAGCAGCGGCTGCGGGCTGGGGCGAGATTGCAGCGGCTTCAAGGCCATACCGGATAAACCTGGAAGGGTAAGACAGGAGTTGGAGGGAAGGGGGAATGTGCAAAGGAAGGATTAAGGCGTAGCCGTCGTGTGAGGGTGTGAGACGGGGAATGGGGCTGGCGCTAGCTTGCTTTGCTCGCTTACTTGGGAGGATAAAGGTGTAGCCGTCGCATGAGGGTCAAAATAGACCAAACCATTATGAGGGTATGAGGTGGGGAGAAGGGCTGGCGCTTGCTTTGCTCGCTTACTTGTGCTTCAGGGCTTCATAGGCGCTAATGCGCGGGAAGGGCGAGTCATTCACAAAGCTGACACCACCGTTGTCGTCCACTTGGATGTGACGGGGCGCCAGCAGGGACTGCAGCAGCTCCCAACCTGGCGGCAGCACGAAGTGGCTTCGAAGGTGGTCAGCATGAAGGGAGTCTTGCATGCCGTGCAGCCGCACACCAGAACAGGAGAGTGTGGAAGCAGCGGTGGCGGCGGCAGCAGGAGGATGTGTGGCCAGCACAAGGCGGCCTAGCACGCCGAGAAATCAAGGGGCCCCTCGCGTTGTTACCTCCCTCCGCATGCCCCAGCCCCTCCCGCCCCCGCCCCACCGGCTCCATCGAATGCGTCCAGCAGCGCACAGTCCCGGGCGGGTAGGTAGGTGGCCCGGCGCCAGGTGGCCAGGTCGTAGTTGAACTTGGGGCCATACACGGAGTTGAAGGCGCGCAGGGCCCTGTCCGTGCGCATGGCGGGAACCGCCAGCTGCAGCATCACGATACCTGCACCGCGCGCACCACGCATTTTGGGGACGGTTTGAAGGAAGTCGCACGCACGTCATCAGCCGGCGTCGCAAAGGTGAGTGGTAAGCGCATGATGTCGTCGTTTTTCATGTATCCCCATCTGACCCTCCCTTGTTACTGATGGCACCCAAGCGAATCCTATTCCCTTTGTCTTGACCCCACTTGTGGTTTGGTGCTTCTTAGACCCCCATCTGCCATCCTCATCGGTTGCTCTCGCACCCGGCCCACCGCCCACCGCCAAACCCACGCACCCGGCCCCCGCCCCCCGCCAAATCCACGCACCCGCGGACCAGGTATCGAAGCGGTCGGGCTTGTGTTTGGCCCACAGCAGCGGACTGATGGCCAGCTTGAGCAGCCGCGCCTGCTTGGCGATGTGCGGCGAGTCGGTGGGCATCACGTACTGCTCCGGCGGGCAGTAGTTGAGGTCCAGAATGGACTCCTCGGGCACGTAGTTGGTGCCGGTGCGCAGGTCGGCGCATGCACCCAAGTCGATCAGCTGCAGGGGAGCGAGAGGAGCACCGTAGGATGGCGTCACGGAGCATGGCAACGGAAGGGGTATTGTGAGGAAGTATGCGACAGGAAAGCAAGCAGAGAGGCGGTGCACGTGGAAATGCGATTATCACAGGGAAGTCAGAACGACTCAAGTGCGACGCATAACCCTATGGGCCTTATGGATCGTGGATGAGTTGTAACTGCGGGTATGGGCTGCGAGCTGTACGCTGCACTCCTGTCCGCAGTGGCCGCACTTTTGTCTGGGGCCACAGCCTTTCCACCCAAGCACTCTAACCAGAACCATCATGCCAGCACAGTCCAGCGTTCTCCGCCCCACCTTGAAGCGCCGTACGTCCTCCGCAAAGATGATGTTGAGTGGCTTGATGTCTCGGTGCACCAGACCCGCAGCGTGGAAGGCCTGGGGCAGGAGGATAACATGGTATGGGAAGGCATGTGGGGGGGGACGCAGCAGGTCAGGGGGGCAACATGGTGTGGAAGCCACAGGGGAGCATGGGGCATGGGAACCTTCGTTGCCTTCATTAACAGGGATGCCTTCACATGAGAGTGACGGGGCGCCCGAGCATGTAAGGTAGCGCGGCTTCAGCTCCCGGCACCGGTATCTCCACCCCTCCCTTCCCAGCCCGCCTCACCGCAAGTCCTTCGAAGATCTGCTTCATGACTGCTGGCACCACCGCCGCCTCGGGCACCTGTTATCAGGAGGTAGGGGAGGCTACCGTTCGAAGTTTGCCCAAAGGGAAATCTGTTCTTAACGATGCGGAAGAACAACAAAACACCAGCGGTATCCATGGAACCGTCAAGGCAGGTGGGTGAGCACCGGCAATTCCCCGCAGCAAGCAGGACGATGCATACTCCAGACGAAGCAAGCGGAAGCTTGTGCTGCTCTACGACTGCTTGCAACCGCCCCTGCAACGGTCCAACCACCCAACCGACCTCCATGTCTGCGGCTAGTGCACGCAGCGTGTCCCGCCGGCCCAGGTAGTACGACAGCGTCTTGCTGCCCTCGTACTTCCAGATCTGCAATGATGAAGCATGTACGGCAAGAAGCTGTTTTTATCGAATAGGGACTCGGCGAAGAACGCAGTACACGCTGCACCTACATGCCCGGCTGTCCTTACTGGTCGCCACAGGACCAGGCCTGACATTCACGAAAATCCCATATGCCGTCCTCCCAGCCCGCACCGCATGCTGCTCCGCTGCTCCACCCGCTCCACCCGCATCTTCACCACGTCACCGCCCGGCACCACCAACCCCAACCCGACACACCGCAACGCCCACACCGCCCCCCTCCCTTTCTGCCCCTTCCTTATTTTTACCACCCCAGCTGCATGAGGCATGACCCACCCACCCACCGGTCCCTGGCCAGTGTCCGTTCTGCGGCTCGGTGCCCAGTCCTCGCCCCCGCCCCCACCCACCCACCCACCTACCCACCAGCCACAGCCCCGGTGTGAGTCGCACAGTCGCCTCGCTGTCCGCCACCTCGCAGTAGCCCAGGAAGTCGGCGCAGTGGCCGCGAGCCACCCGGCTGGCGTACACGTTGAGCAGGTGCTCCATCTGGCTCATGGCCTCCGCGCCCTGGAGGGAGAGGGGGGGCCGGAAATGGGGGTCAAATTAGAGCAAAGCATAGGGAACCGCGATTCATGGCAGAATGATGGGGGAATGAGGCGGCAGGACAGGGGAGGGAGCGGGAATCGGGGAGGGGAGCGGAAGTAAGGGAATGCGAGGCGGTAAGGCAGCGAAGAGGAGGCGGTGGAGGAGGAGGATAGGAGCGGCGGGTGGGAGGGTGAGAGTTGTTGTTCGGGGGTTGTTGGAGCAGGGGGCGGTAGATGGAGAGAAGCGCGGCAACCGGAGAGGAGGGCAGATGCGGCAGGGAGAGAGGGCGGAGGGGGGACGGTTGGGAAAGGCAAGAGGCATACGAAAAGGCGGGTTGAAGGGGCGGCGACGAGACGTCTTGAGTCGAGCAAGTGCGCCTCGATGTATGGTCGTTAGGAGAAACAGAATTAGTCCTTACTTCGTTTATCACACGCTATAGCTCGTCCTGCAAAAGGCCTGATTGGATGGCTTATTTCGCGCTGAAGCGCGCGGTTGACCCCGTCAACGGAGCTTACCTGGACTCTAGTTTTGACGCGCTTTAATACCACACGCTGAGTGCCAGCAGGAGTGTTCAGAGATCCCTGTAGGCCGGCCTCTCTTGTCAGCGCCACGGAAGCAAGCGGGCGCGCGTCTTAAGCATGCATGGATGTCTCGGCCTTACCTCAAAGACCTGGCCGAATGATCCTTCTCCCATATGACGTTGCACTGTCAGGGATTTTGGCAATATCGCCCTGCCTTTTGCGGAAAGGTCAGCAACGACTGTCAGCGCGCGGCGCGACGATGCAGTCGCCACCGGCGATCCGCGCTGGACGTGCGCTGCATAACTGCGAGGCTTAGAGCTGCCAAGCAGCCTATTGTAAGAAGTTGGTCGCATTAGTGCCCCAGGCCTGTCTTGGCCACCCCTACAACACCATCAAGTTCGCCTAGAGCGAGCAAGCTTAAAGCCAATCACGGCGCAACACCGGTAAGTAAAGCCAAGAAAACCTCCGCTTTGGAAAACAGAGGACTATGCAACTGGTCAGATCGGCATGGGAACCGCCATCCAACCACCGACACTGTCAGGGATTCCAAACGCGGTATGCTTGCAGGCTTTCGCTTGCAGACCTAAAAGTTCCGAATTCTTGTCTCTATTACCATTATCTGAAAATGGAAATTAGCCTTATAACTGCCACCACCTTACGCCAGCAACTTGAACCCTGCAAACGCCTGCTAGGCATCCTTTTACGACCAACCTGCGTAAGCCTTTCTGTCAGCGATGTTGCACTAGTAACGGCGAGTCCTGCGGGGTAAGGGACCGCTTCTTGTCTGTCGATGGCAACCTACGTTGTCCTTTCCACAACAGCAAAAGGTGACCTGTAGGGCAATCCTCTTACGCAATGGAAAAGTACCAGAACGCACCTTGCTGCGGCTATTGGAACCGCACCAGAATCAGATAGCTGGCGTTGTAGTAGGTAAGGGAGCGGTCCCGCAGCAGCCGTTGAGCGCATGGACATTCATTGAACGTGCCAGGCCTTCGCCTGGGCTGTGTTAACGGGGCCAGTTACCTGACTAGATGGCCCTGCAGTGCACGTTGCACACCCAGTCTAGCGCTGACCGTGGCTTAAAGGCCCACGGGTCGCCAGTTGCATGGCTAGCAGCTCAGGCACATGTGTGTGGCGGCATGGCCCGCATGGGCACTGCCACCTCCACCACCACAACCCCACCACGGCATTCCATAGGGTTCCCTCGCCCATTCCTACAGGCAGCGAACGGCATCCGCACTGGCAGGACTTCCTGGCTGCTGCCCCAGCTGTGCAATCCTTCCGCCAGGTGAGGGTTGCTGCCTTGCAACCTGCCGTACCGGTGTTGCTACCTGCCGTACCGGTGTTGCTACCTGCCGTACCGGTGTTGCTACCTGCCGTACCGGTGTTGCTACCTGCCGTAACGGGAGCCGCCACTGCTACCATCGCACACACCCGACAGTGTCGTGCAAACCAGGCTTCAGTCACCACCCCCTGCTATCCTCCCACTCCCTTGGCGCTCATATGCTTGCGCCCCCGCCCGATCCGCCTTCAGGTGCACTCCCTGCTACACTCCGTCAGCCCCGGCCTGCCATGTGCGTGGTGGGATCGCTGGAGCCCTGATGCCCCCGGCTCATGCAGCCTGCTGGGAGCTGCCATGCAACCCGGGAAAGCAGAACACAGCGAGAAAGGAGGAGGTGGAGGAGGGGAAGCTGAGGCGGTGGCGGCAGCGGGCAGGGCCGACCCAGGCAGCAGTAGGCCGGTGAGGAGGGCGGTAACCGGTGCCGGAGGCGGAGGCGGCTTGGGAGGGGTGCCATGTAGCATGGGAACCCTGTTTTTGCAGCACTACTTGGATAGTGTGCGGGGTATGAAGGAGGGGTCTGCAGGTGAGACAGGGGCCGTATTGGGTGGGGCTGAGCAGGACGTGAAGGGGTAGCGGGGCAAACCGGGCGCATAGTGTAACGCCAGAGGGCTGTACTATATGTCGGAAGCTGTGTGCGGTTACAGTAGGGTGTAAAGGATACCACCGTTTTGGTGGGTGTTGCAGGGTGTGCTGATGAGTAAATAATCCCTGTTCCTCTTTCGTAGCCCAGTATGCTTGAGTCGTTGTACGGTTGGCGGTTCCGGCGGCACACGGGATATTGGATGTGAGGGATGTTTGCCGTTCACAAGTGATGTCCTACGAACATTTACTTACTAATATGGCCGCGCCGACCAGTTGATAGGCGCTGTTGTTCACAGTCGCCATCAATCTGGCTTGGCTTGTAGACGATTGCTAATAGTTTCTGGCGCTTCGTTTCATAGGAGGAGGGCGAAAGGTTGGCTGGGACGTATGGTACAGCAGTTCGCTCCATCCGCCTTCAGGTACCCATTGAATGAATTGCGCTCTTTTCGGCTGACATCTGTATAAGATCTTCCGTCCGAGCGGGTCGGTCTTGGTTTCTTCAAATGTTACCAAGGAAATTGCTGCCTGCTAGATGACTAGCCATATAAGTGTTGGTCGTTTCCAGCGTTTCTAGCCAGGAGCATTTAGTTATGGGGCATATCGTTATGAATGTGGTATGTGAAGCATGAAAGGCAGTAATGCGTTGCTAGATCCGGAACGCAGTCCCGTACGTTGAGGTACCCAAGAGCTAGGAGGTCCAACCGACCGCAACATGTAACATGTCATATTACTATGGAGGACGGCTAACAGATAAATTGTAGTTAGGGTTATGGGTTAGTTGTTAGACCCAGTTCGCCTGACCGCAGGCGTAGTTTTCATAATGCGGCCCAACGTAGCATACAAGTGCCACGGCTTTTGTCTGGCTGTTCTACTTATAACCACTTGTATTGAAGGTATGCGGTTCAGGGTTTACGGTTCAGTCGTCGCGCGCCCGCCTTCTTACTGGTTCGGAAGCGATTGTCTCCGCAATAACCATCGCGTATACATCAAGTGGAACGATTTCAATGCATATTGTAAAACTACCACGCATACCACGTTGTTGAGGTTGGTCCTTATGATGACATTCCATGCAAATGGCGACCGTCGCGGTTTTCCGATCCTTGCATAGTTAGCTTATCTCTTATCATACTTTTCACAGTTTTCTACTAACCTTATTATGCGTGTGAAGAGTCTGACTAATCCTTGTCCTAGGGTGCGCTTGCGCCCCTGCTACCTCTCTTGACGGGCCTCCGTACTCCGTACCCCGACGTAATGCCGTCCTCTAAGCACCCTGCTGCACCTCCACATCCCCCCGCAGGCGCCAAGAGCCCTCCTCCACCTCCCGTCAGCACCCTATTGCCGTACAGCAGTCTCCAGGAGTATTTGAACAATGAGCCGCAGCTCTCGCTGCTGTTGCAGCTGGCCATTCCGTCATACACAATGCTGGCTCGAACGGATTTGATTGCCACTGTCTTCCTGCCAACTTCAGATGTGAGATAAGCCAGATAACAGGGAATAGATGAGGCTGCTATTGATTCAGGGTACATGCTATTTATGCAGTGTGGAAAGACCAGGCTACGGAAGTTCAGTAGCAAAGGACAGGAATCAGACGGACATCACATTTTGAGGCAGCCATCTGTCCATACGCTTACACATGTGAACATAACGTATGCCTTATTTACGGCGGTACGGCCCTCCACAGGCGGTTAGTAAATACCTGTACGAGCAGTACGGTGTACAGGACCTGAGCGACCTCTGGTCTAACTCCCAACTAAACATGGTAAGGGATACAGGTAACTTGGACCCACGATTTGATCAGCCTATGCTCGACATCTGTTCGTTACACCCCTCCGCAATCACGGTCATCTTGTTTTCATCCTCTCACTTATACACCACCATGCCGTATGCATTGCCGTAAATCCCGTGCCGTACTCCTTCTGCCGTACCGCATGCAGGAACTGTTAGGGGCGTTCAACAGCCGAGTGCTGCCGTACCACATGGTACCCCAGCAGCCGCTGCTGAGCACTCAGCTGCTGGCGGGGGTGCAGCTGGTGACTTCGCTGGGGCCGCAAGTGGGGGTGCTGAGGCCGACAGCGGGGTGAGCTGCAGGGATAACAGCTTATGATGGGGGATTAGGTAAACTGAGCCGCGAGGGTTACTGACCCTAACCGTAGTATACCGGAGAGTGATTGCATCCCAGGTGTGCTTACATGGGAGTGATGGAGCGGCTGCCACCTCTGCTACATGCTTGTAACGCTTGTAAGTCTGCTGTCCTCCCACCTCCTCGGACCCCGCAGGTCGCTGGCGGTGCAGGGCGCCCGCAACAGCGCCAACGTGGTGAAGGCCAACCAGCTGATTGCTAATGTACGTTGTTAATGGGGTTGCTAATGGGTATTTGGGGCTGTGGGTGAGGCGCCCTGGGTTGGGGCATACATGCAGAGATGCAAAGGGTGTGGGATGTGGGGCGCCGTGGGAACGCATTCCTGACTCCTCACTGGCAAACGGCGTGCGTGCCTTTCCCGCCTTGGCTGTCCTGCGCAAAGCCGCTGTGGAACACCACGCATGCTTCTGCCGTACCCCCCACGTAAGCTCCTCCTCTTACCGCACAGCCCACACTTCACTGCCACCCGACTGCCATGGCACCACCGCCCTCTGCGGTGGCTTCTCTCCTCCTCTTCACCATTGTCCCTGCCTGGTTCCCAACAACACCTTGCAGGGGAATGTGGTGTGCCACTTGTTAGATGCGGTGCTGCTGCCGCCACTGCAGCCGGCCCCTCCTCCCCCAATCGCGGCAGCAAAGAAACCGCCGCCGCCTCCTTCACCGCGGCGATCCCCCAAGCCGCCCCCTCCCTCCCCACCACCACCGCCGCCGCCCCCTCGAAAACGCTCGCCACCTCCACCACCTCTCAGACCCTCACAACCACTACCCCTGGCGCCCTCCTCACCGCTTCCCTCGCCCTCCCCACCACCGCCGCCTACCGCCAAACGGAAACCGCCGCCACCCCTTCCGCAACCGCCACCACCCTCGCCCAGCCCCAAATCTCCTCCCCCGATGGGTCCGGCTGCCCGGCCCAGACCCAGCCCACCGCCGCGCCCTCCGCCGCCTTCCCCGCCGCCGTCCCCACGGCCCCCCTCCCCACCTCCTTCCCCGCCTCCGCCTAGTCCCAAGCCCGTTTCCAAGAAGCCGCCGCCTCCGCCCGCACCCTCACCCTTTCCCCCGCCTGCGCCTTTCAAAGGTGGGCTACCGATATGTCGCTGTCGCAGCTTCAAAGCGTGGCTTGCGGATTCCTGTTGCGCCCACTTCGGAACCCCGCCCATTCCGCCCCTCCCTTTCCCACCCATGCCGTTCCGCACATTGAACCTCCGCTGCACCCCTTTCGTCCTCCTATCCGTCCCATGCCCCTTCCTGTCCTCCCGTCCACTCCCCTTTCCTGTCCGCCACCATCTCTCCGCGCCTTCCCTCCCTGCTGCCTACACAGCTCTGGACCTGCCTGCCGACCTGGCGAACTTCGCCTCCCTGTCCGACCAGCTGCTGGCGGCGCTGAGCGGGGCGACGGACAGCAGCAGCAGCAGCGGCGGGGTGGTAGGAGCAGTAGGAGGGAGCCTGGCGCAGCAGAACCAAGTAAGCACAGGCGTGGGGAGCGGGGTTGGGCGGAAGCAGGTTAGTAGGGGGTCGAGACCTGTGGTGACGTGGACCGCCGAGAAAGGGATGGCAGGGCAGGCAGAGGGGTGGGGGCAAGGAAGGAGCCGTCGCGCTCTTGTGCCTCCCCATGAAAAAGGGAAGCACAGCCCTGGTGGCTTGCTACAAAACAGCCTTGGCGTCAGGCTGCCAGGTTTGGGGACACGGACTGTGTGCAGAGACACGTCATTCCCAACCCCGTACACCGTTACACGCCCTCCGGCCCAACGTTACACGTCATGCCGTCCTGGCTTACGCGCACGCCCTCCTCGCCTGTCTTGTCCCCTCCCAGACGCTGCAGCTGCTGGCGGCGCTGAACCCCTACCTGGCCGCCTACCTCACCCGCAACACCACAAACGTGGCAACACTGCTCCTGCCCTCAGCCGAGGTGAGCAGCCAGGGAGGGGCGCACTCGTGCTGCGAACACACACGCACTTGCAGCAGGCCTTTTAGCATATTGCGTCGTCCTGATACCACTCCGTCACCCGCCCTTTTCTCCCCTTCTTTTTTCCCCATCCCTCTACCCTTTCCCGGGGCCGGCCACACGCACACAGGCATTCTCCTCCTACCTAGCCCAAGCCGGCGACCTAACCTCGCTGAGCCTGTCCGATCAGCTCTCCCTCTACCGCCGCACCCTCACCTGTCTGGCCTACCTTGGGGTGCCGGGCGGTGCCAGCAAGCGCACCCTGCATGCGGCCGACCTGCGCACGGCGGCGCTGGCTGCGGGCAGCGGCGGTGCGGTGCTGTCGACCCTGGTCTCCTCGTACACGCTGCGGGTCACACCCAAGACGGGGTGAGCGGGGCGGGGCAGGGCGGGGGGTATTCTACCGATATCTGAGCCGTCGGCCGGGAGGGGAGGGCAAGGGCGGGTCCCGCCTGGAAAGGGGTGAGTGGGGCGGGTAAAGAGAGACAATAACCATGTGATCAAGCTCAACGGGCTGAGCGGGGAGCGCGGGAGGTCTCAAGCCCGATGTCGTTTGAGGCATGGTGTCCCCTTGGTTTTCCCTCGCTTCCGGAAACCAACCAGCCGCTGCATGCCCCACACGTGCCCCATCAGGTCTGGCGTCCAGATCTGGGACTCGTACGGCAATGCCGCGTCCATACTTCAGGCGGACTTGGCTCTAGGAGAGGTAGGGGCTGGGCGGGGGCCGGATGGAGGGGTAGGGTCTGAGCTGGGGCCGGCCCCTTGTGCGTTGTGCCCCCTCCTGAGTAGAGTACGAACCGGGACACGATGCCCCACATGGCACAGCTGCCTTCGGGGCCGACACACATCGCGCTTTACACCAATCTTAACTCCAAATCTTTAGCACCCACGCCACGCCACCCACCCACTCGACACCCATCTCGTCCTGCCCTTCCTCATCCACATCCCCTCTCGGGTTTGGTTCCTCTCCAACCCTCTCCGTTGCTTCACTTTCCAATTTAATTCCTTGCCTACTTCCTCTGTGCCCCGACCCCGAACCTTAACAGCGTCTGGTGGTCCACCTGATCGACCGGGTGCTGCAGCCGCCCCCGGACGCAACCATACCGCTGGCCGGACCCAAGCCGCAGGGTACGTATCGGTAGGGTAACTAGCTAGACGTTGCCACCGCCGCGACAACAGCATGTATGCCGTACACGCTCTGCAAGGTTGCACCCTCCTCCTCTAGTCCACCGTTCCTGCAAATCTAACACGGTGTTACAACCTGCACCTGCACCTGCATATCTGCATAGCAGATATGAATAACTGTCACCCAAGCATCCCACCGGCTCACCTCGTATTTTCTTTCTTCTTCCCCTGTCGTACACTATACCCGGCCGCAGTGCGCACCTTCCCCAGCCTGCTGTCTTGGCTGGCTGATCCCGCCAATGTGGACGCCACGCTGTGGCACGTGCTGTCGGTGCTGCTGCCGGAGGGGGTGCTGGCGCAGCTGGGCGACCCGGGGCTGGTGGCCACGTTGTTCCTGCCGGATGCAGATGTGAGACGGGAGGGAGGGTTGGGGCTGGCGGGGGAGAGGGTCGGGACCCGGGAGGGGTTGGTGGTGGTGATGGGAGGGGGTCTGGGCTGCTGCATGCATGGTACCGTAATCTTCTAAATACCGGTATCAGGCTCCATTGTCAGTTCGTTATCCCTGTCAACTAAATGGTAGGTAAACCATCCTCCTCTTTAACTCCCCTCTCCCTCCTCCCCCTCCTCCTGCCTCACCTCATCTCAGCTGCTGCTGCGCAGCCCTGCAGTGCTGGAGGCGCTGTCCTCCTTCGCTCCGCCGCTGTCCGGTCCGCTGCTGGCGGCGGTGCTGCAGGCGCACTTGGTACCCGGCTGGGCGCTGAGCGGGGCGGACCTGGCGGCGGCGGAGGGCGGCATGGTGCTGATCAGCGGGGCGGACACAGCCATCAGCGTAGGCCAGCGGGAGGACGGGTAAGCGATGTTAGCTGCTTGCGCATGCTATATGCATTGTATATAGTGAAGTTATATCACCAGCGTTTGAGATTGACGCTTTTTGTACGCTTGATCCTGGGCCTGCTGGGCTCGAATCCCCGTTGATACCTTCCCTTCGCCTGGCTGTATGTTGCAGGACTGTCACGGTTGACGGCATGCCAATCAAGTACTTCAATCGCACAGCGGGAAAGGTAAGCAGCGGTGGTCCGGCAGAAGGGGCATCAGAAGGCACTGCGCGCTTGCTGCGCGGCCGTCGTGCTGCATGCTATTTATGCTGCCGTCACCTTGACGCTTCAACTCTGTCCCTGCCTGCCCAGAATCTCTTTCTGGCAAGCCGGCGGCTTACCGTCTCGCTACGGCTCACCAACGCTCTCGTCACGCTGCGCTACAAACACACGTGTGTTGTCTTGCTGACTACCCCCTCTCCCCTCCCCCCCCCACCCGGCTTAACCGCAGGTTGTCATCCACATCATATCCGGTGTGCTGCCGCTCATGGACATCGGACCTGTCAGCGAGCCCCTAGTCGCGCCCTCCTCGCCCTCCTTGCCGCCACCTTCGCCACCACCGCCTAAGTCCTCGAGCAAGCCACCACCGTCGCCTTCCCCTCCCGCAAAGTCCCCGCCACCACCACCGCCACCCTCCCCTTCCCCCAAGCCGCCACCGCCGCCATCTCCTTCCCCAAAGTCACCACCACCACCACCACCACCGCCATCCCCTTCCCCCAAGCCTCCTCCGCCCAAGCTAGCTACCAGCCCCAGCCCGGCCCCCAGTCCAAGCCCCCCACCTCCGCCTAGCCCCGACCTGGCCTTTGCCTCCCTGCCGCAGGTGAGACCTTACCAAACCCAGGGAGTAAGGGCCTATCTTGCCTGCCTGTATCCCGCTATCGCACCACCATTCCAACGCACAATCCTAAGCTCCTCGCTCGCTCCTATCCGCCCTGTCCATCCGCCCGTGCAACCCGGTCCCCATTTTATATGCCAGGTCATGCGCAACTTGTTCCCCCCCAACTTGCGGTCCGGTTTCCCTCCAATCCCCGTACGTCCTGTTCCTGCCAGGCCCTATCTGGGCTGCCGGAGCTCTCCTACCTGGCGGCCATGTACGACCTGGCGGGAAGCAGCGCCACCTTTAATGCCATCCTAGCCGCCTCCCTGACCCGACCCTACACCCTGTTCCTACCCAACGACCAGGTGGGTCGTGCGGAGCCCTAGCAGAGCTTGAATGGCCGGTTGAAAGGCTGGACGGCTGAATGGGTGGCTGGGTCTAGGGTCAAGCCCCGCAGCTGACCCTGATACATGTACACGCGCATCCTTTGTCCCGTCTCCCCCGTCTGCTGCCTCCCCACTTCTCATTTCTTTCTGCATGAGTCGGGATTTGGGATTGGGGCTCCGTTGCTTCATTTTTCCATTATTTCCCCATTCCTCCCATCCCGTCACTTATCGGTACTCCCCCAGGCGCTGCGCCCGCATCTCAACCTGAGCAGCGCCAACCCCGTTCTGGGAGCCCTGGGCAAACAAGTGGCGGCTGACTGGCGGGTGCTAGTCAACCTGCTCAGCCCCTTCACGCTGCAGGGCCGGCGGCTGCTGGCAGCGGATCTCGGCTCCGGAACCACCATCAGCACCAGTCTGGCGGGGGCACCGGGGGCGGTGCTGCAGGTGGGGTTGCATGGGGTTTGCTGCTGTGGTAACCGTACCTGCTGCGTTTTGTACCTCCACTGCAACGGCATATCACACTCCACGTGTTGCACCGGTTGTTGACGCTTGCCATCTGGCGCCCCGCTTACCGTGACATGCAGGTCCAACGAGACACCGTTAGCACCCCAAGTTCGTCCCAGACGTTCGTACGGCTGACTCGTGCTGACAGCGACACCGTTGCCACGCTGGTCCGATGTAATGTGGCGGTGGGCAGTAAACAGGTGAGAAGAACGAAGCATGCCACGCTGCTGCCTTTAGACCATTTACGAGCGGCATTGTTGGCAAAGGTTGACACGGGATGCCCGTATGCCCTGTAAGCGAACTAAGAAAAATGCCCCCCGTCCCAAAACGACCGGTGCGTTCTGCAGGGTGTCATACATGTGGTCGACGCTTTCATCGGCCCGGCGTAAGCAGCGTACCCTGCTAGCTAGCTGCGTGCAAGACCTGCCCCGCTTCGGAGGTCCCGGAGTGGTGCGGTGCATGCATTCCGCCGCACCTAAAAGAGACGCAGAGAAATGCGTCCCGTGCCAAACCGCCGGTCAAGCCGCGTGGGGCAGCTTGGCGATTCTCCGCACATGAGATGAGCTACACCGTGAGGATCGCCCCTTCAGCGGCGGTACGCCTGGCAGCAGTGGCATGCATCGAAATCTTCAAGTTGGCGTCTGGAACGGCGGGGTGGGCTACAATACGCAGTTATTGCGCTTGCGTGGGGCTGGGCCGTGGGCGATGTGAAGCGCTGTGATAGGAATGAATGTGGCGTTAGGGCTTACAGCCGTCTCCGACCAAGCTGATTGCCTGTAACGGGAAGGCAGAGACCAGATGCCTACCGGTGTGCTTTACACGTGCCGGGCATGGGGATCATGCAACAGGAGGGGAACGCAATGAGGTAATTCCGTTTAAGGCGGGTCATTTCTAGATGCTGACCCGTGGGTCTGTGGGAGGCTTCCAAACTCTTTGGCTTAGAGTGGTGATACATATGGGCATGGATCTAAGCAGCGGCCTTTTAATACCCAATTCGACCGAGTATTAGCTTGTTCAGTTCTGAAGACCCTTTACGTAGGCTTGGCGTAGGGTTTGGCACGTATTAGGGTTTTTTCATGGTCAGATTAATCACGGCGTTGTGGCGCGGCTCCGGAGTCCGGGCAGCATATTCATTTGCAGACATATCCGTACAACCTGGGCAGAAAGGAGAGCTTAGAAGCGGATCTATCAGAGTAGAAACCTAGGTTTCTGTTTGTGTGGCTCTTGGCTGGCTGTTGCATGGAGCTGTCGTACATGCATGCGTACGGCCGTTACTGATGAATGGCCGAATGTCCTTGTCGGTTCAGCATTTACGTAGAGCAGCTGTGTGACTAAGACGCAGGATGGCTTTATATCACGTCGATTGTACGACATTCGCGTAGAGGAATGTAAAAGGGTTGGAGACGGCTGCAAGCACCGTCACGGCCTCGTCTGGAGCCAACCCACTCACTACCCCACGTGGCGTCAAACGCTGCGAGAAGGGAGTGTCGCTGGTGTCTCTTACAACGTCGTTGGACAAAGACACGCGGCCACATGGCCACTGCAGCCCATGGGAGGCAAGAGCTTGCAACCCACAGCCCCTGCCATATCTTAACGTGAAGAAGAGTACAATGCTGCAGGATCCACCGAATACATCCTCGGCGCACGTCTCCAGCACGTCTCCAGCGAGCAAAGAACACCCTGCTAGTACCAGTCAGGCTGCTACAGCCTGGGGTAACCACCTGACGGTACCATGTCAGGCACACAGCCATCCCTGCACATAACAAACCACACTGCAGCAGCCTGCGCACGCTCTGCTTCGCAAAACCACGCGCACAAGGTCGGCTACTGACCTCCTCCTCCAGCCCTCCAAATCCCCCGCACGCATAATCCTCAACTGTGCAGCAAGCAAGCCGCATTCAAACCCCGGACCGACTGCTAGCGAGCTGCGACCCAACCGTGTCACTTCCAGCAGCAACGAACAAAGAGAATCCGTTGCGTTCAACCGTCATGCTGCCCAACCGCCTCTCCCATGCCTCACAGGTAGAGCTGAATGAGCTCGTCACTGACAGCCGCCGGTGTGAGCACTCCGAGGTCCGTGACGAGCAGGCTGATGCATTGGGGCGGCGTGTAGTCACGCGAGGGGTTGATGACCTGCGGGCCGGCACCAGGAAGGAGATGAAAAGCAAGAAGGCAACACAAGCAGCGGAGAGGGAGGGAGAAGCGCTGTCAGCAACATACCGCACGCATGCCGTCAACCCCAACAAGGCGCGTGGAAATGAGGCGTGCAGGGCGAGCAAGGGAGGCCCAAACAGGCATGGAGGTTTGGGTACCGGTAAGTGCTCGACTCCTCTACTGATAAACAGGATTCAGCGACTGTGACGGTGAGGAGGGGCGCGGCGCGCAAGACTCGAAAGCAAGCCTTGTTTCTGCTGCAACCCGGAAACCCACGTTGGTGCGAGACGGCAGCATGGGCCCCACGTCCAGCGGCTTGCGCTCCTCGGGCAGGTCCGCCTGACCCAGCGGGTACAGCCGTGCGAACTTGTACGACTCCGCAGCCACGTAGAAGGGCTTGGAGGCGGCCTTAGGGGCGGAGGATGGGGGTCCGGTAGGCGGCTAGGCGCGCTTTAGGGGAAACACCGTCCACTAGGGTTAAGCCTTTTGACCCATGGGTCACAGCATTTAAAGCTCCCTCTGAAGCACGCATGACACTCCCACAACTCTCCCAAGCCCAGCCAGGACGCCGCTTCTTCGTGCTTCCCATCCGCGCACCCGCCTTCCATGACACCGCCAGCTACTGCCGCACCTGGGCTGCTAGCGCAATGCCGTACGTGCCGAGCTTGTTGATGATGCCGCCGTTCTCCACCACCGCATCCGCGCCCGATAGCACCATGTCAACCCTGCACAGTGCAAAGCCCAGTGCAGGAAACACACACACACACACATACAGACATGTTCCTACTCGCGGCTAGTTTTCTTAACACACATACAGACATCGTCTTCCGGCAGTCACAGTACGTTCCGAGTCGCGGCAAGTGTCCTTAATACACACATACAGACATGCATGTCAGCGTTCGAAGCCTCAAACACACGCTGTGTTGCCTTTGTATGGTATTTAGTGGGCCCAACGAGCGCGGGCCATTCCCCATTCCAGCACCCGCTACCACGTCCCCTCACTCTCTTTCGGTTCCTCAACCTCTTCACCTCCCCTTTCCCCCACCTGTCCATGATGTAAGCCACGCAGCTGTCCAGCACCAGAGTGACGGGGATGTTCTCCGCGTCCAGCTTCTTGGCCATGGTGATGCCGGTGCCGTCGGGCCGTCCCTCCGTCACGATCACACTGAACTGCAGGCCCTGTGGAGGGCAGGGCGGGTGAGGGGAAAGCAGTGAAAAGGGAAGCAACAGAGTCCCAATCCCACATCCCGACTCATGGTCGTCATGGACGGGTGAGGGTAAAGAGGTGAGGGTAAAGCCGTGGTGGTGTCGCAGGAACGCTTGCTCTTATTGCCAAAGTAGTAACCCCGTGTGACAAGGCGGCTACAGCATTGGAGCAGAGGGGAGGGATACAGGATTCAAAGGAGAGAGCATGTACTCATGCGCCGATGCCTGTGTTGCAGCCCAGGCGCTGCTTACACTTGAAAAGGCTTGCTGCAGCAGCCGCAGCACCACTCGAGAGTAGCCGTGTGTGAGCACCGTGCAGTTGCTGCGGAGGAAGCGGGACCCCAGCTCCGCAATCGTTTGTCGCGCACTGCAAGCGAAAGGGGAGAGAAGGGACGTGGAATGAAGAACCGTAAGGCACGCGAAAACCAGCTTTGACATCAAGCTGCAGGAACGGGTTTCGCCCTACCAAAGGCGTGGCATATCCTTCCTGCTGCGGTCTCATCCCGTTATAAATAGCACTGCAAGCAGCTCCTTAGGCGGCCTTTTATTCTCGATGTGGACTGTTACAGAGGAAGGACAGGAAGACCACCACAGGAAACCTGGCTACCCCTGGCCCTGGTTCCCAGCCCGAGGAGACAGTGAACAACCCATACCGCGTGCTGGTCTCCGCGAAGTGTAGCCCGCGCTCAATCAGCCGTGCCTTGGCGGTCTCGATGTCCTTCATGAGGGCAAGCAGGCAAACACGGGAAGCAACATGGCCGCCGACACGTCAGCCGCCAGTCCACAAACACTACATGCATCACCGCCTTCATCCGTTCATCTCAAGGACCTGCACCCCTTGCTTGGCCCCCCCCGGGCGCCCGAGCACAGCCGTGCTTCTCCCATGTAAACTCGGAGCCTCCTACAAACACCAGTACCAACAGTGCTCAGAAACCCAAGCCGTACAGCCCCACCTTGAGCTCCAACGCACTCGTCCGCGTTGTATAGCGCAGGAACAGCTCGCAGCCGGCTTTAAGTGAAATGTTTGTGGGGTTCACCCTGCAACATGCGCAACCGGCGGACATGACGCTTGCTACGGACCGAGCAGTACAACTAACCCAGACGCCGTGGTTATACTGGCATTCAGCGAGCCAGGGAGCCACAGCAAGGGCACTGCCGTACGGGGGCTGTACGGCAAAGCTGCATGGCTGGTACCCAGAGTGCCTCACCTCTGTAGCGCCTGAGCCGCGTCCTCCAGCTCCTTGCTAACTCCCATTAGGGTTGCAGCGCTGCGAGGGCAACATCGGTAACATGCTGTGGTTAGGAGGGGGCGCAAACCCGAAGTCATCCTCCAGTTACCCCCGGAAGCCCGATTTGAGTATCCCTGCATAACCCTGTCTAACCCCCCAGCTTCCGTACATTGCGGCACACCCCTAGCATGTCGGAGTCCGTCCATGGGCCCTGAACTGTATGCATCACCCACACGCCAACCCTCTAACTTGCGACTGAGTTCCCACTCCCGTCCGCCGATCACCTGCTGCGCTTAATGACAGCAGTCAAGGCCATAATGGCAGCCACGGCAAATGCGACATCCTCGTCGCGACTCAACGCGTCATGGAACTCGCGAACGGCGATGTCGTTCAGGGTGCCTACAGCGACGCAGGGCAGACGCCCATTTAGACGAGACGGCGACGAATATAAGTAGTCCTACTGCCAGACCTTGGGTGTTGGAGCCGAAGCCCTCTGTAACCACCAGCGCCTTCTGGCTAGGCCGCCGCTGCATGGCTTCTTCGCTTCCGGCTGGCCGACAGCGATCGTAGTGTCAAAAGTGTAAACGAAAATTCCTCGTTATAGGCGATAACCCTCTCTTGGGGAATGGTGCAAAGTTCCTAGGTCTAGACTTGGGCAGGACGGCGATGCAACACCAGCAATACTAATTGTCTCCTTATGGTATACTTCTTTACTTTTACTAAAAATAAATAGTACCTGTTTTGCTTCTTAACCCTGCGAGCGATCGCAAACCGCTATTCAATTTTCCTCTGTCGTTACCTGCTGTCCTGCACACAACACAGCAGGAACCAGAATCAACAGCATAGAATGTTTTACGAAGCTTACACTTGTTCTTGATTGGCTTTATGTATAATCTAATAGTGTCTCCACTTCGCGTCAATGCTGGTGAACATTTTCCCTTTCTGAGTAAGCGCAAGCTTGCATCATAGTTCTTAATGGTAATGGCCTCCTCAGCGATGCTACCTCCGGTATCAGAGGCGCTAAGCCTGCTTGATACCAGCTTCGTCAACAACGAATGGTTAGTCGCCGCAGAGTCAACCAGGCGAAGCCAGTCCAGTGCTAAAGGCGTGCATTCTCACGCGCAGGCATGGTACACCAGCGAACATACGGCGCAGCTTGCAAATCCTGGTCGACCATATCTCCGTCCAGAGTGTCCAGCTCAGGTAGCTTACATGCATCCGACTTGCCAGTACTCTACTTGTGCGAAAGCCGCAAGAGGCTTGTAAATTACAAGTGTCCTGTGAAAAATGCAGCCGTGTTGAGGATATCCTGACAGCTTTTGGCAGCCCGAGCAGCCAGGGTGGCACGGTGTGGAGTAAGGTGCGTCGTATGGGTTATGGACGTTGGACCCACGTGATGCTTGCCCTTCCGGGTCTGAAACGGCTGTGCAATGTCACACCTTCTGCGATGTGGGTTAGCGCTCTACCCAACTATGGCCAGAGCTAGCTTTCAGCCACTGGGCTTCCAGGAGTATGAAGCCCTCATGTTGCTGCTGCAGCCGTCATGGGAACGCAAGTGTATGCAGTAGCAAACCAAACCACCTTTGTTGCAATGCAGCTTGCGGGGAAGGCTGATTTAAATCGCCTTGAGAAGCTGGAGGAGCAGGTGGACGGTCTCCTGAACGAGAGTGCGTTGCTGAGGTCGCAGCAGGTATGCTGGCACGCATGCGGGAATGTAGGGCAAAGGGCACTGATCGCACGCATCCCTCGACAGTTTGGCCTCCTGTCTACCGGTGCTGTTGCACACATCCCATGTTGCATCCATCCCGCTTCTCCGGCCCCGGCCCCGCACAGAGTGCAGCTTCACTCGCCCGCGACGACATGGCATCCCGGCTGGAGCTGCTGAAGGACCAGATGAACAGCCTGGAGGCGCGACTTGGGCTGCCGTACGCCTCGGACAGCAGCACAGCCGGGTAAGCATGAGCGCGCATGCATGCTCCTACAGCCTAACAAGTGTAACAACCCAGATCGATGCCGGGAGTTGGCTGCCTGGTTGCTTCCTGCTTCGAAACCCTCCGAAACCAACAACGGGATGTCACGTTGTTTTGTCTGTACGTTGCTGCGTTCCAACCAGGATCGACCAGTACGGCGGCCCGCGGCGTGGCGGTTCCAACGTGGGGGGCTTCATGTCCCCCAACAAGCGCGGTGCGCTGGTGGCCGCGGGCGCCCTGGTGGTGCCCAGCGTGCAGACGGGGTCCATCCTCGACCGGATAGCCAGACTGGAGCGGCGGGCGGACACGCTAGCGCAAGTCAGCGCTAGGACCGAGGTACGGTTGTCCCGATCGGAGTGCATGGACAGATTCCTCAGTTTTATGCGAGGGCGTGGGTCCAGTGGTTGTTGTTGTTGAGATCGGCCGTAGAGCTTACTGCCACCTGGCGCTGCGACCAGGCTGCCGGGCTTCGACCGATGCTAGGTTGCACTTGGTGACTCGCAGGATGAGTCGGCCTTGTTGCTGGGGAAGATGCGGGAGATGGAGCCCCGGCTCGAGGTGCGTTGGTTGCACGCTGGCCCTGATCATTGCATTTGGTGTGCTTTGCACGACAAAATTGGCAATGATGCCGTTGGTGTAAGCTGCTTGGTACGGGATCTGGGCCCAGCGGATATGTGCACTGGGTCACGTTGCTGCCGATCCAAGCTTTTAGCTGTTCCGTTGATTGAAGTGGTGATTTGGCCCATGCGCAGGTGCAACTGAACCACCTACGTGGGGACATTAAGCAGGTAAGAGCCTCAATCTGGGGGCCTATGAGCGGCAGGCTTACTGTACTTGGGGTTCCCATGCTCTGGTCTTGTCCGCAGCCTAAGCGTACAAGGATGTACGCTGCTAGGACACGCCCAACGAATGTTCATACCTGGCACTCCTTTTTATGTGCCTGCATCTCAACGCTGCGTGACTTGAACATTGTGTTGGTCTCCGCAGGCGCTGGCGGCGGCGGCGGCTTCCACTAAGCAGGAGGCGGAGGCGGAGAGCGCATGTCGGCTGAAGGAGTCGGAGAAGCGCTTGCTCGCCCGCATTCAAAGTACGTGGGAGCAGTGCAACCTTGGGGTCCGCGACGCCTGCTTGCCGTGTGTGCTGTGAGCTCCAAGACCTAACCCCTGTCTGTTGCACATGTCGTACATGCAACGCTTGCTGCAGGCGTGGAGTCAGCGCTTGAGAACAAGGTGTCCGCCCTGTCTACCCAGGCCGGGATTACCATCAGCACGGAGCTGGATAAGCGCGTCAACGGGGTGTATGACCATGTAGACTTGCAGGTAGCACCTCTACCTATGCTAGGAACACCTGCTCTGCTTCAGACCAGTTCCAGCCCCCACATCATCCCGCCAACAGGGAACTTAGGCCACAGTTTTGCAAGTCCCAACCTGTTTCGAACCTCTTAGCTGAACTGCGTCATTCATATCTAATAAACCGCAGGTTCAGCGGCTGCGTGGCGACCTGGACCGCTTCTCCCGTGAGAAGGTGGACCTGGGCTCCCTGGAGCACTACTCGCAGCGCATCAGCGCGCTGTTTGAGAGCATCGCGCAGGGCCTAGCGGACGAGGTCGCGGCGGTGGTGGGGCAGATGCGGGCGGAGCTGGCGACCGTCACGCGGGACGCCGCGGCGGCTCAAGCCAAGGACCAGGTGCGCGACGTGCTGGGTTGGGTTTATTGCCTGTGTCCCCTTGTTGGAAGCAACTGTAACGGCCGTCTTGCAATCAGGTGGGTGCATGCTCGGACCGAATGGTGATACTCCCATGAAGGACCGGGTTTCCTGTTGCACGGAACACCGTGCATGCATCCCATGATCTCACGGCTTATATGTTTGGCTACCGTTGCTTTCTCAGGCGCTGCATGACACCATTCGGTCCGAAATGGACGTCGTGCGGCAGCTGTCGGGTCAGGTCAAAGAGGCTATCACAACGGTGCAGGTGGGTGCTGCTTACCGTGCCTGGGGCATGTGTGTGTGCGGGGCTGCGGGACATGTGTTGCACCGTGTTGTACTGACCGCATCTGTTGTTCGAGGAAAGATGCATCAGCGGCTGTTACCTATAGTAAGCTGCTGTAGGGCGCGTGTGCTCCCAAACGCACCTGAAAGTCAAATGGCTTGTTGCGATGGCTCTAAAATATGAACAACTCGTCGGTGCAGGAGTCGGTGACCGCAAACCCCCGGCTGATCGAGGACACCCGCAACCTGGTACGGCAGACCATGGCGGACTCTGAGCAGCTCCAAAAGGCGGTGGCAGGTGCGCCACCCTCACATGTTACGGCTCTGCTTTGCCATTAGAAGGCGCCAATGTACTAGTGTTGAACGGTAACCAATGCGGCTCTTTTGCTTCCTTTGTATACAATAACAGGCTAACAACCCCTGCCATGGGCCTCTTACTAATTGCAGGCCTGAACACGGCCATGGCAAGCACAAGCAGCGCCCTAGAGCTGCAGTCTCACAAGCTGGGGCAGCTGTCGCACCGGTTGAGCGGAATGCAACAGGATCTGGGCAACGTCAAGGACATGCTGTACGGCGGGGCTGCAAAGGCGGCTGCGGCGGTGTCTGCGGCAGCAGGCGACCTGGCCGGGGCCGGCGGGGCGTCCTCTGCAGGGTGTGCATCGGTAAGTTCCAAGGGCGCCGCTGGGCTGGCAGCCTTTCAATTGTATGTCGTCGACATGGGGTTCCTGGAGTTTTGACGCCTACATGGCTAGACCTGTATTGAGAGGAGGTACCTGTGCCAGATACCTGTGAAGAGGGAGAACGTGCAATGTCATCCGTCCGTGGCTGCCCCCTTACACAGCTGTTATCCAAGCTGGCCTCATTGGACCGCGCAATCACAGACATCAACACGCAGCTCAGCGCAAAGGTACGTAGAAACGGCGCGAGCATTGCTTGGGGCAGCTTGTTTCCAGACTCCTGGGCAAGGACGACGTGGGTTGGACGTGGATTCCCTTGTCCAACCTCGCTGCCGGAAGCCCGCCCCTGACATTCGTGTCCCAAGATATCTTCTTTCTAGGCCGGCTCCCAGCCGTCTTTAATCCCTGCCTCCTTGCAAATCTGCGGCGGAACAGACTGAGGAGGCGCAGACGCGTGAACTGGAAAGGCGGATCGCTGCCATGGCACGCCAGCAAGACGTGACGAGCGAGGGGCTGCGCAGCCTTTCCTCCACGGCCTTCAAGCGCTCCGATGAGCACGCGTCCGCCATACAGAGACTGACGCTGGTAAGGACTACCTGTATGAACAAATATGCCTGCCGGCTTACAGCAAGGTCTGTGCGACACATTGGGGCACTTGTTGACCATGGCGTTGAATGCCGTGAAGTGTAACGCTGCGAACTGTTTTGCCGGTGTCCTGTGCAACAGGCGGTTAGCGGCAACCTGGAAGAGCGACCAACGTCTACGGCGGTGAAGCACATGATTGAGACTGCGGCGCTCGAGGTATGCACGTTCCCTGTTCCTCGCTGCATCGTTTGCTGCGCTAGGTATGGCCTGACAGGTAGTTCTGACTTCTAACTGCTGGTTTGCGCGCAGGTGCGCGAGCGCTGCGATAGCGCACTTGCGCCCCTGTGGGATGCGGTGCGCATCCTGCAGTCGGGGTTGCGGGACGCAGCTGGGGAGCTCAAGGCGTTGGGATCCAACCTGAGCAACCTGCAGCAAGCACAGGTGGGGGCCGGGATGCTGGATACTGCTAGGTGGTGACGCAACATGCGGCTGCCGACACATGCGAACATGCCCAATGCAAGCGGATGTGCAAGTTATTTGCCGTAGAAGGGCAGACTACTTGCATCGTTGCATGGCTGCTAGTTGCTTGTTGTGTCGGACGGTTTTTAATAAAACTTCGCGTTGCAGAACGACACGCGCAGCAAAGGAGCCTCGGACCGGGCATCGGTGATGGCTGCCCTACGCAAGGTGGGTTGCTGAGTCCACCTCATCCTGTAGCTTCTGTGCTGTACTGGCAGCCGGATACGCAATGAGCTTTAATACGGACGGAGGGCCCATTGTGCCATGTGTTCCTTGCTGTGTTCCTTGCTAGGCGTTGGACGAGGAGGTGGGCACGGTGCGCATGCAGCTGGAGGCACGCATGGAGGGCATGGAGAGCGGTGTACGGCAGGCGGCGGAGCAGCTCGAGGTCCACGCGCAGGTTGGGTGGGGGCTGACGACGTGCACGTCCGCGTGGAGCCGTGGAGTCTGTTGATTTTACAAGTTGTAGCCATAAGGCCCTGCTTATCACGGCGTTGCACATGATCTTGGCTATGGTGATACTGCAACACGTGTAGGGCCGCGAGGGGTTTGGATGCCAAGGAAAGTAGCTTGGGAGATGCATAGCATGCTATGCTAAGCGCCTGTCTTTACGAGGAATACGCACCCTTTCCTAATGCATGCAGCTTCAAGACCGGCTGACGCGCCTAACGGAAGCTGTGGAGGAGCAGCTAGCGACACAGGTGAGTTTAAGAACGGACTTGCCAAGACGCTGTTGTGTTTTGGCAACTTGGCATGTCGCATGCACGCTGGATGCCGCAAGGAAGGGCAGGTAACTAGGCATTTGCGTCGCGCGCAGCCATAGAAGGCCCATCTGGTTAAAAGCCGTGCGCTGTTGACCCCTCCTCCGCAGGTGGCTGCTTGGCGAGCCGGAAACCAGCAGCTGCGAAACGAGCTTGCAGGACGTGTGGAGTCGGCGACATCGGGCCTCTCGGTGCGCCTGGAGGCGGTGGAGGGCACATGCAAGCGGCATTCCGAGGAGCTGCAGGTGTGGACATGAGGGCTCGGGACCGAGAACTGCGAAAGCACACGCTTGCAAGGTCTCAACATGTCTATAGCGGTGTATGCTAAGCTTCTGCAACGGCTTGCTGGAACAGGTAGTGGCGGAGGCTTCGTCCTCGAAGCTCGGAGAGGCAGCCGTGCGGGACATCGTCAACGCCGTGTCACGCACGGTCGCCAAGCAAGAGGTCGGCAAGCTAAGCGAGAAGCACGAGGCAAAGTGGAAGGTACGTTCACGGGCTTGCATGGATGAGCCATCCAAACATTCTTTCTCCGGTCCATTGCTTACCGGGTAACATGCAACCCCTTGCGTACAACAGGAGTGGCTTGAGGAGCACGGCCAGACGCATGAGCACCTAGCCACGCACGACGACGTGGCGACGGTCGTCGACAGCACATCTCGGCAGGTCAAGCAGGAGCTCGACGGCGTCATCTCTACACGCACGGAGGAGGTTAGTAGCAATGGCCATGGACGTCCTACTGCTTGTGAGTTTCGTTGTTTCTGTCCGCTGGTTATGCCGCATGCTAGGGTTGATCCATGCGCTGATCCGGCAGCTTGTGTCCTGTTTTGCAGTTGCGGCGAACGTTTGCGTCGTTGCGTGGCGAGGTCGATGGCCGCACGCGTGCCACGACAAGCCGCATGGAGGTCCTAGAGCTTCGAGTACAGGTACGGCATTACCTAGGTCGCTCAGCAATAGGCCAATAGCACGTGTCGTGGATCATTGTGTCGACAGCGCTATCTTGTCATGGTCCAGGCAGGCAATAGGTGCGCTGGTTCTAGTTGGCAGCGGAGTAGTGTAGCTCCTGCTTCCAAACCAATTCCGATTATTATGCCCTGCTTCCAAACCAACTTCAATTATTATGCCGAACAAACCGTGGGCTTGCCTGCAGGACCTGGGGAGTGCGGTAGAGTCATGCGCCAGCAAAAAGGTAAGCCTGATCGGCCGTGACCACGCGCGACTGGGGCTCAGCCCTGGGGGTAGCCCTGGTATCCCCGACGCGGTGAAGAAATCTGCCAAGCATTTCGATCTTGGTTAGGCAAGCGGCCCGCAGGTGTGACGACCAAAAATAATGTGCCTTAACGCCTGACGATGACATTCCTGCCTCCAGGACGTCGAGGACCTGGCGGTGTCAGCCATGTCTCAGCGCGCAGAACGCGCGGGACTGGAGACCCGGGTACGGCAGCTGTCGGAGGAGGTGGAGGACCAGGCGTCCGCCCTCTCGGTCCTGCGTGGCGAAGCCGTGACACGAAGGTGCGCTGATAGCACAATTTGTGTCTGACACCTCGCACATCGGCGTGTTCAAGTAACGGTATCGTTGATAGGATGGGAAGTACACCTGACATGCTACCGGAAGACTGACTAACTTGAGCTCGCCGTATGTGTTGCCTGCAATGCTGGTGGAACCCTCCCAATTTCTCTCCATGTGCCGGCAGTGAACTTACGGCGGAGCTCGCAAGGAAGGTGGACCTGGCCACTTACCTGGCGCATGGCAGCGCAAGAGCCGCCGCTGCAAGTGCAAGTAGGTACCTGTCCTGTAGGGACTACGAACCCATGGCGCTGTGCCAGCCGTAGTGGGTGCCGCGTTGCTGCCCTTAATTTCGATGGAAATGCGAACTGGGTACAGAAGCGTGTGGCTTTCCGATTAAGCATCTTCCTTGGCTCGTTGCCTTTAACAGGTGTTCTGGTGGGATCAAGCGCATCGGGCCCTTCGCCACCGCGCCGGCCGCCCCAGGAACGTGTGTTTGATACGATGGCTCGTGCTGCCACGGGTACAGGCGCGGCAGCGGCTGCGCGTGCAGTGGAGCGGTTGCAACTAGGCAGCCTTGTATGATTAAGCTGCAGGATGGGCATAACTGGAGCTGCGCTGCTGCGACATCCCTACAAGTGAAGCCGCGCGAGGCGTCGACAGACGCCAACAGTCCGATGGAGTCGCCTCGTCATTTGCTCTGCGTGTCTTGTGCGTGAATTGGCATTTGATTCGTGATATATGTGCATAGATTGCGCGTCATACGCGTTAAAGCATAAAGGTTCATCCGATGTACGGATCTGGGTGATCCCAAATATGGGCCGATATTTCCTTCGGACACTGTCAGCAATCCTATAGTGGTCACAATGCTTGCTCAGCGCCCATCGTGCTGCAGTTACAGCCGCGCGGCAGCACCGGCTGGCCGTGCACAGCTAATTGTGCGTTGCTCTGGAAATGGCGCAGCTAGTGGCGCATTCCGTGAAGGGCAGCGGGTTAAGGTTACTTCACCTGTAAAGATTTACCATGCTGCTAAGCATCCCAGCGGGCTGGACCTCAACGGCATGGAGGGCACCCTTGTTAAAGACGTTTCCCAGTACAAGGGCAAGGTGCTGTCCGCTAACTTTCCCTACAAAGTTGAGTTTTATATCCAAACGGACGGCAAGCAGGCGAAGCTTCAAGCACACCTGGTGAGGATAGTAAGCTCAGATGGGAACAAAGGGCATAATCATGAGACCCATTCCCTAAGTAATCTATGCTGAATGGTTGCAGGGCGAGGACGAGCTGCAAGCACTCTAGATCGAGAGTGTTTGTCTTGGACTGCTACGTGAGGAGAGCTGAGCTTCCACGGACGTAATGTTCGCGCATTCACGTCCCTTGACCTGGATGTCGGCTAGATATTATGGTGGTTGTGGCGTAGAGCGCTGGCACGTCTTGGGTAGGACGAGTGATGTTGCGGGATGTTGTAGGACGTTCGCGTCTGCGTGTTTTATACACACTTCGTACTAGTTTTTGAGTGAAGGGGAGGGGGAGAGCTTATACATTCTTGAATAAGGAGCGGCTGATTGTAGGGAGTGAGCCGTCCCCAGAGGCAAGAGCCGTCCCCAGAGGGCCACTAAGTGAGAGGACAGGCGTCGTTTCCCTGCCTTCGATGATGTTACATGTACTACCTCATGTATATAAGGTATCAGTAGTTAGTAGTCAGGCATGGTTAGACACCTGCGGATGGTAACTGTCCCCATGCAATTCTTTGCAACGGATACGTCATAACACTTCTTCTTATCACGCCCTGTTTCCTTTATATCCACGTACATACAAAGCTTTTAAGCATACAACACACAACTTCAGCTTATAAACGGTATACTCACTGCAAGACTTCGCGCGTTTCTTTGGACGTTGCATAGCACTCCAGCAAACCAACAGCGCGAGTCACGTCAACCAGCTTTAACTCTGTCGGCCAAGGTGCTTCGCACTCTACGCGGGTCAAGCTGATTGAGCCTACTGGTGGGTCCTCACGTCTTCTTGCAATGCTCGTCTGTCCCTCTCCCGTAGGTTGTCTGTATTTTACTCGATAACTGTTGTTGTTTGTATGTTTACCTTGGGAGATGAATTTGTTTATGGGGCAACACGCGCTTCGGTAACGCCAAGCATGCTTAACTGCGACATGCGAGTTGCTCGGCGGTTTCGGTTCAGCTAGTGGGCAACAAACCTTATCAACCCTGAGCAAATATCATGTATGTCATGCCTTCAGAGCTTTGTACCCACACTGCCGTATGAAGGTTACTGCATTCCATGCACACATTTTCCCCAGCGCTGAATGGGCTTACCGAGTCTAACGCCAGGCGTCTATGTCTCCCGTGTCTGCCCCCTACTAGCAGGAAACCTAAAATTGGACGACTAGGTTAAGGGACCCGGACCTCGTGAGGCGTCAGTTAACCATGGCCTACGATACCGCGGATTCGGATTACTTAACTCGCCTTACCGTGAGGCGTCTGGCTGAGCTGAACGCCACTCGTGCCAGGGTGGGTTCTCAATAGCGGGTTGTTGGGCCATAATACTAGCCAGGGGCGGTGCACGGAGTGGTGGGGGCCTGTCTATATCCAGCCAACCAGGATGCCCACGTCCCAGCTACTTAGCGGTTTCCTCAACACTTGGCCCTGACATCACAGGTCGAAGCTCTGGAGGCACGAGCCACATTGGCGGAAGAGTATGAGCTGGAGCGCAGAAAGGTGGGGATGGCATTGGGAGGGCCTGAGCAAGCCGTTGTCGGTGCATGTACGTGTGTTTGTTGCCAGAGTCTCCCTCTCGCATCGTCGCATGGCATGCAGTGTCGCATTGCTGCCATATCACCTCCCTCTCCACATCGAATCAACCCATCCGTCCGGGAGATTAACGACTGCGAACCCCTTTCCTTTACTGCTACAGCTCGAGCTGCTGCAGCGACTTCAAGACAAGTATGCGGCGCTGAACTCCGTATTGGGTACGGATGCGGGCCTAGCCATCACAGAGCTGCGGGAGCACCTGCAGGTGAGAGCGGGGAAGCACCTGCCACTCCTTGCCACAAATAGTGAAAATGTCCCCTCAACGGCCTGCCGTGGTCAGCCCTCCGCTGTAAAGCTCCATGCAACTCCATGACTCACCCGCTGTACGACATCTTCGCAGGCTGTGTACGACGCGGACCTCCTGTCCGACACCCAGCTGCGAGCGCTGACCATGCTGCACGCGGTGACCTACACCACGCGCACGCTGGACCGCCTGAGCGAGCCAGGGAGATACGCTGTTGAGGTGGGTGGTTGTGCTCCTTGGGTACGGCATAGCTTACCGGTAGTAGGCGGACTGGTGTATCCAGTATGTGTTCTGGCTTGCATTACCGCATTCCGAATTTTCAGTTACAACAAACAGAGCACGTTCGGTAAAATGTTGCTCCCTTGTTACCATGCTTTCCACCTTTCCAGGGAAACAGCGGCGTGTTGGAGCTGGGCGCTTCCACGCTGGCCATGTTCTCCACGCGTGCGGGCGCGGCTGTCGCTTTCGCCGAGGCCTGTACGGCACCCGTGCTCATTAAGCTGCTGTCACCGCTGTACGCGCCCGTGGTGGTAGTGAATGTGGCCAATACCATTGGCAACCTGGCAGGTGGGTCGTAGCTCATTCGGAGGCCGCCGTTACCAGATGGCAAGCAGAGTTTCAGCTTCTTGCATGTGGGTCGGCACCCTAAGGTTGCCAAACGATTGCTGGCACAACCCCCTAACGCCGGTCGGCATCGTTGCCATGCAGAGGATCTGGACATGCGGCTGGCGCTGCGCACCGGCGGCGGCATTGGCGCGCTGGTGCGGCTGCTGCGTCCCGACTGCGAGGCCAGCGTGCAGGCGGCGGCTGCGGGCGCGCTGTCGCTGCTGGCGGCTCGGGACATCGTGGTGCAGGACAGCGTGCGCTACCTGGTGAGAGCGGCGGGTGTGCAGGGCTTGGGAGTTTAGGTTTGGAGCGTCCGGCGGGGGCTCGGACGTGCGAACAGTTGATGAGCCTTAGGGTGGTCTGAAACTGGCACAGGCAAAGCGCGAAGGACACGAGGAGCGTACCGGGGTATTCTCCAATACCAATACCAACCTACCTGCTCATCCTAACGCCTACCATGCCCGCCGTCCTTACTTTGCCCCAACCTTACCCCGATCCTCCCTGGCGCAGGGCGGTATCGACTTGCTGGTGGACCTGATGGTGACGGCGGACGCCTACACCGCTGAGGCGGCGCGCTACTGCCTGCTGAGCCTGCGCCGCGGCAACACCAAGAACCAGGCGGAGATCATTGCGGCTATCCGCGCCAACAGCAACGTGGTGCGGAACGTCAGGTGGGTGGGCGCCGCACGATGGGGAGCAAGGCGGGGGTCCATGTGAGGGTTTCCTGAGGCGGGGAGGATGAAGCTATGAGCAGGAGGCTTGCCGTGGCATTTGCGTTTCTTCACCAGGTGCCGTATGTTGTGCTTGCGTAGCCTTTGACACATTGCCTCCCAAGTACCTTCCTCTTACTCACCCGGCGTTGGCCGTCTTGCCCGTCCTCCCGCAGGCGTGTGGATCCGGAGCTGCTTCGTTTCGAGGAGGGCACGCCGCGCGTCAAGTCCAGCTACACGCCACCAACCTCCTACGCCACACCCACCAAGGCGGGAACGTCGCGCCCCACAACAGCTGACAGGTGCGTGGACCGGGGTGCATGAGCAGGAGCAACCTCGCGGTCTTTGCACCGGGCTCTCGGCTCCTTCTGCGTCGCTCGGGAACGCGGGTTATGCAAATACAGTGCACGCAGGTCCTCTTCCCTTTGTTACTGCTCGCGCTCCATTTAAACATGCTATGTCCCCCCACATCCCACACGCAGCTACCGGCGTCCGGTAGAAACCATTACCGACGCAATGGTTCGCTCCGTCTCGCCGAGTCGCCACCGGTCTCCTCTGGCGGCTGCGCTGGTTCGCTCCACCACGGATGCCCGTGGCTCACTGGACCGGGACTTTGCTGCAGCTGCGAGCCCCGTGCGCACCAGTCTGCGCGCAACCACAGTGGGGCCACGATACACGCCGCCGCCGTCATCGCCGCTGGAAATCGCGCACCCCGACGTTACCCTGGGACCCATGCCCGAGGTTGACAGCGACCTCCTGAAGCGCAAGCACCTGATTCGCTACACTGCCGAGGAGCTGGTAGCCCTTCTGCAGGTGGGGTTGGGCTCTGGGGATGTGTTGCGCTGCTGCCACATGCTGTCACCTCCGGCGCCCGCTTCCCTTCCCTGTGAGTAGCGCAATGTGTACTGTTCTACATGGCCTTCTGATCCCCTGGTTACCGTTCCGCTTTGGCCCCACAGGAGATGGGCTTTGATAAGCTGGACCTGCGCGCCTTCAAGGTCAACAACATTGCAGGTGAGGAACTGACGCTCCCCAGCAACGGCATCCTGTCCTGAGTACCTGCCAGCGTCCATAATGGCCGTACCAATGCGTAAAACCTACGTTATCCCCACCTGCTCCACATAAGGCTCATGCCTCTCCACCCGGCCTGCCGCCTGCAGGTGTCGACCTGTTGGACATGACGGAGGATGAGATGATCGTGCGGCTGCTGCTGCCCCGCCACAAGGTAGAGCCTCTTTGCGACGACCCCATTGAATGGCATAGAAGGCTACCGTATAGGCAAACCCTCCATCATTGCGTGGGCGACTAGGACGGGCTTCGGTTGCTGGCAGTTACAATGACTGAAATTAGTGCGGACATCTATACGTTGAAGGGCCTACAGACGGTCTGCAATGTGACTGACTGGTCTTGCATTCCTCTGCAGGTTCGCAAGCTGCGGGCCCTGCAGCGCGCCGTGGCGCTCTACGACCGCATCGCCACGCTGCCTCGCCAGGTGGGGGCGGCAGCGGCATTACGGGTCTCATTAGAAGCCCTGAGCATCCGCACCTGACTGTTTGCTGATTCATAGTTGGGCCTTGCTGTTGTTGGATATGCTGCCATTACACCGGTAATGCTCCGGGTCTGCGTCGCTAACCCCTCCTCGTCTCTTGCTTCCCTTCCCAGGGCCGGTTGAGCGAGGTGGAGCTGCGGCTGTTCCTGTCCAGCCAGGGCTGCGGCAGCAGCGAGGTGGACAAGATCGTGCGGCTCTTCCGCAGCCTGGTGCGCACTGACAAGCTGGACTTCGTCACCTTTTGGGACTTTGTGACCGCGTACGACTGGATTGCCCAGGCTTTCCGCATCTACAACATCCCCGTTTAAGCCCCGTGAGACGGCATGCGCGAGTCAGCGCCTGACGGGATGGCGTTGCGTTGTCGTACTGGCTGGGATAGGGCACGCAGACCCACGGGTCACAAGGACTGCGTTAGCCAGCTTGATAAGTCCTTATTACTGGGCGGCTGTCAGCACACAAGATGATGAGAGTCACCAGCTTTTTTCTGCGTCAATAATTGTAACCACGGCAACGTGTTGTAGTCCTCCTGGGTTTGTATAACGAGAAACCGAAACTTGGAGTTTCGGTCCACCTTTTGCATCGGAATGGGCCTTTAGTGCATCTTCATGTTTCATTTCAGCGTGTCTTTATGCGTGCCGAGTAAAATGGATTTCTGAGTATTGTTATGCCAAAGTGCCACAACAGGGCCTCCTTCTGTTTGGCACCGTGACTAACTCGAAACGTGACTATCTTGTACTAACGCATCTGGCTGTCGTGCGCGGTAGCGGTGTGATTGGCTGCCAGTTCTGGGGTAAAGGCTACGGGCTTAATGTACATAAGTGATGTGACTGCTTGGCTTTGTGTATGATTGCGGCGCTGTGCGTAACGATCCTTTACACGACAATGATATTACCTGGACTTCTCTCCTCCTGGCGTGCTGGTGTTAACAGCGCTCCTACTAGTACTGCAAGGCTGTGGTATGGCACGAAGGCGTGTCCCGGGGAGGTTTCCTCGTGATCTGGGGTTTTACGTGTGCGATGCGCAGCTCAAACGTGAGCAAGACGGGGTTTGTGCGAAAGTGCTAAGCGGGTGTATTATTTTGGTTAGTGGCTTCTTTTGGTGCCATGGGCACAAGTACCCGCAAGATGGGGGTGTATTACCCCCAATGCTTGGGAAGGTACAAATCGCTTCCTGTAACGACCTTCTCGATGCTTTCCATGTGCACGCTCAAAACCGGTATACGATGACCAGTGACAGGTGAATGGTTACAACATAGTGTACAACAGATAAAACCCAGATGCGGCATGTCTTTATATATTCCGCCATGCAGCTCGTGGGGCACAAGAAGCTGGGCGGCGACACACAAGCCCCCCTGGACATGCATTAGTCATCCAACTGTTTACTACAGCCCGCATCCTCACTACATGCGCACAAAGGACAAGGTGCGCAAACATGGTACAGAGATGCTAGGACAATTTTAGTAGTGGGAAACCCCCCCCCCATGCATCCAAAGGTCTTCAACGGCAAAGCACTGTCACGCTTGCCGGCATGCCCCGCCTAGGACGTCAGCACGTATCAAAATTTGCGTTTGCGGCTCGCAGTGTGCCAGCGCGAGCACACACGACAACAACCACGCTGTCTCGAAATGCAATGCTAAAACATGACATAAAATACACGTGCCGACCCCGCGGCTGCTGCTATTAGCACATGTATGTATGTTCGCACCGAACGCTTCGGGCGGCTCTGTGACACTATCTAGCAACTTTGTCTGGCTGGCAACTCAACCCCCTGAGCTTCTCTTTAACATGGCATTTTAATGACACAGACCTCTTCAAGCTTGAGCAATCGTCACGCAAACCACACCCTGCAATGAAAGCTTCCTGCGAACAACCCCAAAGCTCCACTCATTAGGTGCCCCACTCCCTCACAACACCCGTCCATGCGCCGGCGGAAGAGACTAACACCCACAAATTCGCAGGCACCCCAGCAACTCTTCGCCCTCACTTCCTATCCAACCCCCCATCGGAGTCCTGCAGATCCTCATTTCCCACAGCCACATCTCACACCAACCCACCCTCACGTGCGACGCTGCTCCGACGGCGCGTTGTTGGCCGCCAAGCGGCGGAACTCGTCTCGCAGCCTCGCCGCCTCCTCGTATCGCCCGTCGCTGAGCGCCGACTCCATGGCCACCACCAGGCGCAACATCTGGTTGTGCGTCATCTCGTAGAAGATGCGCTGCTGCAGCTCCGCAGCGTCCCGGAAGCGCTCCTCCTTCACCGCCAGGTCCTTCTGAAGGGTGTACATGACTGGGCGGCAGGGGGAGGGAGGGCGGGAGCAACCAGGGGATCCAGCGTGGCTGCCAGACAGGTGGGTGAGGCGTGAGCACTCGCATGAGTTGTGTGCATGCAGGCCTTGGTGCGTGGTTTGGTAGCCGTGGTGGCGCTCCATGGCCCATGGGTCAGTCAGCAATCCTAAAGGTCCACCGCATCCTGGTTGTCCTTTTACTACTGGCACCCATCGTCCGCACGTCCTCCGCCTCACCCGTGGGGTCCTCAAAGTTCGCTAGCGTCTCGCGCACCGAGCGCACGATGTCACCAGAGGACTCGCTGCTAGGCTGGTCCGGGCACACAACGCCGGCCGTGTCAGCGATGTGTCGGGAGACGTACATGGGGGAGCCGAAGCGCACCGCCAGATTGATGGCGTCGCTGGGGCGCGCGTCCACGTCCACCTCGCTGCCCGGCTCAACCTTCCCTGTGACGTCGTCGACTTGAGCCATGTGGATGCGCGCGTAGTAGGTGTTGGAGACGATGTCGGTGATGCGGATCTTGATAACACGGTACTTGATCTCCCTGGGGTCAAGGTGAAAGGTCGCAGGGCGGAGGTGTAACTGTTGGAGGTAGGGTTAAGTAGGAAGCATGGAGGTCCAGGGGTGATGGGAGAGTGGGTCCTACGAAGGTAGGGCGAGGGGGATGATAAGGTAGGCAGGCCTAAAGGTGCACTTGCAACGCTCAGGCAAACATTCCTAGGGCTGGGTTAGGTGTTGGAAGCTGAACTGCGCTGCATTGTACCATGCGTGCGCGCCCTTGTAACCGGCAATGTGCAACATCCCGCCCATACCGTGCAATTAGGCCGTCCAGGGTGACCAGCAAGCCTACCTGAGGAGGTTTTTCATGAGGTCGTGCGTCAAAGGTCGCAGCTGTCGCTGCCTGTTGATCTCCTTCAACAGTGCGTTGCTCTCATTCTCACCTGCAATACAGGTGCCCGTGTGGTCAGGGTGCCTAACTCAGGCAACGTGACGCCCATGCCAACCCTTCCCCCCTAAGGACTGGGGCATGGTCTTTGACACCCTGATAGCAGCGCCACGGAAACGGCGACGACATCCTTCTCACCAATGTGTACAGGGAGGCAGCGCTCGCGGCCATCCAGGATGCGTAGGTATACCACCGCCGCCTGCCAAAATGGATACCACTGATCAATAGCAACGTGCAATAAACAATCAGTTTTGGGCAAGGCATCAGCAGCTAACGTGCCGGTGCAAAGAACCGTTCCATTGACACGTACACATACTCACGTTAGTCGTGTTCATCCGGACGGACTCCACCTGCAGACAATGAATGTGAGAACTCAAGTAGGATGCCGTAATCTGGGGCCGCCAAGGATGCGTAGGCCCGTGCAGAAGTTCAGAAGCCTTACTTTCACTTCAACGTAGCCGTCCGGAACGTCCTTGGAGGAGCCAAGACTGCCTTGATCGTAAGCTTGGCAAATTACTCGTCCATAGCGACTACTGCATCCAGTTCCGGGCCTAGGACTTGCCCCTAGATGTGCCTGAGTCGTCGTCAACGCCCGTGCTCCGCTTCGGGACCTGGACCGATGCCCTAGTACAGAGTGCACAGGACTATGTGCTCCCCGAAAGGTGCAGCCAGCTGAAAGCGGCTTGTTGAGGCGCTGAGCCATAGCAAAGGCGAGAAGTTGGGCTACAAGGGCTTTTTCCCTACAAGTCTCGGAATACCGATTTAGCCAGCGACAAAAGATGCTGTTTCTCTGTCCAAATATTGTTCTTTTGAAAAAATCTGACGGCAAAAAGCAACACCTTCAACCGCAATGGCTCAACTCTCTGAGGAAGTCACGGTGCCCTCTGGTAGGTAGTTAAGGCGATTTGCAAGCTATGGAAGTACAGTGCGATACGTTCCATCTGGGCTATGTTCTGCAGATGCTATGATACTTACTGTACGGGCTCTCGTACAACACCTCTTGAAAAGTTAAATTCCCCCTATTGGCTCACAACTCCATCTTGTTAAGATCAGCGTCTCTCTCCCTTAGACGTCGACCGTCGCAGCAGCGCAACGTGCTGCCTTTACCTTTGTGCGACAGCCGGCTTAAGGGGCTGAGGAACCATGAGCGCTGCTCAGATTCAGATAATCCTTTCAAATGTGGATAGCTTCAGTGGGCTCATCGGCCAGACGCTTTCAGCGGACAACGCAACCCGTCGCAACGCCGAGGACCTGTACGCGCAGCTTAAGCGGCAGCGCCCCGATGCTTGTGCCACAATCTTGCTCCAGTTGATGCGCACAACGGGTGATGCTCGTGTGCGCGCAACGTGCGCTGTGTTCTTGCGAAAGGTGCGACAGTTGTTTTGGCGGGACCAACTGCTGGGTTGCTGTCCTCCCTACTAAACCCAAGATTGCAGTTAACTATATCTTTACAGTTATTTTTGGTTAAAACTTGTGGTATAGATTTGCTAGCGCACGATGCGACTACGCGGTCTAAGCCGTTTGACATGTCTCCTCGCAGTTCTTCAAGCCTGGACACAAGGAGGCTGGCTGGGATCAGCTCAACGGCAGCACCAAGGTAACCAGACTCTTGAAACCGTCTGCACGCTTCCCCATAACATCGGCCCAACGGCCGAAGATCCGCCCGTGTGCAACTACTCTAACCGCTAAGCCCGCCTCCATCTGCCACCGAGTACATGACACACATGATGGGTTTCACTTGATGTTATTTCCTGATTAGCTTGCTTCTCTCTTACCTTATTCTTGTTTCTCCTCTCGCAGGCTCTTGCGAAGCGCGAGCTGTTGGCCGCACTAGATGCCGAGGTCGACCGCACCACCGCAAAGCAGATTGCGGACGCCATCGTAGAGCTTGGGCAGCAGATCCTGGCCGGCAAGAAGGCGCAGTCCGTTTGGTCCGAGTTGTTGACCTCCCTGCAGCAGTGGCTGCAGGGCGGTTCGTCTGCCGTGGCGCGTGAGGCGGCACTGCAGGTAAGCATGCGGGACTGCCTGCGCCCCCGAGTAGGCATAACACGTGTGCATGCTACGCAAGGGCCACCTCATGTGTCCTTTTTTACTCCAGCAGCTCACATCGGCCGTCCACATGCCTTTCAGGTGGCTGCAGGCCTGGCTCTCCACCTGCGGTCCTTCTCCGGCCAGCTGGCGCCGGTGGTGACGGGCTGCCTGGGGCCGCAGAATGACCCGGCTGTGCAGCTCGCGGCGCTGCAGGCCGTTACGTCGTATCTTGAGGTAAGACAGGGTGCGGACGCATTTACACCAACTGTTGTTCAGGCTTGAGGCTTTAGCTTTGGCTACCGGTCACCAGTCAAGGGTCGCGCACTTGCTAGGTCGCTATTCTGTATCCTTTCCAACACCTTTCTCACCACCTTTCATCACCTTTGTTGGCGTCACAGGTGCTGCGCAAGCCCGTTGAGCTGCGGCCCTACCAGGCGGCGTTGGCCGGCGGGCTGACGGCGCTCCAGGGTATGCTCGCCGCGGGCCACATGGATGCAGCTGAGAAGACACTTGTCGCACTTATCCGGGTAAGCACCAACGCTCTAGACCGTACTTACATACTTTGGCCGCCAATCATGATCGACTATGCACGGACTAGCAACCAGCTTCATTCTCAGGTCTCAGCCCTGTCTGGCCTGACGATCCCCTACTTCCTTCCCTATCCTCTCGTTTCGTGTGCTCCAGACCGCCGAGTGCGAGCCGGGCATGTGGCAGCCGCATGTGCGCACCGCCGTACCCGGCATGCTGGCGCTGGCTGGCCCCGCCCCCGGCAGCTCGGCCCCTGCTCTGCCGGAGGGCCTTCGCAAGCTAGCGGCGGAGTTTGTTATGACGCTAACCGACATCAAGCCCCAGATGATGCAGGTAGCGATGCAGGGCTGCGCACAAAACGCTTCACCGTCTAGTCATGTATGGAGGCGTAGAGGGGATTCGCCTTGTTTGCCTGCACCTGCTGTTTGCTGCTGAGTATCGCATGGCAATCCTGACTTTTGCCGTTGGGCTTGCAGGGCGAGCTGGGCGCGGGTCCTCTGGCGGCGCAGTTGGTTGCCTGCTTTGCACGGTTCCTGGTCTCCGGTGTGGAGGACGACGAGAGCTGGGGCAGCGACCCCATGGCCTCACCCGACATGCCCGAGGATGAGACGATGGGTAAGACTGGGTGACGGACCAACTGGTTTTGAACTTCTCGCCAGTATAGGCGCATGCCCAATTGACGAAACGCACGGCGCTAAGCTAACGACCGAGCCTACTGCTCGCATGTAAGCATGCATGCTGACGTCCTGACCCTGCGCCGTGTTGTGACCCGGCGTGTGCTTCAGGCGACCTGCACCAGCATGGCCTGGAGTGCGCCACCCGTGCCGCCGACGCCCTGGACTCTGCGGCCGTGCTTCGCGCCGTGGTGGACATGACCACTGCCTGGGCGCGTGACGGCAGCGACTGGCGCCGGCGCCACGCGGTGCTGCTGTGCCTGTCGCAAGTGATCGGCTCGTGCAAGGAGGTAAGTCGACGTTTGGCTGCGGCTCTAGGTGGGGTGGGAATGGGATTATCGATGCGGGCATGGGCACATGGCTGGCCCCATTGAGATGCAAGTGTATAGTTTTCAAGTATCTTGAAACGGATTACACGTATTGGTTTAGTACGCAGCTGCTGCTAATTGGTTCTTTCACGATGTCATGACCCAGTCTTTGATGCCCTGTCTGCATGCCTCACCCCCACAGGTTGTGGGTGAGGGCGAGCTGGCCTCCCTGGCAGCGCTGCTGGCGGACTCTCTGCGCGACCCGCACCCCCGCGTGCGCTGGGCCGCCTGCCACGCTGTCGGCGTGCTGTCGGACGAGCTGGGTCCCGGTCTGCAGCTGCAGTCGGGTGGTGGCGGCTCGGCGCTGCTGCGGGGCCTGGCTGAGCTGCTTGTGCAGCCGGAGAGCCCCGTGTGCCCGCAGAGGGTCAAGGTACGGCGCCTTCTTGCCATGCATGCATGGCTGCTTGACCATGTACTTCAACCATGTGCAGAATGAAGGATGCGCGTCCATGCTGTTGGTACGACGTGTTAGTTGTCTAGGGAGGTTGACGTTTGCCGTCCGGATGCCCTGTTTGTCTAAACCATGCAGGCTCAGGCGTGCCGGGCGCTTGTGGGTTTCCTGGAGGGCCTTGAGAAGGACGAGGCGGAGGAGGCCGTGGAGGGCGGCAAGGAGGCGCTCGGGCAGCGGGTGCGGGAGCTGCTGTGCCCCTTCCTGGAGCCGCTGTCGGGGCCGCTGCTGGCGGCGGTGCAGCGGTGCGCCGCGGGAGAGGGCGGCGCGGTGGCGGGCGGCAGCGCCTTGGTGCCCACCCCGCTGCAGGAGTTCAGCCTGGACGTCCTGACGCACCTCGCCGTGTGCCTGGGGGTGAGAATCAGACCCGCCAACATGTCTCGCGCTGCTACTTTTAATCGTCTAGAAGCTTTTGTATGACCGCCTTTATTCCTGAGCAAACTGTACCCTCTCCTCATCCCACTGACAATCACGCCCTCCGCTCATCTTGTCCCCCCCCACTCGCAGAAGTCCTTCGCGCCCATCTTCCCAGCGGCCATGCCGCACGTCCTCGCCGTTCTAGGCCGCGCAGCGCCCTTCCACGCCGCCTCCGCCACCGCCTCTGGTTCCGTCACGGAGGAGGAGGCCTCGGCCATTGTCCGTGTCCAAGTGGGTGCGCTGGAGTGCGCCGCCTTCATGTGCCGCGCCGTGGGGCCCGGCCCCGTGGCCGAGCACGTGCCCGCCCTGGCCGCGCTTCTAGGACTGCTCGCGCGTCCTGACCTGGAGCCCGCCAGCCCGCTGCTGGTGCCGCTGCTGGGCGCGGTGGAGCCGCTGGTTGCCTGTTTGGGCGCTGAGATGCGGCACCTGTTGGGGCCCGTGCTGCCGCTGTTGGTGCAGTGGGCGTCCAAGGATGTGGGCTTGCAGGTGGGGAGCAGAGCGCGGGTTCTGCTATGATGCTTGTCGATTGGGTTGCGGCTGCTGACTCTTGTTTCTTTTTCTGTGCAGAATGCCGATGTGGATGATGAGGACGCGGCGGAGGATAGCGAAGGTAAGTGCGGCTGCTGGGGAGATGGAAACGCAGGGACAGCAGTGGATGCAGTAAAATAGCTGCTTGCTGCATCCACTTATTAGACAAGGCGAGTTACAACTTGCAAACTTCCTTCCGACATCCTCAGGCGCCGATGGCTCCGACGCCAAGGACAGCGACAGCGACGCCGACTCTGACGACCGCGACGACTCGGACGTGGCCTACCTGTCGTACGACGGATGCTCGTACCGCTGCTCGTCCAGCATCCTCGCCGCCAAGGCCGCCGCCGTCAGTGCCCTGGAGGAGCTGGCTGACAAGATGGGCCCCGCACTGGCTCCGCAGGCGCCCCTGGTGGCTGAGGCGCTGGTGCCGCGACTGCTGGAGTACCCCCTGGATGAGGTGAGGCGGGCGCGGTGCGGTCTGCGGCGTAGTGCAGGGCTGTTAACCTGTTATGCTTTAGTTGATAAAGAAAGGGGAGCTACAATCAGCCAGAGAACATGCCGTCGGATAGTGTTGTTTTCCTCTTTTGTATCCGCTTCTTTGCTTTTACCAGCCGGAGTACCGGTACCCGACACCCCTGAGCCCACCGGCCCTGGCACGCCATGCAGGTGCACCTCATTGCTCGGCGCTCCCTGCCCGTACTGCTGCGGAACTACCTGGCCGCCCTCACCTCGGGCGTCCTGCCGCCCTCGGACCCGGCCGCCAGCCCCGCCACCGCGCAGGCAGTGCTGCACCGCATCTGGCAGGCGCTCACGGCCGCCATCAACCCCGAGTCAGTGGAGGCGCCCCTGCCGCTGCAGCCCCCTAGCGGCACTCGCCGCCCTGCGCCCACGTCATCCACCCGTGCCGACATGGTGGAGGTGAGCACCCCCGGGGTGGGAGTGCATGGGTGTGCATGCGTAGTGATGCGCCTTTCGCTTTTGAGCTTAATGAAGATGCTGTACGGTACGCGCTTGCATGTCAGCCTTCCCGCTAAGAAACATGAAGAGGAAGTAAGTCAACACCCTTTCTGCTGCTTGCTGTTTTGCCCCCCAGGTTCTGACCCGCGTGGTGGACTGCGTGGAGGGTTCCATGCTGCAGCAGTCCTGGGTGGCGGAGGCCTTTGGGGCGCTGCAGGTGGGTCAAACACCATACCGAACCATAGGAAATCACAGCTTGGGGCAAGACAATGGGGATAGGGGCGGCTGAAAGGGACATGCACTGGGTGCAAGGGGGGTGGGGCATAACACCTGTTGTCGTGCCCATGGACATGCGCCCTGACAATCCCGATCTTGCTATTGTTCCTTGTGTGCAGGCGGCCCTGGCGGCTGTGCAGGCGGAGGCGCAGGCGGACGGCACCTCTGACAGCGACGAGGAGGAGGACAAGAGCATGGAGGTAGGGCCTGCCTCTTGATGACGGCATGTGGACTGCTGCACGGTCGCCATGCACGCGACTCTTGCGCCGCTGTGTGACCGCATACTTCAGGTGCCTTCGTTTGCCCTTCCTGATCTCAACTTTCCCCGTTTCTCCTTCTTGCCAACCGCGCAGGGCGACGGCAGTGTCGATCTGGAGGCGGAGGGCTCGGGCGCAGACGACGAGGACGACGAGGAGGAGGAGGAAGATGACTCGGAGGAGGCGGAGGAGAGTCCCGAGGCGGCTCGCGAGCGGCTGCGGGCCCAGGTGGAGGCCTGCGTGGCGGCCTTTACGCGCAAGTACGGAGACGCGGTGGCGGCCATGGCGCAACAGGTGCTGGCGGCGCAGCGGCCCGAGCAGCAGCGGGAGGCGGTGGTGGCGGTGCGCAACGGAATGGTCGCGTAATGGGTGCGAGGCGTGGTTGGGGGATTTGGGGGTAAGTGCGGCGATACCGGTAGATCGCGTTCGGAGGTGTGGTGGAGTTGGTATGGAGTATTGTCTCGCTGGAGGGGCACTGTCGCAGGCTTGCAGGAGGGGCTGTGCTTGGCTGTAGGTTTTGCTGGGGGGCTTTGCCGCAGAGACTTTTGCTCGCAGTGTATTCGTGATGTAGATAGAAGTGTTCAGCTTTACTTACGGTGCGATCTATCAGGCGGTAGGCAGTAGAATCCAAATGACGCTTTGGCGATTAGCCAGTGATCGTAGTGAAAGGGTAAGAACAATCCTTTGAGCACAGCATTTTGAAGTGTGTGGCTACTTACGTCGGTCCTCACCAACGTTAGGTACTCGACTAACAGACTGACTGACAGAGTAACAACAACGGGACCTCCCACGGTCCGGAGCTGTTCACATGAAACACCTCTCCATTTCTAAATCCCCATCGAGAGCGCCTGCAAGCCCATCACATGGCATGTTCCTGCGCGTGTCGTTGTATCCCCTCGCCGACTCGCCTCTTAACCTTCCCGGCTAACGGTGAGTACTTTAGGAAAGCCGCAATCCCCGCCATGCCTTTCCACCGCTGCCCTAAAACTCTGATGCATTAAACCTGCCTCAACACAGTCCATAAATAAAGAATTGAGACGTTTGACAGGAATTGCCTCCTGTTACCGGTATTAACTTGACCAGCAACGAACCAGCACACCCTGCTCAAAATTACAGCCCTTGTCCACGGCTGTTCATCCCCCTCCCTCCCAGGCCCACACCCATCACCAGAATTACATCCCGCACCCCGTCAGCCTACCCTGCCACCGCTGGCTCCACCATTACTCCACATCGGTCCCCACCCTCCTGCTCCCCACCAATACCCCACTCCTCAATCGAACCTCCTCATCTCCCCTCCCTCCACCCGCACCACCGCCCCCGACCCCATCACCGCGTCGTACTCCTCCCTCCCGGGCGCTGTCGGCAGCACTTCCCCAGCCTCCCGCAACACAAGCCGCTGCAGCAGCGAAGCAAGTGCCTCATCTCCCTCCCCTCCACCTCCCCCACCACCTCCCCCGTTCCGTCCTCCAATCCGCCTGCCAAACTCGTCCCTGCCCTGCCCCTCCCCATCCTCTCCCTCCTCCCCGTCATCGTCTCCTAGAATGTCCTCGGGCCCAGGGATGGCCTCCAGCCTCTCCGTCACGGAGGCGGGCAGCGGCTGCCCGATGATGGCGTGCGCGGGGTGCAGGTAGCGCAGCAGAGCGCGCCAGTAGCGGTCGTGAGACAGGATCTGAAGGAGGGAGCCAGGGAGGGAGGTGAAGGGTCGTGAGGGCTCGTGAGACAGAAAGCCACTTCTTATGGTGACTAGGGGAGCAGGTTGAGCTGCATGGGTTTGGGTTAGGAGCACGCCCGCTCCTTTCCTTCCATCCTTCCCTCCTTTCTCAACCACCCACTCCACCCTCCCTCCCTGTCCCTACCTACCCCCCTCACATACAACCAGCCCCTCCCCCCCTCTCTCCCCCCCTCACCTGCGCGTTGCCCACCACAATCACCAGCGCCTTTGCCCGCGTGATGGCCACGTTGAAGCGCTTGGGGTTGGCCAGGAAGCCCAGCCGGTGCCGCGAGTCGAACTCCAGGTACTCGTCGCTCGAGCTGGAGGGAGGGGGAGGGGGGAAAGGGGAGGAAGGGCACAAATACACATGGTGAGGGATCACCTATACAGCTCTCACAGAACCCGCCAGCGGTCCACTCCCACTCTCCCCCTTCCGCAACACGACACGCGCAAGTAAGGGTACCCCAGCTGAGGTTACCGGCCGTTTCCCCTGAATCCGCCTGCCTTAACCGTCTCCCCGTCCTCCCCTCCCCTCCCCGCCCCCGCCCCCGCCCCCCCCCTGCCTCACCGCACTGTGGATATGATGATGATGCGGCGCTCCTGCCCCTGGAACTCCTCCACACTGCCCACCTTGATGTAGTGCGCCAGCTCCTTGAGCAGCGCGCGGATGCGCTGAACCTGTGTGTGTGTGTGTATGGGGGCGGGGTGAGGGGTGAGGGGGAATGGTGGGGGAGGTGGTTGGGGGTGAGGAGTTGGAGGATGGGGTCTAATGCGCTAGCAGACTACATTACGGGTATCTCTGCCCAACCTCAGACCCGCATCTGCCCAACCTCAGACCCGCATCTGCCCTACCTCAGACCCGCATCTGCCCTACCTCGGACCCGCATCTGCCCTACCTCGGACCCGCATCTGACCCGCATCTGACCCGCATCTCCTCCCCCTTACACCCCGCCTGCCGCACCTGCTTCTTGTAGGGCGATATGATGCCGATGTCCCGCCCTTCCACCTTCCTGCCGCCCCGCATGCCCAGCAGCGCCCGGACGTACTCCACCACCTGGGGGGGGGAGGGGGGAGGGGGGGGGCGAAGGAGGAGAGGGGTGGGCGGGAAGAGGAGGGGTGGGCGGGAAGAGGGGGGGGGGGCGGGAGGAGGAGGGGGATAAGCGGGGAGGGATGGGGCAGCGTGGTCACGGCGCGACAGGGTGGTTACGGCACGGTGCATAAGGGTTAACGGGACTTCAACCCCGCAGCGGGCACCCGCCCCCCCCCCACCTGCCGCGCCTCTAGCAGGTTCTGCCAGGAGGGGCTGTTGGCCTCCTGCTCGTCCTTGCCAACCAGGTGGTGCATCAGCAGGGGGACCCTGGGGGCGGGCGGGGAGGGAGGGAGAGGGAGGCGGGAAGAGTACCGCAACAAGCAGACCAAGAGTAAGCTGGATACCAGTAATTTACCACAGAGAGCCCCTGACCCCGAGCCTGAAGGCGGTAGACCGTGTTTGTTACTGGCTCAGCTGCTTGGACACCTCCATCCGCACCCGCACGTAAACATTTCCTCCTTCCGACAGTCCGGTGCCTTGCTCCTCACTGCGGTCAGTGCTCTAAACACCGTGCACCCACCCGCACTCGCACCCGCACTCGCAGTCTCGCACCTGTCGTTAGGCAGCCCCTCCCACAGCAGCATGGAGTTCACCTCCATCATGGGTGCAGCCGTGCGCAGCTCATCTCGGTAGAATGCGGCGTTGGGAACGCGCAGGATGGCGGGGTGGGAGCGGTAGTTGTTGAGCAGCTTGGTCATGTAGGGCGAGCGGAAGGAGGGGGGCTGGGGGTGGGGAGGGGAGGGAGGGTGGGAGCAGCGGAGGGTAAGGGTAGGAAGGGAAGGGGCCAGGGGGGTCTCAGCAGGGGAGGCAGGGGAGGCGATAAGAGGCAATCATCTGGGTGGCATGGGAAGCAAAAGGGAGTGAAAGCTAGAGCCACAGGGAGGCCTCAGGCAAGCTGCTCCATCCGCCCCACCCAGGGGGAAGGAGGTCCTTGGAGGTCCATGCTTGAACTCCCATACGCCAGATGTGGCTGCCGTAACGACCGGGTGTATCCGGCGCCATCGATAATTGCATCCTCGCACCCCCTCCCCTCCTCTCCCCGCACCTCCCCTCCCCGGCCGCACCTGCAGCCCCACCCCCCGGCTGCTGCCGCTGCTGCCCCCGGCCACCGCCCCCTCGTACGCCTCCCCACCCCGCAGCAGCAGCCGCTCCATGAGGCTGACGTCCAGGCCGCCGAACAGGCGCGCGGGCTGCGACAGGATGATGGGACCCAGCTGCTTGGGGTCGCCTGGGGGGAGGGGAGGGGGGGAGAGGGGAAAAAAGAAATTCCAAAGTGTGGTGTGATAATGATACAAGTTGCTGACAATCCCTGGTGGAATCAACCGGGGGAGAGGGGAGGGGGGTTACCGGGCTGTAAACAGGATTGGCAGGGGGTTGGCAGGGAGGGACATGGGGTATCAGATACAATGCGGAACGTAATGGCGAACAGGAAAGGCCGCGTGGTGGAATAGAGTAAAAGCCAGCCGCCCAGCATGTACGAAACATAGTTTACGTTTACCTCCCCCCCGCGCCCAACCTCTCACCCGCCAGCACCACCCGCGTGTCCCGCCCCGCCAGCCCCGCCAGCGCGCACAGCTGCAGCGGCTCCTCCGCGTGCCCCGCCTCGTCCACCAGGATGTGGGAGAAGCGGCCGGGGGGGAGACCCGCGTGGTGCAGCTGGGGGGGGGAGGGAGGGAGGTGGGGAGGGGGGTTACCGGTAATGGCTGGTACGAGGTGGTTAGTCCTCTCCGGGCCCCCTACACCCCCTATTCCCCTTCTCCTCCTGTTGCTTCGACGAAGCGTTGCCAACACCCCAACGCGCAGAATGCAGCTAACCTCACTGCACAGAAAACATCCCACCATTTTCCACACCAAGCCCAATCACCCTTCAAACCCCTCCTCCCCCCAACCCGCCAGCCCCCCAACCCACTCACCCTCGCCGCCATGGCGCACGTCGCCACCACCACTCGCAGCCCGGGCGCCGACAGCACGCCAACGGGGGGCACCAGGAACGCCTTTTCCCTCTCATCCCAGTTCACCGTTCGTCCCGCTGCCCAGGGCTTCATGCCCTCGCTGGTAGCCTTGCGCTGCAGGTCGAGGGGGAGGTCCTCCAGGGGGCGGCTGAAGGCCACCAGGCGCATGATCTGGCCGGTGTTGAGCTGCGCGATCGCGGAGATGTCCTCCATGAGCTTGTCGGCGGCGGAGTTGGAGGGCGCCACGGCGAGCAGACGGTGGGCGGGGTTGGTGCGCAGGAGCTGGTGGGGTGGGTGGGTTTGGCGGTGGGGAAGGGGAGAGCAGGGGGAACAGGATGGGGAAGGGTGGGGAGGGGGGTAGTCGGGCGGGAGAGCACGGATGTGTTTGTGTATCCGGGCCCTTAGCCTGTGCCTCTGAAACTACCGTAGCTCCCTGCCCACATCCCCATGTCCTGTTCTACACCCACCGCCCCCCCCACTCATTTGTGTGTTCACCCCTCCTCGCACCCACCTGCAAGGCAGCCTCCACCAGCGTGGTGGTTTTGCCTGGCGGGGTTCAGAGAGATACCAAAAAACCACAGGTTAGGGCAGGGGAGGAGGAGGGGCCCCAGGGCCGGGTATGACAAAGCGGGTATGAGAATTGCTGACGGGGATGTGCCGTACGCGCGAACGGGCTGAATGCAAAACACATGCGAGGGGACAACCAAGGCATTGACACATGCGCGCCGGCTTGCTTGACCAACCCCTTCGAAAGGGCGAAACGTTGTTCCCGGAGAACCCCTCTCCATCCCTCTTCCCTACTTCGTTTGCTATCGGAGGAGGTTTTCCCGTTCGTCACACAACAGCCCTGGTCTCATTGAGAACCCCCTCGTTCCCCTCTCGTCCCCCTCCTCTTACCCGTTCCCGGCGGCCCGAAAATGAGGTACGGCAGCGGGTGATGCGCCCCCCTCACCACCTCCCGCACCGCCAACTTCTGCTCATCATTCAAAGCCTTCAGCGCGACACGCGGCGACCACTGCAGCGGCCCGGCCGACCCACCGACCCGTGGGTCACCCCGGGGCGGCTCCTGCAGCGGCAGCGGCGCGGGCGGCGGCCGCGGCAGGGGGGCTACAGGGGTGCCGGGGAGGACGAGGTGGGGCGGCAGCAGGCCGGGGGACTCGGCTCGCAGCAGTGCGTTCTGGGGCATGGAGGGGGATGATGATGAGGGCGGGGATGAGAAGGAGGTGTGAAAATTGGAATGAATAAATAAGCAACTGGAGATCCCGACTCATGAAGCGAGCGCAAACGGAGACACTGCCCTAGGGACACGCAACACCCAACAAAGGAGGTGGGCGGGAAAGGCGGAGGGAAGGGGAAGGTGAGGTGGTCGCTTTGGAGGCAACACGTGAAGGCTCAATGGGAGCTGGATGCCCGTGGATGGCTGCTTTCTTGTCCCTGCCGCCTCCTGTCCCCTCCTATCCCTATGCCCTCACGTGTAATTTGGTTTGGTATTTCTTCGACCCCCATCCGTCACCTCATTCCCCCACCGTTCGTCAGTTTCCTTATTTTTACCCCTCCCTGCCTGCCCCTGCCCGCATTTATTACTTTTACCCCCCCCCCTGCCCGCTCTCACCTGCATGAGGTTGAATGCTGAGCGATTGACGGTGAAGCGCACATCGAACTTGCGGCCCGCCAGCCACACGCCATCCTGGATGAAGCGGTCGGAGAAGCGCAGCAGCACCTAGGGGCGGGGCGGAGGGGGGGCGGGGGAGGGGAGAGTGGAAGGGGAGGGGGGGGGGGGTAATGTGCACGTGGGCTGCATGCACGTGCAAGCACAACCCTCACGAGGGAGAGCTGCTGCGCTGTAGCTCCCATCACACTCCCTATCGCCCCATTGCTGCCCCAAAAGCCCCAACAGCTTGCAGACGGCCTGCGGGATGGAAAAGGTGCTGCCCCGCCCTTCCCTCCCTTCCCCGCTTTGGACTCCAGTTGCTTCACTTACTGTTCAGTTTTTCTCCCGCTTCCCCTGCAGTATCCCTCCCCTGCTGCCTCCCTGCTCCCCCCCCCTCCCCTGCTACCTCCCTGCCCCCCCCCACCCTCACCTGCTCCTTCTCCACCCTGTGCACGTAACCCTCCCACGTCTTGCCCCCCGAGCCCGCCCCAGTGGGCGTCAGCAGCAGCCGATCGCCCTTGAGCACACTGGGCCGGTTCTCAGCCAGGCCGGGAACCTGGTTTAGGCGGGGGGGAAGGAGATACCAACAGGTTAGCGCGGGGGGGGGGGACAGCTGGGTTTAGGAATTACATTACCCGGATCCCAGCTCCCATTTTGCCGACCCATGACCGTATGCGAGCGTGTGATTAGGTTTGGGGGGAAAAGAAGGAGTTCTAGGGTTATGGAAGGCGGATGTATCTTCAAGGGTTAGCCTCAGCCCTTCCAGTCTTCAACAACCAGACCGGTAGCCAAACACCGCCTACCTTGCACTCCCCGACACACGTATGGACCGGGTGCCTCAGCATCCCCAGAACCTCCCCCACTCGACACTCAACTCTCCCTTACCCCTAACCCTACTAGCTACCACCCACCACCCCTCCCTCCTCCTTTCTTCTCCCCCTTCCCTCCCTTCCTTCTTCCTTCCTCCTTCCCGCCCTTCTTCCTTCCCTCCCTTCCCCCCACCTGAAGCTCCAGCAGCTCACAGCCCCTCTTCCCCGTCAAGCTCACTCCCTTCATGTCGTACATGCGGACATCCACCTCGTGCTGCAGCTCCTCTAGCCACAGCAGCACACGCAGCTGTGACCCACGGGTCGGCGGTGGAGGGCGAGAGGGAGCGTCGAGTTTCAGGGTTAGGAGGACGGCGGCAACAGGAAGGATACAAACTAGGCCGTGACTGGCAGGGGGAGAACTGCACCAGGCGGCTGCGTCTACAGCAGTTATCCGGCAAGCATCCATGCAACCAGCTACCACACCTTCATTCCCACCCGCTAAATCACAGAAACCGCAGAAACCACGTTCCCCGTTCCTCCCAGCCCCCCTCTGAAACCTCCCTTCCCTCCCGCCCCCCTCCCGCCTCTTACCCTCTCCGCATATTGCTTCAAACTCTTCACCTCCTTCAGCGGAGGCACCCGCTTCCGTACCTCCGCCCACGCCCCCCTCGCCACCAGCCGCCTCAAATCCTCCGGCGGCGGCAAGCGCCGTACAGGCACCGCCGCCGCCACCGACTGCTTATACCCAGGCGGCGGCACCCCGGGTACGACATCCTCCGGCCGTACAACATCATCTAGCAGCGCCGCCTTCCTGCTCTTCCGTACAACCTCCGTACCGCCCGCTGGCTTCTCCCCCGGAGCCGGCGGAGGCGGCATGTCGGGCGGGCAGCAGGATGCAGCTACCGCCCTCGCAACCGCCTTGGCGGGGCCGAAATCGAAGATTACCACGTTCCTCATGAGGCCTAGCGCTCTGGGGGCCAGGATTAAGCGCACCTGGTAGGTTGCCCCCTCAGGCAACCAAACCACTTGCTGCAGCGGCTGCGCGGAGGCACCGTGGTTGTCTTCTAGGCGCATGGGAGGTGGGATGGGTGGAGGTGGGGGCATGCCGAAGGAGGCTGGGGGTGGAGTTGGGGGTGGAGGTGGAGGCGTGAGGAAGCGCACGGAGCGGAGCTTTACTGCCCCCGGGCCGTGATTGGTGATTTGAAAGGTATGGGAGGCGGTAGAACCGGGGGGTACGGGGGGTAGCGGCTGCGGCAGGGCGGAGACGGTGACGTTGGGGCCTCCGTCGGGGTTGGGGGCGGGTGCGGAGGAGGGAGCGGAGGTGGAGGTGGAGGAGGAGGAGAGGTTGGGGTCGCGCTGCAGGAGCAGCAGCCAGAGCACCCGGGCTCGGTGGCGGGAGGAGTCCACGTGGGCCCGCAGCTGGTCGGGGCGGGTGAACCTGCGGAGGGGTGGGAGGGAAAAAAAGAAATTCCAAAGTGTGGTATGATAATGATACAAGTTGCTGACAATCCCTGGTGGAATCAACCGTGAGTCGAGGGGTGGGAGGGAGGAGGGAGGGTAAATGTTGTTATATAAGTGAAACAACGAGTCCCAAAGGGAGGGGAGGTAACAGGCGTGCATGACGCTCCTTCCTTTTTTCTGAAGGCCTCAATCTACCAGGATACCAAAGTAGACCCGATGCTCCCCCTCCTACACATGTCCTTGCCGTTTCTCGACCCAGGCCTTCCCGCCTTATAACCCCACCCGCCCGCCCCTCAAGGGCTCCCTGTCCCTCCCCTTGTGGCTTCCTTGAAGTGTTGTCGCTTCTACCTAACCCCCCCACCCCTGCCTCCCCGCCCCTCTCCACCCACCATCTGCCGCACAGCTCGCAATGACTGCACCCCGCCGCCGCACCCCCACTCCGCAGCACAGCCGCCTCCAGCTGGTGCGCATCCGCACGCGCCACTGCCGTACGATGCCTGCTGCCGTACAAGTGGCTCCGCATGTTCTCTTCTGACGTACACCGTACCTTGCAGATGCTGCAGTATAGGTCCAGCGGGGCGCCTGGCTGAGGCGCGAGGAGGGCGTTGAGTACGGCATCCGGTACGGCAGGTTGTACGGCAGGGTTTGCGGCGGCGGAGGGGAGGCGGAGGTGGGGTGGGATGAGGAGCTGGGGTTGCGGTGGGAAGGGGGCCTGGGGCTGAGGGGTGCGGTGCGGTTGGGAGGCTGTGCTGGTGCAAGCTGCTGTGGTTGGAGCTGCTGAAGCTGCTGAGCGCATCTGTTTGGAAGTGAACGCGAAAAGATGAGGAAAAAAAGGAAAGGAGGGTTGGAAAGGTGAGCAAGGTAAAGCGGTGATGTGATTGGTGTGCCGAGCCGGTTGCTTTGGAGCCGAGGCGGGTGGATACGGGTTGTTGTGCAACGGTTGTCACATCTGGTCCTCCAGACATCAAAGCATTGATTGGTTGGCAACATAGCAGCAAGCCTCGTTGTAACGAACCTCTTCAACTAAGCCGAAGGGCACGACCAGCTGGCCCATGACGATGTACTGCTGAGGCCGCGACCTGAACCAAGCCTTTATATCTGAGAACCGCACATGTCGGAAAGCGCGGCATGCATACTTAAGCGTGCCGAACGGGATGCCTGGCGCAGCATTCGGGTTTCTCGTGTAGTACTGTGCGATAAATTCTGTGACGACGGCTTCATCAATAGCCGCCGCCCCAGGCTGTGCCGCGTTCGTATGGCTCATTTTAGTTAACCAGTTATCAACGCATGTAGATTAGAACCCTTCCTGGTCAAGGCCTAGCTTTAGCCTACAGAAAGTTCCTAACAACGAGCATGGCCGGTATTTGGTGCGAACATTGTTATGTGTGCTACCCATATAAGGACACCTTTCGCAAGCAAACCCATTTCCAAATCGGTTAGTGTAACCATGAGCGAACGGAGGCAATCCTGTGTTACTGTACGGCATCTCTGCAACCTACTAACCGACATCATCCATTAACATTATGCTCACTACTAGACGCTTGCAATACCCATGCAGTCCTACCATGGGTAACGGCACAGGGGTATCATTATTACGCACGGCTACCATGAGACTGCTACTGCAGATTTTTGGGCACTGTAACTGCCACGTCGGTGGGGAGTATGTGATTCTTTTAACGGCTGATTCAGAGTCAAGATATCGGCGGCATCATCGTAAAGCATCTCCACGACCTCAGGACTGTGTTCTGCCACCGTATGCTGGGAGATGTCGCTCAATGCCATACACAAGCTCGCGTGTACAGTGCGCATGTAGCTAGTTAAGAGGGAGCTATCACGCGCCATGGGTAGGAACATGATATGCCATGAAGAGGTGCCAGGAGGTGCTTCGCCCTTCCTGGCGAAGCAAGCTAGGCCATGCCATCCTGGCGGAGGGTGGGTGCTATGGGAGTGTCCACCAAAATGTGGGCCACAACACATATGGACAGAGCCGTGAGTGCAGCAGTGCAGGCGGGAGCCTTGTCGTATTGTCTCTGTGTTCTTACCAGATCCCGCGCAAGTGCTACCGACGTGTGTGAGAACGCGGACCGCCTACAACGTGAGGGTGTGTGGTGAGTAACCGTCGGTTGGAGAAGGGCCAAACATGCGCAGTATGGGCGCTGTCAAGATAGTTTAATATGGTATGGTGCGATCTAGTTGTATTACTAGCCACAGGCCTTGATACGGTAGTGAACAGACACGTACTGGTAGGGAGGCATGTGGGGTTAAGGGTGTCAAGGTTAGCAAGGGCACCAATTGCCTGCTAGGCTAGAAGAGACGGGTGCGGCCCCTTGGATACACGTTCACCCCCCAGCTGATGAGCTTGCGGGCTGCCATATGCCCATACCAGATGCATTCCGCGACCATGCATGGCGGGATGCAAAAGTGGGGAAAACCCGGCTTAGGCTGACTGCAAAGCCATATAAGCCAGACTGATGTATCTCTTATCTGCAAATGTGTACTGGGGTAAGCATGTCGAACAGTAGTACTATGCGTACGATTTGCGCTCGTTCATGACACATTTCATGTTGCCTCCATAGAATCCACGTAACTTGCTGGAGATTAAAATATACGCGTAAGATATATGTAACGATATATGCCTTATTCCTTTTCCTAGAGATCTTTTAGCTGCCGTTCTGACCAGCGTGGACAGCTACTCCAAAGCTGGAACACCTTACTTCCCCTTATGCCTAGATTCAATAACAGTTAAGGGTGGTGACGTATGGAGCCCGGTTCGCCGGAAGAAGTGTGTCGCACCTCGCGACGCGTTCCAATGGCACAAACCGTTTTCTGGATTTTCTCTTTGCCGCTTCGACTTCCAAGCTGGCTTTTAGTGGCAGCCGGGGGCGAGATCCTTCGAAGGCTACATCGGTCGCTATGGCTGGCTTTCAGTTCCAGGCCAACCCTTACGAGGCATCAAAAGCGCACGGCGGTAGAAGTTGTCCACGCCGGGGGCCAAACCGAGCTGAGCATGATGCAGTTAAATAGCGTCCTTACAATTTCCGACCTCAATGAGGAAGCTGTGGCGGCTCAGCTGCAGGTACTGGGGATTGCGGGTTTCATGGCTTTGCGTGACTGTAAGTCTTAAGGCAAGTTTGCAAACTCCCGACCATCGCCTTCTCGGGGCTTCTTCTCGGCAATCCTTCCACAGCAACTGGAGCGTACACGCACGGAGAAAGGGGTTTTACAAAGCGTGCTCAAGTCCAGAGACGACCGCGTCTCCATTCTGGAGCAATGTAAGTAGCAGTGGGGAAAAGTTACAACCTGGTCGCGAACCAAAGATTCGTCTTTTGGTCTCTGCTAGGGGCACCTGCACGTCATGGGACTCTGCGACACCGAGATCCTTTGGGCGCAGGTATCGTGGACTTGGAGGCCCGCAACGCACGGCTATATGGCACGCTTGCGAACGTGGTGCTGCCCGTACTCGAGCGGCTGGTTGGCGCCTCACAGGTGAGCATGTGAGGCATGCAAGCAGCGGCTGAGGAGCCCCTTGCCTGAAGGCTCCCATGCACCTGTCCTACCGGAGTCCCTCTTCCTTGCATGCAGTTTTTCCGCAGCTTGCCGTCGTCTCCCAATTGTAGTAGACACCACTTAGTACAATTTTTGTCCCACAGCAAGCCTCCGACGGCGCGGGTGTCAACGAGGCGCTGCTGGCCGAGCTGCCAGCGCAAGTGCTGGAGGCCCTTGTCCGCTCACAGCAGGTGGTCGCGGAGGTCGCAGGCGACGGAGCCTCGGAGGCCAGCCCTCGCGAGAAGCTGGGCGCGGAAGAGTGCCGTGACTCGGAGCCGAGACGATCGGGTCACCGTGTCCTGTCGGCATCACGCGCTGTGGTCATCCCGCCGGTGACGGTCCCTGAGGGTTCCGGCAGCCAAGCGCCGGACTCCGGGACGCCCCATTCTCCGGCGGCCTGCAAGGTGTGTTGATGAAGCATTGTTTTTTGTGCCCTAATAGTGGCTGTTGCAACATCTAAAGGCTTCAGCGCATAGGAACCGTCAAGCCGCTTCCCCGGTACGGTCCTGAATCTTGCAGGCCCTGTCGTTCGAGTCGCCTGCCCGCGGCAACACCGTCCGTGTGGAAGTCCACATGGAGGGCATGTGAGTAGGTAGCGCTTGGGTAGCGCAAGCCTATAGAATACACAAGCGGGCAGCCTGTGGATGCTACGCTTCCAAGGATGCTACGCAGGCCTATGGCCGATGGCGGAGATGGTGGAGAGCGTTGTATATGCTGGGGCCTAGCCCGAGCGAAGCGAAATGCACTTTAAAAACGTTGTACTTGTATACGGTATAGGTTGGCGCCATGTGTATGGTGCCGGTACGGCGCCCGGCACGGCCGCCTTACTTGTCTGGATGCAACATGCGCATCTCGGCTGACATGCATTGCCTGCATGCTTGTTCTTGTACGTGATACCATGTTTGAAGGCTATGAGGGATGAACACGCGATTTATGTCATTGCATGGCCTTTCCGGGTTCCGTGACCAATACAGTAGGTTGTCGTACATGCTGTGACTGTCCCTCTATCGCCTGTGGGCGTGGTGCTCGCTGCGAGCGTAATACTCACATACTACGATGCACCCCCAAGGTGGCCGCCTTGGGGCGGCTGGTCTCTGCCATAGCGCAGGCTTTGCGTATGCTGTTATGGGTCAATGCATCACGTTATTCGTCCTTTGAAGCTTGCCATGTGCGTGCAGCGTGCTTCCCGTGTGAAGGATATGGTGTCGCAGCCCTGAAGTAAATGTGAGGGTTGGGCCTCTGGCGTGCCTTCGCAGCATGTAATCTGTAAATCCTGAATACGCGCTGCCTACTGCCGACATCCTTGTCCCGGCCAGTTTGATGGGCTGGGTCGCGCCGTGCTCCAACGAGTACCGGTAAGATAACATGCCAACGCTTGGTAGAGCTACAACCAGGCAGGTCGACCTTTATCAGGCCATTATAAGAAAGAACCCAGTTTGTGGTCCGTTACCTATTAGCTAAGCATTCCTGCGTTTCCTGGTCAACAATCTGGCCGCTCCTTAACTACAATGTAGGGGAGTCTCAAGTTGCAACTATTTTGGCAACCTCCACTCATTGAGCACTTTAACATAGACACAATAAGATTTGGCTGAGGCTCAACAGCTCAACAGCAGGATGCCAGACCGCAAAGCTGTCGCACTGTGCCGCACATGAAGTACAAATGGATCGGGTTATGATTAAGTCTTACTGCTCAACAAATTAGCCTACTCCAGCATGTTGTAGTGTCTAGCAGTTTACCTTAAACTTGTTTACTGTTTCCACATTAGCTCCGCTGAAGCAACATCCCGAACATCCCTGAAGATCTTTGCAACCCGCTGAATTATTTCTCGAAAGGTGGGGTTCAGGATGTTCAGATCAGCGTTTGTTTGTTGTAATGTATGCTGTACCGATGGTTGCGCTTTGTGCGCGGAGCGCGCGCCATTGGCCTTGGATGTGGGCCGCATACGATGTCGATGCGGTGCTTCGCTACCTGCTTTGGGTTTGGGTACTGCAATCTATGGTCGTTAACTATTGCTTTCAGTTGCAAGGACCATGAGGCTTTGTCCATCCCCATGCGAGTAGTTGCCAACCTTGCTCGTTCACCGCGATCGTCTGCCCTGCGGTGTTTCAGCTCGCGCAGGCGCCATGGCAGATTACGACTTGCCAGGCAAAGACGCTCAAGACAAGGTCTTTGACAACACTCCTAAGGTTGCGACATCCGACAGCCCCTCCGTGAAGCAGCCTCCCACAGAAATGAAGGTGAAGAAGCGCGCCAATGTTGCTTATGCTTCGGAGATCTTGCCCGTGGGCTTTCTACCCCATTGTGTTCCTGTGACACGAAACCCTGTCCTTTGCCCCTTGTGCTGCCAGACGGCGTTTGGCTCTCCAAACCCCGATCCTGCTCCTGAAGTCCCGGAGCTGCCCGTGGCTAGTCCCCCGGTCAACCCAGCTAAGCAGGTGTGAAGGCATTCCCGCATCCTGACTGGGGTCAGCGGGGTATCGTTGACCCAAACTCAAGTGAATATGCTGACGTTACTGATCAGCATGAATTAAACCTGAATCCCCCTTCCTTCCTTGCAGCTCGACTTCAACCTGAACGCGCCTACGCCGTCCACGCCCACCATGGTGGCCCACACTGGTGGCGACGATGAGGTGGGCAAACTCTGCCTGCAACCCTTGGGAACTGTCTCTGTGACTGAATTTCCTTCCAAGTCCGTGCGCTAGATGGTGGCCAGGATAGCGGCTCTTTCAGACACATCTCTCTCATCATGGCGAGCCAGCATCCGTAGGCTAGCTGCTGCTGCAGCCCCAGCAACCGCCGACCACTCTCCTCTCTTACCGTTAATGGCCTGCTTCCCATTCCTTTGCAGCTCGACTACAATGCGTTCATCATGGAGACGCTCCTATGGGAGAACAAGGCAAGTGGGGAACGACTAGAGTTGGACGGTTGACCTCAAGCTGTGCCAACTAACCTGCCGTATCCGTGCACCTTGTTCCCTGGGCTGCAGGTCCGCTCATCGTTCTACTTCGTTGCCGGCTTCCTCGCGTGGCTGGTCATGCGTGCCATCCTCGCCAGCACCATGACTCTTTTCACGGGTACGGGCCACAGGGCTCCCTCATGCTGCAGACAACTGGAACAGAGATACAGCTGTGTGATGCTTAGCAAAAATGTGCCAACTGGCCTGTTGGCTGCTTTCATTTCACCAGCTATTCTTCCATGGGGCCTTGACCAGCGTTGTCCTGCTTGTTGGCTGCTTTAGCAGACCCTCCCTCCTCGAAGCGTAAACCCCCAACCCACATCGGCTCCCCGCAGGCACCTGCTACGCGCTGCTGTTCAGCCTGGGCTTCAACTTCCTGCGCGGCACGGTGGCCCCCAAGTACCACGAGCGCTGCAACTGGTCCAGCTCCGCCATCACACGTGTGACCAGCGCCGCCGCCGCCACCGCCGTGTCGGCCGCCGCTGCGCTGCACGACCGCCACCTCAAGGGACTGGACCCGCTGCGTACGCTGGAGGTGAGGAAGGGGAGAAAATAACAGTCAGGGTGCTGGAGAAAGTTACCCGGTTGCTCACCCGTAGCTAGGCTGAGTGCCGGTTGACTGTTAGCATACCTTTTGTGCACTTGCATGAACGTGCATATAGGGAAACAGGTTGACCCGGAGACAGGCTGTTATGCTCCTGGTTACTGGTAATGGTTATCGCTTGCTTGACGTACTTCTTCTCCTGTCCGACTTCACACGGTACAGGTTGGCTTGGGCTTGTGGGTGCTGTCGCTGCTGGGCCGCACTCTCGACGCCGTGACTCTGGTGTTGGTGCTGCACCTGGGCTCCTTCTCGCTGCCGCTGGCCTACAAGGCAAACAAAACGCGTGTGGACGGCGTCATCGCTGACGTGTACGGTAAAATGAAGGTACGGCAGCTGTATGCCTCGCTGGGATGTGCCTGTGTCTGTGTCCTTCTGCACAAAGGGCGGGTGGGTGGGTTTTGAGCGTGAGGCTTAATCTTCCGGTAGGTACCTCCCACAACATAGGAGTGACTGCTATGTGTTTCCGTTAGTCCTTACTCGTATGTATGCACTGCCACCGCAGTCCTTACTCGTATGTATGCACTGCCACCGCAGTGCCGCACAGTACCGCACTACTAATGGTTGTTTTTTTGTTCACGGCACGCAGGCGCAGTACGAGAAGCTGGACCGTCGGGTGCGCGCCACCGTGGTGCTGGTCCCCATCGTGGTGCTGTTCTTCGTGCTGCCCACCATCGACCGCTTCGTCGCCTTCTTCATTGCGCTCGCGTACGCCCGCGTCTGGGCCAAGCCTGACGAGGTGCGCTGTGCCGAACTGACAACGAAGGTGGCGTCAGCTGCACTTCTACCTACATTGGTTATGTTGCTACTGTTACTGCACGGGCGTATGCTTTCTATGGGGGTTTGGGTAGCATTATTCACTACATGGCCTGCCAAATTACTCGTCCGACCGTGTCCGTACTTCCTTGGACGCCCCTTTCCTACTTGCCTCGCAGTACGCCAACATCCAGAGGCGCCTGGAGCCCGTGAGCAAGACCATCCGGAAGGCCGTCGTGACGCCGATGGCCAGCGCTGCGGTCAACGCCATGACCAAGTACGACATCACGCCCACCCCCCGCAAGAAGAAGACCAACTAAGCGGAGCGGCTTTCCAAGGGCGTGGAAGGGCAAGCATACTAGTTTGGTGGCGCCGCGGCGCCGTGAAGGAGCTGTGTGTGCAACATGCAGGTTGCGGTATCCTGCAGGCTGTGTGCTGTGGGCATGGTTTGGCTTGTTGCTTTGTACGGCGATGTTGTCTGGGCGGCATTCGCCCGGGTCCCTGGCTATATTCTTTTGGCAAAAATCTGGCAGCACTCTGTGGCACTAACCAGTGGCTGGCTTCCCGGGTTCGTCTGGTGCGGGGGCGGGGTGGCGCAATGTGTTGTGAAACGCAAGGAATAGGGAGGAGTAGGGAGTGATGAACAGTCGTGCATGTGCGCACAGGCATAGAAAGCCTCTTTCGAATGTGTTTCATGCAGTTCGGTGTAAGTGTTTCTGCTTCGGTTGTGAGCACGTGCATATGCAGGTCTCAGGGGCGCATGGGATGCTCTTCTGCGCCCGTGTCCTTTGTATGGCCTCTTGTACAGACACGCACGTCGCAAGACAATGGACATATCTTGTTCCGTAGAATACCTTTGTTTGCCCGTTCCTAACTTTTCTGGGCCCTAATAACCTCACACATCAGTTGGAGTGAGGCCTGAGAAGATAGAGGACACCAAGGCTGCAGAGCAATTCGTGTAACTATGACAAGTACAGCGAAGCAAAAGTTAAGTACCGGTATTACGGTTGGGGGGGCGCCCAAGTCGCACCACAGGTTCACCATGCCGTACGCCAGGACAGTAAAGGCGCTGGGAGCCGCCGCCGACCCCCCTAAAACCTTATCCATATTGGCCGGAAAGCCACAGCGAAGGACGTTGCCATAACTTGTCAGCGGCCGCGGCTAGCATTACCGGAAGCGGAGGCGTCGCGAGGGGGCCGCAGTGAGTCGTCCTGCAGGCGCCAGCGGTACCTTCTGGTCCGCACTGGGGCCGGAAAGCCCTGTGATTGCATTGTGCAGACAGCGTGGCTATTTTGGGACCCTTATGAGCACCGGAACGTAGCTCCCAGCCGTGCCAGCAGCGCGCCCTACGGCTTACGACTGATCCTTGGCTGACGTAATCTGCCGTAAAGCACGGGACCGTTGGACCTATGCTGCCAGACAGCTCATTTCTCTACGCGCTGTACGTAAAAGTGTGCGTGCTATAGCGCTTATCCAAACTCATCGTTTGCTTTTACACACAACACACCAACAGGTCGTGAATTTTGTTCGCAGTGGAGCTTCCGGACACGTTATTTTACTCTTTTACTGAGTTATATAATTAACATACGATTGGTGTTTTGGCATTGAATTCCCTGCTCGAGCATCTTGGTACCGTTAGGGAAGCGTCCCTACTGTAGTAAGCCCAAAGGCACACCTAGCTATGCCTGGTAAGAAGCTTAAATCATCTAAAGCAGCTTTGGAGGTTGCAGCCGCGCCGCCAGCAGACAGCGACAGCGATTCGGACGCCCCTGAGGAGTTCACCCAAGCCCAGGCGCGCGAGCAAGCCCTTCAGCAGAGGAAAGATGAAAGGCAACTAAAGGCAGAGCTTCGGCGGCAACAGCAGCAGCGACGCCAAAAGCAGCAACAAGTCGCCGCCGCATCCAAAGGCGTCAGCCGCGACGCTGCTGAGGACAATGAAGGGCCGGATGAGGATGACGAGGAACTAGGCCCAGCCTCATCGGATGGCGACGATGACGATGACGCTGCAGAGCCTAATGCTGCGGCTGACCATGAGGACCTGCTGCCTGAGTCGGTGCTCCAAGCGGTAGCTGCGCAGGAGGAGCAGGCGGCGCAAGCCGAGGCTGAGGCTGCTGTGGAGGCCGCAGCCAGCCGAAGAGCGCAACGGCGTGCTGCCAAGCGGCAGCGCGTGCAGGCCGTGAAGGAGGGTGTAGTCAAGGTGCAGGTGCTGCCAAAGCTGCAGGCGGAGGCAGCTCGGGTCAACTTCCTCAAGGAGGCCCTGTACGGCGACCGCATCAAGCGCTCGCTGGACATGCTCAGCAGCGTCCCGGCCAAGAACCGGCCGGCTGTCAAGTTCGTGTAGCGGCCCCTCGCTGTTGCAGATGGCATGCAAGGAGGTTTACGGCAGGGTTGGTGCGGGTTGATGGCGTATTGGATGTAGGACCGAGCTGGGTTGTAGACGACATGTTACGTGTGAAGTTTGCTTTGACAGCAACAATGGCAACAGCTACAGCCTCACCAGTACCTTGGGGAGGAACGGCGTGCCGGTCTTGCATGGCAACCACACGCCTGGCGCCCCTCCGCAGCACCGGTAACCGCGCGAACTGACTGCTGGTGCTTGCCACCCGGTAAGGAGCCAGCAGTGCCAGCCGGGGCACACAAAGCAGCATGAGCAACAGCAGCGGCGGCAGCGGCAGCACAATACGTGAGCCTCCATTGTGGGATGGGTCCTAAGGGTGCAAGCTACCGCAGCCAGCCCTAGCCACGCACGGCTCATAGCCACGCACGCCCGTAGGCTGCGCGGTCGTCACCAGCCTGCAGCCGTGCGGGCGCTGTGCTTGGCGGCTGTGTTGGTGACATGCGGAAGTGATGGGCTTAGGGGCGAAGTCGTGTGGCGTGTTTTCGTGTCGGTGGTTTCTCCGTTGCTCCATTGATGTTGTACCTACACCCAACACGTGGGGGATCTGGGTTGCGAGGAGGGGCGTTTGAATGGTACCTGGTGGCTAGCTGGGTAAGGCGTACAGTCATGGACGTCGTGTGTAACATGAACACTTGCGCGCCTTGCTATTAGTATTGACATGCATGTACGGCCGTGTGATGGCAGTTGCTGGCAGGAGTGCATGGTTACGGCACATGGTGCTGCATAGGGCCCTTCTACCGCGTCCTATCAACCACCGGCCCTAAAAGCTAATGCGAACTAATAGGATCGCAAGAGGTGCAGACATGAGTACGGCAGTTTAAGGGGTAGCGAACGGAGTGCTGGTATGCTCAGGTGCAGTGTTCTATCGCGGTAACAAGCGAAGATCAATTTGCGACGCTGTTTGCGGAGTGCAGGCCCAACTCTCGTGGTGAGAGTGTTGCGCTGGATTGGCGCTGTAAGGGAGCCTGGGCGAATGGCGGTTTGCCGACTGGCGTGGAAGTGGGAGGGACTGTGTCACGTGTTGCATGTGCATTGAACCTATGCCTGTTTCGTATGCCAGGTGCAGCAAGGCAGCTTGTAAAACAACTGAAGCGACCCGGAAAGCTTTGACTACATTATGACAGGCGTGCTGGAAAGGCATTGATCAATGTGCTGCAAGACATGGCTGGCGGGGCGGCGAGCTGGCGACCGGGGAGGACGGGTGTATGAAAGCCCTAGTAGGAAAGCCGCAAAGTTGCAGATAGTCAGTATGCAAAATAGAGAACAACACAGGAACCAGTAACAATTGGATGCAACCTTGCCAGTCACACGTTACTCTTTAGTCGGCGGTCATGGGAATCGATCCGTACAAGCTGTACCCATGTGGGGCGCATCAGCTTACGCAAAAGGCAAGCCCTAGCTCTAACGCGTGCTTAGGATCCGCCAGAACACTTCCTTATAGTGGCATTTGGGGATCCGATTTGCGCTTGGCGCGCCAGGTCGTGCCCTAGTGCGCTTCGGCGCCATCAGCTGCGCCAAAATGGTCCAGCTAGGGAAAACCGTCAGCGTGTCTAGTCTATTAGTCTTCGGAACCACAACGTCGTTGCTGGCGAAGATCGGTGCGCGGCGGCTCCGCAGCGAGCGCCATGTGCTTACGGTCCGCATGCTGAGTGCAACATTCGCTGCGCCCTAACGCAGTATACGAGCTTAAAAGCGTTGGAAAGGATGGCGAGGAAAAATATTTTCGGAAGCCATGGGCTATGACTTCCATTATGTTTCTCGGTGAGCCTGCTGGTGGAATGGCGTCTGCTGTGTCCACCTTTTGGCCGCTAGCCCTGGCCATTCCTTACATAGCACGTCCGCTTACCCATTATCATCTGTTAGATAATTCGCCCCTGAATCTCACTTGTGCGGCGCAGGCATGTCGATGTGCTTGCCGTTGGCTTACTACCAGGAACGGCGGACCAAGAAGCGTTCGCCCGCTGAGGACCCGCTGCTCTCCTTCGATGTGCGTGGGCGTCCTCAGAAAACCATGGGTGTTACAGCCAAATCCAAGATTTAGGGTTTCCTGTCAAGTGTCATTGCCACACATTGTCAACATGCCAACTTCTCCCCTCACCCCAGGAGGCCGGCCCCGGCGGCCCCCGTCGCTCTCACCTTCGCGAGGTGGCGCTGCTGGCGCTGCCCACCGCCTTCGACCTGGTTGCCACGGTGCTGATGAACGTGGGGCTGCTGTACGTCACCGCGTCCGTGTACCAGGTAAGGAACGGACGAGCTGTACGACATGTAGGCTTCACCTGAATTGCAATGTTCAATCAACACACATTTTGGGTATCCCCTCTTTCCCCCTCTTTGCGCCCCTCTCCCCCCCTCCTCCCCCTCCAGATGATGCGCGGTGCCGAGATGCTGTTCGCCGCCGCCTTCGCCATCACCTTCCTGGGCCGCAAGCTCAACATCTACCACGCGGCCGGCATCGTGTGCTGCGTGGTGCGTGGGAAGGGGGGAGAACAAATGAGAAGTGCAGCAGGAGGAATGGGAGGGGGGGAGAGGGGGGCTGCTGAGGGGAGGGGAGGAGAGGGGAGATGAAGGGACAGGAGTTGCGCTGCGCAGGCAGAGGATGTTGTTGTTGTTGTTGTTGTGCGGCGAAAGAGGGGCCCGGTGGCTCCCCGCTGCGCTCCTCGCCCACCTGGTATCACCCCTCCCGACTGTCAGGTGGTGTAACAACCTGGGGTGAGGGGAGAGGAGGAGGGGAGGATGGCATGCTGACAATGGCACTTGACAGGAAACCCTTCCCTCTACCCCTCCAACCCCATGCCTACCCCCCACCCGCCCCTCCCGCCCCCGCCCCCCCCTCAGGTTGGCATCTCCCTGGTTGGCACCAGCAGCATCCTGTCGGGTGAGGGCAGCTCCACACACACCGTCACTCCGCAGCAGATGCTGCTGGGCATGGGGCTCATCATCACGTCGCAGGTGGGGTGGGGGGGCTGGGGGGGTGGGGGGCTCATCATCACATCGCAGGTGGGGGGGGCTGGGGGGGCTACTAGGTAGGGGTGCTGGGACAGAGGGGTGTACGGCGTTGGTAGGGTTTGGGCCCTGGCTGCATGAATCCCTCCTTCCTCCTCCTTTACCCCTCTTCCTTTACTCCCCTCCCCCTGCATGAGTCGGGATATGGGATTGGGACTCGTTGTTTCGCTTATTCAATTTTTCTCCCCTTACCCCCTCCCCCTCCCCCGCCCAGGCCGTCCAAGCCGCCCAGCTGACGTTCGAGGACTTCTTCATGGCGGACCTGGCCATCCCGGGGGTCAAGATCGTGGGTTACGAGGGGCTGCTGGGCGCGGCGGCAACACTGGGAATCATGATGCCGGCAGCCTACTTCCTGCCAGGTGGGGGGCCGGGAGGGAGGGGAGGGAGGGGGGAGGGAGGGGGTTGAAACGAATGCGACAGGTTGGACGGGTTGGCAGCACGCAATCCATAAACCGCTCCTCAACGAGCTCTGGAGGCAACTCCGCTTGCTAGCTACCTCAACCCTCAACTCTCCCCCCACCCCCTCCCCCCCTCCCCCCCCAGGTCCCGAGGGTGAGGGTATCCACGAGGACATGGTGGACACGCTGGCGGTGAGGGGGGAGCGGGGAGGGGAGGGGGGAGGGAGCGGGGAGGGGAGGGGAGGGGGGAGCGGGGAGGGGAGGGGAGGGGGGAGCGGAGGGGGGAGGGGAGGGGGGAAGGGGGGAAAAGAAATTGAAGGGAAAGAAAGAGGAAACCAACGAGCTGTATGACGAGGTTGCTTCACCATGGAGGGAGGAGGGGGCAGGGAGGGAAGCAGGGGAAGGAGTTCTCAGCTGTAGCCCTCTTGCTCCCCCGCCTCCAGTCCCCCTCCACAAAACTCCCCCCCCCTCCCCTCCCTCTTCCCCTCCCCTCTTCCCCCTCCCCCCTCTCCCCTCCCCCCGCATGCAGATGATCTCGCACTCCCGGCTGCTGCAGGCGGTTCTCGCGGTGGACATGTGCTGCCTGCTGCTGTACAACGTGGCGGGCATGGCGGTGACGGGCCACCTGGGGGCCGTGTTCAGGACGGTGCTGGAGACCATGCGCACGCTGTTCGTGTGGCTGGTAGGGGGGAGAGTGGGGGGGAGGGGGGGAGTTGGGGAGGGCTGGGACTTGAGTGGGGGCCGCGGGGTGCCCCTTCGTTTTGAGTCAGGACAAGGCAATAGGAAGAGGAAGCGGCAGGTGGTCACAGCAACCAGTGAGGGTTACCCTCCCCACTTCACCTGGCCCCCTCCTCCCCCGCTTCCTCCTCCTCCCCCCTTCCTCCTCCTCCTCTCCTCCCCGCCCCCCCAGGTTGACCTGCTGCTGTTCTACTGCCACGTGGGGCAGCTGGGCGAGTCGTGGAGCGTGTACTCCTGGCTGCAGGCGGCGGGGTTCGTGGTGCTGGTGTCGGGGACACTGGTGTACAGGTGGGGGGGGGGTAAGAGGGGATGGATGTTCGCAAGGGCTGGAATGATAGCTTGATACACACTCTATAGCTGTAGGTAGGAGGGGTCCGGGGGGCGGGGGGGAGGGGGAGACATTATATAAGTGAACCAAGCAGGTGGCGAGGAAGAAACTACGGCAGAGGACGAAGCTACGGTAACCAACCCCCACCCATGCTGGCCACCTGCCCCCTCCTGCCCCCTCTCCTTGTATTGGTGGGCTGCCCACTCACCAGCCTCACCAGAGTGGTCTTCCTGACCCTCAGCCCTCCCGCCCCTCCCTCACTGCATGAGTCGGGATATGGGATTGGGACTCGTTGTTTCACATATTTAATTTTTTCCTCCCTCCCCTCCACCCTCCCCAGGCACGGTGACCACGAGGCCCAGCGGCGGCTGCTGGCCGAGGCGCTCGCCCTGCACTCCGAGCCCCCGGGCGGGGCCGACACGGAGGGCGGGCAGCAGCGGGAGGAGCCCGGCGCATCCACACGCGGGGGAGCCGTGTACAGCCTGTACGGCACGACCAACGGACCCGCAACCAACATGTACGGCGGAGTGACGTCACCGCTGCTGGTGCCGCACCATGCGGGTGGTGCTGCCGGTGGCTCCTCCCTGCCGATTGCGTTCACGGGCTCGCTGGGCGCCTCGCAGCCGATTGACGCCATGGCGCCCAGTCGCATGTCCTTCCGCGCCACGCAGACCATTGCGGCGGGGTCGTACAGCAGGTAGGGGTGCGGGTGGTGGGGTTGATGGGACCGGGGTAGGGGTAGGGGTAGGGGTAGGGGTAGGGGTAGGGGTAGGGGTGGGGTTGGGACCGGGGCTGATGTGGGAATAGATGGACTGAAGGGGGGCTGGGGCGGGGTACGTTATGGGGGCTGGGGGGAGGGATGCAGTAGGGTGTGTGTTGCGCATGGGGCTCACAAGAATGATAACAGTCGCATGTTGTTGCTGTTTCTGTTTCCTGTGCTGTGCTTCCTAACCCACACTCCTTCCCAACTTGAGCCAGGCTGTGTGGGTCCGGCGGGTTGGGTGTACTGCAGTAAGTATAGCTGAGTGTGTTAAAATAACTGGCCGCGAGTGTGTGTGTTTCACTCGCCACCTCCCCGCCCCACCTCCCTCAACTTCCTCCTCTCCCCGCCCTGCCGCAGGTCGCTGCAGGCGGGCTCCTACCTGGCTCGCTCGCCCCGGACCCGTAATGGGGGCGCAGGGGGGCAGCAGGGACATGAGTGAAGGGGAAAGGGGGGGGAGGCGGAGGATGTGGCGAGGTGATTGCGGTGAGGGGTGTTAGGTAGGGGCTGGGGGCTGGGGTGAGAGCGATGATCGACGGCATGCATCAACGTGTGCTATTTAGCCCGTTAGTAGGAAAAGCGTCATTGTACGGCAGCGCTCATATGCATTTGACGCAGCCCGAGCGCCTGGCAATGAAAATGCGGGTGCATTAGGTACGGAACGTGATCACCTGTGGTAAGCACAAAATCGCTGCGCCGAAGGACGCTGGAAGACGGAGGGACCACGCTAGCTCGCGTGAGTGTACGTCAGAGCTCGTAAACTTTTAACACGGCCAAGGCGCCTGGCATGGAATGTGCGGGTACAATAGGCACGGAAGCTGATCATCGATGTTCAGGGCGAAACCGCAGCGCGGAAGGATGCAGGAAGACGGAGAGACCGTACTAACTGCAGATTGGACGGAGGAATACGGAGGGACCGCAATTGTGGGAGACGCCGCTGTGTTGTGAACGGGCCGCAGCGGCGAAAAACACATGAAGAAAACGGCGGTGAAGAACATAACCTAATTGTGCGTAGGAAAATAGGCGATGCCACAAGTGCAAAGCGGTTATACAACCAACTGTAGCCTCAGGCCCCTGACCTCTTTCCCAACATCTGCTTACCAGATCCCTAAACGGTACCTATTCATTTCTTAGCAATCCATACTGGGCTAAAGCAAGAGAAGGCAGTGCTAGGTGTGCGGCACATAGTAACGGTCGATGAACTGTAGCCTGCTGCGGCTGTCCTTTTTTTAACGTTTTGTGTTTGTGACACTCTACCGCCTCCCATCCCCTTTGCTTTGCCCTTACTGAAATTTCCTATGGGTTGGTATGTTGTTTATTCCCCATCCGCTACCCACCTGCCCTCTCGCAAACCCTTTCCCATAACAAGGGGGTTCAGCTTCCTCAACGCTGGAAAAGGGCGGAGCCCCTCCCCTAACCACAGCCATCATGACGAACCCAATGGTGAAGCCCCCTCATACAGCTATCGTCACCATCGACTGCCATATACTAGGTGCCCTTACATTTGCTTTACACCAAACCACGATTTGCTGCAAGAGCCCGTGTCGTTGCTGTACAATACAGCTGGACAATATACCTCAACATGCCTAACAAAAGGATAACGGGCCAAGGGCTAAGTTGCTGGGATGCTTTTTGGGGTTTGCAGTTCTGTCGAGATTGTGTAGGTTGGGAGGGGGAGGAGTTTTGGGCAGTGCATATTATGGCACGGCGGTGCTTTGTAGGTAGCGGCTTCAAGGTGTTGGGTGCACTGTGCAAACGTGTGTTTCGGTAGGTGTGGCGCGGGTGTCAATGCATCCTGCTGTTGCTTTCCGTCATGTTCGGACGGGCTAATACCGCTACCTATGTAGAAGGGTGCATTGGGCTGCAAGGAGGGGACCTATGTGGCGGGTCGCAGTGATCGCGACCCATGGGTCACCCAGGCCCGCATCTGTCCGTTTTGGTGGTCATGCAGACAGGCTTTCCCTCTTTGTGTGTGATATGAAGGGCTTTGCATCGGTGGTGGTTGTTATGAACGGTCACTGAATAGTGGCTATCGTGGGGAGGGGTGGTAGCTGGTAGGGGAAAATGAAGGCCCTGCGAAGGCTCACTTGCGCGCTCGAGTAGCCCTGGTGTGCCTTGCTAGGCAGTTCAGTTTTTTGCTTTGTTGCCTCACAGAGTCAAGAGTCTGCAGGGGTGATACAGTGCACAGTTGGGGCTATACTGTTGTCGAGGTTCGGGCCTGGTGGGGATGACTTGGTGCGACGTCCTTTGCCGTCCTCGTCACAGCTAACGAGGTCATCGTACGTTGGCGGGGAGCACGCGATGGAGTGGTGCGTAGGCACAACCTTGACGACACTGATGGCTGACAGCAAAGGACGGCATTTTCGCAAGGCACCTAGCACCAGGAGCAAGGCGACGTACATGGTTTGTAACGGCATTCCAGGCGAAATCGTATGTTCCGAACAATGTGGAAGGGTAGTTAAGCTAGACAGAAACAGCTGCTGGCACTTCGTAGCTATGTGCAGGAGCTTGCACGATGAAAGAAGGCTTCGACCGGGTCGGTTTCAACGGAAGCCATTGATTGGCGAACTGTATGCAAGTGCGTTGCGCAGCGACTTGATAAACACGCAAGAGTAGTAAAGCGCTGTGCTATATTCTCATAGTAAGGTTCTCGGCCAGTTAAATTGATGCTTAGTAGCTCGTCTGACAAAACGGTCTAGACCGGTACCGTAATTTTCTGCGGAAAAGCCCGGTGTAACAGTTCGCAATGTATGTAATTAACTGTTTTGATGGTACATTGTTGGACAGGTTGCATTTGACAAAGTAGTAACGCTGTGAACAAATCGCGCCAACGTACCCGTACACTGCGAAAACGCTTCTATAGGAAGTGTGTTGAGCCACGTCCAGTGCTTCCTGCGTTGGTGCCACCGCAATATGTTTTCTATTCTCTGAAGCATGGGTTGTATACAAAGCAAGCCTGTCACGCAACATAAGTTCTGTGATACCTGGCCACAGCCGCCTGCAGCTGATGGAATAGTAGAATGTGGCTGCCTAGGTATGCTTCTATATCATCGAGAAGAGATGTGAAAGAACGCTGTTTATGAAGTGTGTTCTTCGCTACAGGTTTACAACAAAATGATGGTCAGCCTGGTACCGGTATTGCAGCGGCGATCGTCAATCTAGACTCCCAAGAGACATCGACAAAACATGCGGGCCTACCTTTGGACGCAGTACTGCGAAGGGCACCGACAGGTCAGAACGAAGTCCGGATGCGCAAACGTTTTCCTCTTGTTTGCTTCTATCTTTGATGTTAATGTGTTACAAAGGTTTCTCCTGTCATATGCCTAGAACCTCGGAGAGGCTTACAGGCTGGCTGCCTTGGTTAACTGCAGGCGAGCTGGCTATTTTGGACGAGTTGCAGCTGCGTGCAGCCCTACAGCATGCATCTCAGCCTGTACTCGTTCTAACAGTCCCGTCACAGCTTCCTGCTCGTCCGGAGACGGACGTTTCACCGGAGGGGCTTCCAGACGCATTGCTAATCAGCACACCTGAAGAGACGAGCGATGGAAATGCAGCGGAACCAACTTTTAAGCTCTCATACATTGGAGAGGAAGCCCATCTTATGCTCACCACTGAGCAGGGCTTTACGGCGCTGCGATGTGTATTAGCCAACGATGCCGCACTGCAGTCTCTGGGCTTGGAAGATGAGCCGGTACGTGCAATGCCACCGAGATCTCCCTTCTCCATCTGTACATACTGTCATGCTGGTGGAATCCGCGTAGCCCTTACCCCACAACACCTTTGTAACCATTTGTGCCTGTTCCTCGGTGCCATTCTTGATTTACAGGCGGTATTGGGCTTCCTGGCTCGCAGCTTCCACGCGGACCGGGGCCTGGTGTCGCTCTTCCAGGATGCCGTCAAGTAAGTTGTCAAGGCCAATAAACTGGGAATCAGCCATATCGGCGACATTTAGACTTGCGAGGGTACCCGGCCTCGATGGTCAAGTCGGCACGGATTGATGACAGGGGCCTTGCCTCTTGGCAAAACGGTAGATAGAATGTCGTTTGCAACCTCACAAACCCCATTGTCCCATCCATGACCCAAACACCGGGAGCTCCACTGTAAATCCCGTCCGTGCCCAATTCTCCTGCCCGCTGTTCTCGCTCCCTGCTCGGCCATTGCTGAAGTTGAGTCATTGGCCTTGCGCAGGCGGCTCCTGGCGGGACACCTGACGGCAGCCAAGCACTTCGTGCCTGGAGACTTTGGCCGGGACCGGTACTTCCTCAGCATGCGGGTGGGGCAGTAGGGGGCGGGTGGGGCAGGACGGACCTGCCCTGTGTTGGGCTATGAAACGGGCAGGACAAGCCCTATTAGTCAGTTCCCGGCTTCACGGCTTTACATCTGATCCTTGTATGGCCGGAAGGAGCATCAACCCCAATCAATACGGCTTCCCATCCTCCCATGAAAGCGATTATGCTTAGACCATGCACCTTGCCTTACCACTCCCTCCTCTTCAAACCCACCCTCTTACCCACCACACATGCCACCTTTCCCGCGCAGATTTCGCCCTTTGCGTTCCGGGCAAGTACACCCTCAGCCAACTCCGATGCCGCAACCGCTGCGGGTTCATGTGCTTCATCACCCTCATGCTGCGCTACGGCGCCCTCCGGCTGCTGCTGCGGGTGCCTGGTGCCGGGTATGCTGCTGGAGCTGGATGTGCCGTACGAGGGCAAGGAGCTGGCGGCGCGGCTTCAGCGGGACTACCTCATCCTCTCCAACATCCCCTCCATGGTCACCATCTTTGACCTAAGCGGGTGAGTTACTTGGGGGCGCCACGGCGATTAGGCTGTTCGGGTGATGCCAGCAGCAGGGCGTGCATGAAATGCCACGTCCATCCAAGCAGCCGCTTTTGTTCCCAGCGGCTACACGCGAATTAAATTCGCATCTCTAATCCAGCATCTTGTGTGTCGTCCTTGGTAGCTGATGGTTGGTGGCTGCTACCGCATATCCTACAGCCCCTGCCATGTCTGTCCTGCTCCCATCTCCAGCCTGCTTCTCCCACCCCTGCCCTCTCCCACCTCTGCAGCAATGTGCTGCACCAGAATCGCTCCTCGGTGGCCTTCATGGGCTACCTGGTGGGGGCGGGGCTCAGCCGCCGAGCCACGCAGCAACAGTACCAACAGCAGCTCCAGGCAGGAAACAGCAGCCGCAGCAGTGGCGGCCCGACTGCGCCCTGGGTGTTTCGGCAGCAACACCAGCAGCACCAGCAGCCGGGGTATGGGCAGCAGCTGATGATATCCTCGGTGGGGGGGCTGGCGGGGTTGACGATGGATGCGGAGAATGCTGGGGAGCGGTCGGCGCTGCAGCAGCTGTTTGCGATGGATCCTGGCAGGCTGGTGGAGGCGATGATGGCGGTGGAGGAGGGCAAGGTGCGGGGTGTGCATGGCGCACGCGCATGCAAGCGTCATGGGTTGGCGTCTTTTCAGGGCTATCCGATGCGACGCAGTCGGGAGAAGGGAGGCTTCAAGACACATGCATGCATGGGATCGCGGTGGCCTCGCCTTGTGTGTCTGTGTCGTTAAGCCCCATAATGTGTAGATGCTGTTATCCGTAGCCGCATGACATTGACGCAGCTCCGTATCAACCTTGCGTGCTGCCTGCCATGTCGCAGGAATGGCATGGCCTGGTGCGCATGCCGCCCAGCCTGCTGCCCGTCCAACAAGAGTCACCCGACGCCGCAAATCCCACCGCCCATGTCGTCCCCGCCGCCCCCGCTCCCGCCGCCGCTGCTTCTGCTGGCACTGTGCAAACCCTCATGGACGGCTGCGACACCACCCTCGCTCCTTTGGACGAGCGAGCCTCAACAGATTTTCCCTACCATGCCCCCGACCACCACCACCAACAACAACAACACCCTCTGCGCCGTTTCAAGGTCATCAGCCAGGCCTCATGCGGCACGTCAGCTGAAGGCCCGCCGTCTTCACGTGAAGCGCCCCCAGCTTCGGCAGCATCTGGTGCGGCGTCTTCAGCTGAGGTGTCCTCTGCTTGCTGGCCCTCCGGCCCGGTTGCCGCCTGCGACCCAAGCCGCTCTTTCCACATGAGCTACGTGTTGCAGCAGATGCGCGCCGCGGTGCGCCAACAGCACCAGCAACAAGTGCAGCAGCAGCAGCAACAACAACGATTGCCGCAGCAACAACAACTGGAGCAGCACCCCAGCCCCAACCACGCCGTGTCGCTGAATGCCGCTGGCTGTGGCTCCGGCGACAAGGCCTTATCAATGACGGAAACATGCCTAGGCGGCGACGCTGGTGCTGGTGGCAACGGTGACGGCGGTGGAAGCAACGCATATGCCATCCAACAGCCTTCTGCTTCGCCCGCCACTGCCGTACCTCCTCTCCAAGCCACCCAAGGCGCCTTGACGAAGCATCAACGCGGCCCGCCGCCGCCAGCCCGCAGCCACCTCGCGGCTCAAGCGTCATGCGCCGCAGCAGAGGCGGCCGCAGCGGGAACCACAGGGCTGCACGCCGGCGCGCAGGTCGGCTGTGTTGCGTCGGTGGTTCCGTACCTTTTGACCGGGGACGCCCCCTTAGGAGGGCCACAGGAACTGGGAGGCTGCGGGGCTCAGCAGTTGGACGTGTCGTCCTTCCACCGGCCTCAACCGCTGGCCGACGTGGGTGAAGAGGAGAGCGAGTTTGAGGGAGATGGGCTGAGCAGCACCGCCACCACCACCGTCGGCTTGGCGGACGAAGCATCGGAGAAACCCTTGGCAACCAGTTCTCAGCCTGCGCCTCAGCCGCCGCTGAAACCCACACCAGCACTCCTCGTCATCGAGACGAGCCCATGCGCTCAGTCCAGCCCCGGGCAGGATGTGTCTTCCCCGGGCCCCGGCTTTGCCCGTCTCAGCGCCGCCGCCGCCACCACTAGCCCGGGCAGCAGCCCCACCACCACCGCCACCGCCTCCCACATGGCTGAGCTGCTGCTGGCGTCCAAGGGCTCCCGGGCCTCGCGCTCCTTCACCGCGATTGCTCCCTCTTCCCTGGCTGCCGCCGGCCTCTCCGGCAACCCACCCGCCTCCGGCGGCGGCCGCGTTTCCCGCATGCACCGATCCCGCAGTGGCCTCGGCCTGCCAGACGCCACCACCGCCGCTGCTGCTGCCCCTCTCGTGACGCGGATGCGGTCGCTGAGCCGGCGCAGTCGCCGGCGGTCCAGCGTGGATGCCGTACAGCCCGGTGCTGCTGCGGCTGCGGCTGGTGGGGCGAGTCTGATGGTGGGATCCTCGGGTGTTGGGTTGCTGGAGGGCGGCGAGGGCCGGCTGGATGCGGGTCGGGAGCTGGAGCTGGAGGATGACCTTGCGGAGGGCAGGGCGCTGGACACGGGGCCGGATCACCACGTGGTGGCAGGCGCAGGTGGGGTGTACACGGCGGTTGTGACGCTTGGTTGTCGTGAATGTATATATTACATCTCTATATCATGGTTTAGAATGGGGTTGCACTGAGGATCCATGTGAATGGGCGTGCTTTTACAGTAACCCTTGCATGCCCGGCAACACCCTACGACTGCCTGCTCTTTACCTCATGTGCCCCTGTGCCCTCATGTGCCCCTCCGCACCTACCTCTGCTGCTGCCAGGCCGCCTGGGCGCCTCCTACCTGCTGGGCACCGCCACCACCAGCGAGGGCTTCACCATCGAGCTCTTCAGCCGCAGCATGGCGAACAGCGGCGGAGCAGGCGCAAGCGACAGCAACAGCGGCGCCAGCGGCAACACGGGCGGCAGCACACCGCAGGGCTGTAGCGGGGCAGCTGCAGCAGCAGCTGGTGCTGGTGCTGGTGCACCTGCTCAGGAAGTCAGAGGAGGAGCAGGTGGAAGCGGATCAAGGGATGCTGGTGAGGGCATGGGAGCAGGCGCAGAGGCTTCGGCGTATGGCGGTGCAGGAGTGGGCGCTAATGCCAGGGCTACCCTGGCGGGTTCGGAGCAGGATGTGCGGAGTGTGACCTTGCGGCTGAAGAGCCCTGCGACGACGTTGATGTCGCCTGGAGGGTGCGAGGCACATTGCTCGTCTGCCAGCGCTGGCCTGCATCAGGTATGCGGGGTAGCCGGGGACGGGTGATATGGGTTTTGGCACGGACTTCAGGGAGTCATGAAGCCGTCGGGTCTGGGAGTTTCAAGCGCGATGCCTTCTTTTGCCTTGCTTCACTTGGCCGTGGTCCGTTCCATCACGTGTCTCGCAAGGCGCCATGTCTGCGGCGCATGTACTTTGCATGCTATGCCTGCACCGTTTGTTAGTCCCTTCGGCTCCTTTATTAGCCCCATGCTTCACCATGTCAATTTCGTCATGCGCTCAGGGCATCAGCGCCGCGCTTAAGGCCTGGTACGAGGAGTTTCCCGCACCGCCGGAGGCATCCCAGGGACAGCAACCGGAGGCGGCGGGCGGCCGACTGCCGACGGTTGACGGCGGGGAGCTTGTTGGCGCCGTGTTCACCTGCGCCTCTCAGGAGAAGAGCCAACATGCCAGCGGTGTGCTGCCGGCATCTCAGCAGGCAGGAGATCCACAGCAAGCGTCAGTAACACCGCCCTCGCCGCTCCCTGACCGGGGTGGCAACGAGGCGGGCGAGGACAGCGAGGAGGAGGACTTGATCGCCGCTTCTGATACTCTGCTGTGGGCCGCACCACGCCATCCGGCGGCCCTGCATGTGCCGCCGCTGCTGAGCTCCCTCAGCAGTGAGACGCTGGCGGCAGTCGCGCCGGCCCCCACACACGCCTCGAACACTGACTACCAGCAGGAGCAGCAGCAACCGCAGCAACCGCCATCCCCGCCGCAGCAAAAGGGACTGGTAGCCGCGCCCTGGCCGCACTCCCGCGCCCCAGTTGTCGCATCCAGGGACCCCCGCACCAGAACCAGCGCTGTCTCCAAGCCAGCAACCTCCCCCGGACCTGCAGGGGCGCAGCAGCAGCCCCAGCAGCAGCAATCGTCCACGGACCAACCATGCGGTTGTGGCTACGGTGCTGACTCTCAGTCTCAGTTAAACGAGTTGGGTCTCATCCTGGTGGGTCCTGACAGCACGGGAGAGCGCGGAAGCGGCACGGAGGCCGGGCCCAACAGCAGCTCAGGTCCCCGCCCTGGCAGTGCCACCAACAGCCCGCAGTTCTGGTCCCTGGCAGGCACCATCCCGCCACCTCCCGGTGGTCCCCGTACCAGCCAAACTGGCGGCATGTTGGGTGCGGTGGCGGGCGGCCGGCCCCGCCTGCAGAGCACCCGCTTCCGTGTCCCACCGGCCCCGCCCCAGAGCGTCGCCTCGTCTGAAGGACCCCGAAGAAGCCAGGAACCGCCGCCTGTGATTACCATTGCCGGCGGTGTCACGGCTGCCACCTCTGTTGGCCTGCGGTCGGCACTGCCGGGGACCCTCAGCCCGCTCCTGGACCCGCGGCCTTCACCCTTCCTGGACTGGCAGCCGTTGCCACCGCCGCAGCCTCTGCCGCCACCCGCTGCCCACCTGGCCTCCTCCTGCTTCACTGCGGCAGATATGTTTGGCAATGTCTCCGCGCCACAAGCCCAGCCGCCAACCATGCCACTCCTTGCTGCCACGGCCGTCGCGCCACAAGCTATGCTCGAGGCCACCTCCTCCCTGTCTGAGCCCCCGGGCAACCCGCCATCTGGCCCCACCCACACTCGCAGCTGCAGCGCTGGCTACGGCCTGGGTGCTGCTGCTCCCGCGCATGACGCCCTGCACATGCACCTGGAGGCCTCCGCCGGCAGCAGCACGCTGCCCCTGCGCGCGCACCAATGCATGCACTCCATGCCCATCGCCTCCTCCAGGCCGCTGTCCCCCAGCACGAGCTACCAGAACGGCTTGCAGCACAACAGCCAGCACCAGGACCCCCGCTCGCGCCTGCGTGCCATGCTGCGGTCCCTGCTCAACACCAGTGTAGGCGGCCGCCGCCAAACACGTGGCCCGAGCGTCAACAGCAGCCACGCCCGTCGAACCGTCTGCGGCAGTGCTTTCGCAGCCTCGCATGTCAGCAGCGCCAATGCGGCGGTGGGAAGGCAGCCCCCCGGCAGCCCTTTTACACTGATTAGTCCTTCGCAGGTATGGGGCCCCTCCCTGCGCGACATTTCCTCCCTGGTGCCCACGCGCGCCCCCACGCCGCGGCAGGGACTGCTGCTCAGCCTGGAGACCACCCCGTCCAATCCAAACAGCGGCCTGGCCACCGCAGCCGCCAGCAGCCTCGTCAACCCCACCAACACGCTCGCTACCATGCAGTCCGCAGCCCCCCTCAGCGGCGCCGTGGCCGCTGCTCTGGCAGCCACTCCTCACCCCTCCCACCACACGCACATCACCTCCTCGGCTCCCCTGCCCGCCAGTGCAGCGCCGCCCACCACCCAGCCGCAGATCCCCTCTGTGGGCAGGACTAGCATGCTGCACTGCCCTAGCGCCGAGATAGTTGGGGGAGTGGCGCCGACCGATTCGGCGGCCACCTCGGGCCCTGGCACCGGCGGGCGTGCAAGGCACCGCTGGCATGAGGTGCGCGTGAAGCCCTGCTCCGACCCCATGAGCGGGGAGCGGGTGCTGCTGGTGGTGCAGACGGACGTCAGCAACCAGGTGGGCAGCACAGGGTGTGAGAACATGGGTTGGGAGCAACCATGGTGTGGGAAGCAGCGAGAGTCGGGAGGGTGGGTTGGGGTGAAGTTCTGGGTAAGGGGCGGACGGGCACGGGACACAGGTTGCATCTTGCACGAATCTGTTGCTTTGTCGTGAAGTCGTGATGCTTTGTTTTGCACATCGTACCGGTATCTTACCAGTACCCACGCAACGGGGGTGTTACTGACGCCTCGCCGCTCCTTGCATCTCCTCCTCCCCCACATCTCCTCTTTCACCTCCTCCCGCCTCCCCCTCTCCTCCCCAGGTCCGCGCCGAGGAGGTGCTGGCCCGGGTGCTGGAGGCGGAGCACCGGCTGCTGGCGGACATCTTCCCGCGCCACGTGGTGCGCCACATGACTGCGGCGCGCAACAGCGATGCGGAGCGCCGCCGCAACGGGCTGCAGCTGCTGAGGAACATACAGGTGGGGGGGGGTGGGGTAGATCGCATAGATAACCGTAGTACAAGGGCGGGTGTTATAACTGAGCCACGACAGGCATTTACCGCAGCTATAGAAGACCGAGTGCAGGTAGGGCAAAGGCAGGGATAGGCAGGGCAATTGACGGGCAGGGAGGCATATGGTTTGCGTTTCCCCGGCCAAGCTCTGCATGTGTGTTCTGGCCCGGCCTGGCGGGTAGCTGGCCGGCCTTCCGTAGCTTACAACCCTTACTGACCCCTTTTCGCTTGCCTGGTTGCCGCACAGGATCCTGCGGCGCTGGCGACCTCACACGAGTGCATCACGGTGCTGTTCGCGGACATCAAGGGCTTCACCGAGATGTGCAAGGAGGTGCCGCCCGCCACTGTCATGACCTTCCTCAACGACCTGTACACGCGACTGGACAGGTGGAGCGGGGCGGGAGGGAGGAGAAGGAAGAGAGAGCGGTGCCAGTTGGCCCGTCCAGCTGGAAGTCACAGGGGCCGCAGCCGAAACCTTCCGCGCCTTGACCGACAACTAGCCATACCCGAGCACCGCACGCTTCACGCTCCTCTACCTGTTGCTCACTCACTCAGCCTCATCGCATCCTACCCCGCCCCTTCCTCTTCTACGCTGCGCAGCCTGACTGACGTGTATGGCGTGTACAAGGTGGAGACCATCGGCGACTGCTATATGGTGGCGGGTGGCCTCATGGCTCGCGACGAGGACGGATTCGGGCAGGCGGTGCGGCGCGGGGAGGATCCGCCCGACCCGCTGCATGCGATGCGGGTGGTGTCGTTCGCAAGGGCCATGCTGGCGGAGGCGGCGCGGGTGCGGCTGCCAAACACCGGTCAGAGCGTGCAGGTGCGGGTCGGGACGGGACAGGGCGGTAGGGAGGAGGGGGTCTTGGGGGTGGCGGGGCAGGAGGTGTGTTTCGGTGGACGGGACTGAGGGGACTGAGGAAGCGTAGTGTACCAGTAGTTGCACCACAGCTGACGTGGGTTGCTTTGGTTTCTCAACGGGGCAGAGTCTGTGCCGTCAACTCTTAGCTCACAACCCTGCCGCCTGGTGCTCCTCTTCACGTGCGGTGGTGCAGATGCGCATCGGCATCCACAGCGGCCCCGCCACTAGCGGCGTGGTGGGTCAGAAGATGCCTCGCTTCTGCCTGTTCGGCGACACCATCAACACGGCCAGCCGCATGGTGAGTTGCTGTGCCAGCGCAGCGCCACTTGCACGCAGCTGATACAAGCCGACCAGGAAGATGTTCTTCTCCACGCTGACGCCCCAGTGTCAGAGAGTTCCTAGCGGTGTCTAAACCCTGTACCCATGTGCTGACCTAGCATTCACTCCTCCATCCTAAACAACCAAGTATCCGTCCTCCTGACCTCCCAGTTCACCCCTTCCATTGTCCTTTCCCCACCCGCGCCCACGCCCTCAGGAGAGCACAGGTCGGCCCGGCTGCATCCACGTGTCCGCGTCCACGCGCAGACTGCTGCCCGCTGGGGAGGACGAGCTGGGCTGGGTCAGCACCGGGGGCGTGGAGGTGCGTGACGAGAGACGTGACAAGGGAGGGGGGAGTCTCTCGGGCATTTGCTTGCCTTGCAGCACACACCTGGCCTTGTCCTTTCCAGCGTCCTGATTATTCAGGGCCCACCCTCCACGCCCCGACCGCCCTCATTAATTCTTGAATCTCGTGTCTTGCCTCCTTTCCTCGTCCTTCACATACTGAACATCAGCGCAGTACGCTCATTCCCCTAACCCCGCGCCTCCTCCTGCCCTTCCCCCTACTCCTCCAGGTCAAGGGCAAGGGCCGCATGGAGACGTTCCTGTGGGAGCCCCAGTCGGAGGGTGCCACACGGCAGCGCCGGGAGCTGCAGCAGCGCGCCATGCTGCTGGGCACGCTTCCGGACGCCGCCCTGCAGAGCCTTGCGGCAGGGGCGGCGGTGGTGGTAGGAGGAGTAGGGGGCGCGGGAACGGCCGGTGGTGCAGCGCCTGGGCAGATGACGGCGCCCGCTGTGTCTGAGGTGGGTCTCGGGTCCAGCGCGTCCGGCAGCAGCAGTGGACGGCTGGCGGCGGGCGGAGTCGGTGGGTCCCTGCTGGCTGCAGGACGAGGAGGAGGAGAGGGTACGGGAACAGGAGGGGCAGGGATGCCAGCAGCGGGAGCAGGAGGGATGGTGGCGGCGGCGTCGGTGCAAGGCGCTGGAGGGACACGACTGATGGCTGAGGGGGCGTGCTCCTCGTCTGCACCGAGGGACCGCGCTGTTGATCAGTTTATGCGTGGACGTATGTCTTGTCGTGATAGTGGCAATAGGGGCTATTAATTGTGAAGTGACGCGCGCAGGTTCAGGTTGTTCGGGGCTGAGGTGCCTCCAATCCCGCTTTGACTATACTGCATTAAAATATTCGCTTAAACCGCTTGCTATATACCTTTGTTTGTTGTGTTAGATCTACACTGCTTGCGGAAATACTTGCCTAGTGCGTGCGGCCACTAGGTGGCCACCTATGTGCTGTTACTCCAGTCCTTTTGTTCAAATGTTGGACCCCCATGCAAGCCACTGCTCGAAAAGAATGAGCTGAAATGTGACATCTGCTCTGTTTGGGGCGGCGTGAAAGTTTCTTTGACACGATGCCGGCCCTGATGGTGATGGCAAGCACACAAGGAGAGAACGACGGAGTGCGATGGTGTAAGGGGTTCCAGAAGGTGGTTCCTCCTGTTCACCAGAGGTGCACCCGCTGGGCGTCTACCTCTGTCTTGGGATCTTACGATGAGAAACCTGGAGGGAGCTGGGCCATCACACTTGCTGCTTCTCCTTGAGCATTTAATCATGCAATGGCGTGCAGGCCGTAGATATATGGGCATCAGGCCGTTTGCAAGGAGGGCAGTTCTGTGTATTTCCGGTTCCGCCTGCTTCTCGTATTTTGCTGTTGCTGCAAGTGGTGGGGCCGGCGCTTAGAGCATAGTGCGAAGATCATGTCTTTTCCTGTGACCTTTGCTTTACTGCTGCAGTGTCTGTGAACCAAACAAAAGAGGTGTGTATGAACCTTCGAATGTCTTTCCTTGGCGTGCATACTTGCTGCCGCTGGAGGTAAGGGATGGCGTGCGGTGCAGCCGCTGTCTCCTTCATTCCGATGTGGCCGTGTGTTGGCCAATTCAAACATAATCCTCACCTGCAGCGTCGGGTGCTGCTTGCAGGGTTGGTTACAAGCTTTGTCAATTAGTAAGAAAGTGTGTGGGGTGATTTGGAATGGATTTGGGTCTTTCATGTCCTCTTCCGAATCCTTACCTTGGTGGCGGCCTATCTAATTTGGATGTTTTAATTAAACAGTGTGCTTTTGTAGCCCTCCCCGTTTGGCTCTATGCTGGATTGATAGTATTCTCTTCTGGGCTCATGTCCTTTAGTCTGATGTAGTGCAGGTATCCGCTGCTGCCTATCATCATCTTAAGAATAGGAAAGGAGTGCCTTGGCAAACGAAGGCTTGGTCGAGCATGCCCAAATTGGGAAGGTAATGCACATGGGACTGGTTTGGTGGTGGTGGTGGTTGTGATGGTAGCAATGATAGCGGTGATACTGTCAAACAAGGCTTCCAATGAGGCTGGCGGGTGTAACGGGGTGCATGGGTGGCTTGCTGCCTGGATTGCTGGATGTGGGGGGCTGGGGGTTACATTTGTTGGTACCAAGACTTGGATCCGTTCCAGTTCAGCTCGGTGCAGTGATGATGATGGTGCAATAAATGCTTGGTAAATGATGGGCTGATGGGATAGCATGGTGGCTCAGCAGTGCTGGGGATAAGTCGTGATGTTGTTGGTGGTCGTGGTGGTCATGGTGGTGGCTTAGGACGGACAGGCAGATGTGAGTCTAGCCTATAGTGTCTCTAAGAGGGGTGCCGTTGATGTAAGTGTCACAGGCCGGATTTCAGGCCAATATTGTCCGCTGCTGTGGGTGCACCACTGGGTGTTACAAAATGGCTGGTCCTTTCCTAAGGGTGCGGGGTGGAGGGTGCAACAGTGGCGGACAGCGGACCTGCTGGGAGCTTGGCGCCCTGGTTTGGTTATTGGTTTTCATGGATGCTGCAGAAAATAGTCAGGGCTGTTTAGCTTTGCTGGGGCGCCACCAGCCCTCTGCTGAAACAAGCTGTTAGTGGCTCTGATGCTGAACTTTGGCTTATCCTCCTTGCCAAGGTGATGTAGGCGAGGAGCATGTGGGCTGAGTGCTGAGGAATGATGTTGTGAACAATGCTACCCTTTTCTGAAACTGTTATAGTGTTATTGTTGGCAAGCGAGTACCCACGGCCTGTTGTTTCATCAAGCAATGAAGCTCCATGCTGTCAACTGTTAAAATATTGCTAATGCTTATAAGGGAGAAGAAGAGGTGTTCCTACACGGCGAACGACTGGAATCCTATGTGGTGGTACTGACGAGAGTGATGTTGTGGTGCTGGTAGGGCCGGTGTTGGCCCTGATGAATGTGGTGAGGTTCATCCAATGCCGTGTTCCTGGTTGGACCTGGTCATCTGCTCCAACCATACACGTACCCTTTTGGCAGCGTTTAGGTGGTTCCCATGAAGCCGATTATCCTAACAATGGAAAGCAGTGTCCGTGGTGGTGGTGGTGGGTGATGGAGAGAAGCGCTGCATTGTTCTTACTGTTTGCGCGAGCGATGTTAACACACCTCATGGATTTCATTCTCCCTTGTGCTTTGACACTCGCCTCTTTCTGCTATGGATGTCCTTGCGAGCTGTTGGGGGAGGGTGTTCTGGTTGAGTGATGAGAGGTTCTTTGCTGTGTCCCATGGGTCGGTGGGCTGCCTGCATTACTGGCGGCACTTGCTCTGTGAACTTTTGAAGATGCCTCGGATGAAGGGGTTAAACTGAACTGATTCCTCGATGCTTCGGAAGGGGTTGGGGGCTTTTACCTGGATATGGCAAACAGTGGCCATGGGGGTGTGTGGATGCTGGATGGGTTCCTCTTCTTGTTGCTCGAAGCTACTGGTGGTGTGTATCATCCCTCCGTCCTGATATATTTTCTATGACCATAATGAGAGGGGTTCTGCATGTGTAGGATGGTGATAGGCAGTATTCAATACAAGCGACCATACCTTCTTTTTTGCTGTAAAAGAAGGCAGCTGCAGTATGTATGCGTATGGGGGGATCCCGTAATTACCCGGGGAGGCTCTCCTTGTAGGGTTAAAAGGCAACCAAACGTTTAACCAGTCCACGTGTCAAAGCAACGTTTTTCTCTGCAAGTACGACATTTCTCCTTCACCATAAGGAGTTCCGTTGTCGTGAGTCTCGTGAGCAAACCCCAGCCGGCCAGCACCAGAAGCATGGTAAAAGAGCCCGTGCGATGGGTACAGTCGCAGTACTGCACGGGCAGCACCCGTCACAGCATTCGTCCACATGTAAAACACGCGAATGACCCATGGGTCAGGAGAGGATTTGGTTTGCACTCCAGAGGTGCACAACCTTGATAACCTTGCTCTGTTTTGCCTAATCATAACTAAGACTACTCCGCCCCACATCAACCAAGACCAACTCCTCTCCTGAAGTCCTCCCCCGCCTCTCAATCGTTATGCAAACACACTCGACCACATGGCCAGTTATCTTGACACAATCAACTGCAACACCTCCACAACCTTCCACCGTACTGTGTCATGCATTTGGGACACAGCCTACCCTTGCTCCAGGCAGCCCCGTCATACATGTGCCACTCCCTAACCCCACACACCAGACCCTGCTCCTGCCGCTCCACCCACATCCCCACCCATACCCAAGCAGCCCCTGCCCTCCGCTCAATCCCCTCTCCCTTCCGCTCTACGATCCCCTACATGTAGTACAGCAAGTTCTTGAGGCGCTGGTGGATGCCTACAAAGTGAGCGCCCGCCCCCCCTGCCGCCTCCCCCAGCTCCCCGCCACCCAGTGAGGCGACCTCGGAGGCGCTGTCGGAGGAGGAGGCGGCCTGTGTGTGGGGGTAGGGGAGGGAGTAAAAGTGGGGGAGGAGAGAGTGAACAGGATGTGATAGTTGGGTAAGGCAAAGGGGGTTGATAAGATGGTTGGCTGGGGTGTATGCAGTCGGGGGTGGTGACATCCCCTGCTTTCTGAACAACCGGAGCTCTGTAGTCTTCCTCTTCGCTCCCGTCCCCCCTGCTGCTCCTGCCCTACTCTTACCAGCAGCATGTGGGCGCGGTATGCGGCTCGGTCGGCATAGTAGGCGGGCGGGCAGTAGCTCACCGACCTGGCAGCAGTGGCAGGGAGGGAGGGAGGTGAAGGTGGGGGGGTATGCAATGCGGTGGAGTGGGGTGGGGTGGGGTGGGGTGGGGCTGATGGTATGATGTATGCACCCCTTTCTGGGGTCCTAGGAAACTTGTTCCTCCTGCCCGTTTCTCTCACGCAAAACTTTGCATTCCCCGCGTACCGGTACCCTTTCCCCTCCTCAGCCCTCCCTCCCCCCTCACTTGGTCGCCCGCTGGTGCAGGTAGCACAGCCAGTACGTCAGCAGCTGGATGCCGTCGGCCCCGAAGCCAATCTCGTCAATGAGGACATGGTAGTGTGCCGGCTTGTTGGTACCGGCACCCTGAGGTGGGGAGGAAGGGCGGTGGGTGTGCTTACTGGCCACAAGCTACCCACTCTTTCTGCTGAGACTGCCCTTTCTGTGCTGGATAACGTGCTGGATACCTATATGCACACACACATGCAGCTCTTAATGCAGTTCTGATGCAATTCTTTCTCAGTTTCCCTTGCTTCTCCTCCGCCTCTCTCCCCCTGCATGCCCCCACCTTCAGCCCTGCGTGGCTGTTGAGGTAGAAGTCGAAGGCATCCGGCGAGGTGATGCCGCGGTCCACCACCGTGCCCGGCACCACATTGCCGCTGTGGATGAGGGGTTGAGGGGTTGAGGGGGGAGGCAGGAGGTCATTGGGGTTGGGAGGTAAGGTAGGTTGGGCCTTCCTGGCCAGGTGTACGGCACTGTTAACAGGTTCAGTACTTCAACCAGTAGTGTATCTCCATCACTGGCAGCGGAGCCCCGTGGTTGCTAGTTAACCACCGTTAAATGGCAACAAGGGGACTCCGCTGCCAAAGATGGAGATACACTACTGGGTGAAGTACCGACCCGCCAACAACCGACCTAGCATGGCCACCAATCAGTCATCGTTAACGGATGCATCCCTGCCTCGCACTCCTGCCTCGCACTCCTGCCTCGCACTCCTGCCAACCCTTTCTCCATTCGCAAATCCCAGCCCCAGTCCCAGTCCCCCTTCTCTCACTTGCTGTCCTCCGCCACCCTCTCCCCCGGGAGCAGCCGCGTGTTGTGGCGCTTCTGCACCACCACGAACGTGATGGCGGGCCGGTAGGCAGCCTCGAGGTCCGAACAGGCCTGCGGGATGGGGGTGGGGGTTGGGAGAGGGATGGGGATGGGGGAGGGGTGAGAATGGGGGTGGGAGAGGGGTGGCAAGAGGGGGTGCATAGAAAGGTCGGCAACGGACTCCCACTTCCTGGTACCGGTACTCTTGATACCACCCCTCTGTCCCCTCCTTCCCCTCCTTCCCCTCCCAACCCCCTTCATGTTGTGCCAAGTTGCCTATCCCCTTTACCGTCTCTCCCCTCCCCTTCCGCTTCTCTCATCCACTGCTTGCCCCCTTCCTCCTCACGCCCATTACCTCCCCAAAGGTTAAGCCTCCCCTTCCGCTCCCTAACCCCCTTGCTCCCCTCCCTACTCCGCTCACCTGCCGTATGGCCACATACTCGTCCACCATCACCCTCTCGAACTCCCCCTCGCTCACTCCGTCCCGGTACATCACCAGGCGGGCGGGCTTGGCCTGCCTGCGGGGGAAACCAAGAAAACTGGCTGTGTGTTAAAAAAAGGTGTTGGTGGCTATACTGTGATGTGTATTTGTGTACTGAGCAGGACGGGGGGACTCAGCTGCAGCCAGCCATCCACTCCACCCAGGCTACCTGCTGCTGCCGTAAGTCCGTAAAGTGGTGGTGCCGTAAGTGCATTTGTGTGCATGTGCCAACCATTGCTTACACTCACCCCTGCACTGCCTTCTCTCTCCCAGAACACAACACGTGTGCACCTCATGTCGTACAAAACACACACACTCCCCCACCCCCCTTCCCCCCCACGCCCTGCCTGTTAGCCTGGTAGAACTCCAGCAGGAGCTCCTTCACCGCGCCCCGCATGCCGCTGATCACCTCCTGCCGCCCCGCCTGCACCATCACCCGGCTGCCCCAGCGGCCCATGCCGGGGTCCAGGCTGCCCACCACCGCCGCCACGGAGGGGTCGTGCAGCGGGGAGGAGGAGAAGGAGGCGCGGGAGGGGGTGCCGGTGGGGTGGGTGACGTCAGCACCCAGGATCATGAAGGGAAGTGGGCGGTCGCCGCCTAGGACCGGGAGGTGCCTGAGGAAGAGGGGTGGGGGGGACGGGGCGGGGAAGGGAAGGGAGGAAAGGGGGATGGGAGATAAGACACCCCCCACATGTATGCATGTACCCAAAACCTTAAACATACACGTCCGGCCCCGCTGAAAGCCCCCCTGAGCTGCCATTCCTACCTGGCGCCCCCGGCCAGGGTGACGTTGACGCCCCCCAGCTTCCCGTTGATCTTCATTGCAACGTTCGCGCAGTACTGCAGGCCGCCACAGCGCTTCCCCGCCTGCTGCCGCCCCACCTTGGCCTGGAGGGGCAGGCGGTGTGTGTTAAAAAAACTGGCCGCGAGTGTGTTTATGGGGTTACTGAAGAAGGACCAGAGTTAATGAGAATGGTGTGGAAGAGGCGTGGAATTGTATGCTTGCTTCTGAGAGGGGCAAGAAAACACTGCTGAACTCATATGCTCTATTATATCTGCATCCTATTATTAACTTTCCCCACATCAGGATGATGATGTAGCTATAGCCAGAGCCCACATGGCCTTTCTCCCTCTTGGCCTCCTTACCTTGGTGCCCGCCACCACTTGCGAGGGAATGCCCAGCTCGATGTCGGAGACACGCTTGATCTCCTTGTATTCATCAAGCAGCTGGGGGACAAGGTGTGTACGGCAGGGATTTGTGAGGGGTGTACGGCAGGGATTTGTGAGGGGTGTACGGCAGGGATGTGTGAGGGGTGTACGGCAGGGATGTGTGAGGGGTGTACGGCAGGGATGTGTGAGGGGTGTACGGCAGGGATGTGTGAGGGGTGTACGGCAGGGATGTGTGAGGGGTGTACGGCAGGGATGTGTGAGGGGTGTACGGCAGGGATGTGTGAGGGGTGTACGGCAGGGATGTGTGAGGGGTGTACGGCAGGGATGTGTGAGAGGTGTACGGCAAGGGCAAGGATCTTGAAGGGCGGAGACAGCTAATTACTCCATACGTGCTCATAGCAGCTCTTTTCCCCCTTCCCACCCCCTTTAGCCCTCCCGCCCCTTAACAAACCCCTTGGCAGCATTCAAACACAATGGCACGCACGCATTCACTCCTGCAAACCTTGTCGGGCAGTACAACAAGGATGAGCTGAGCCGGCTTGCCGTACACCGCCCTCGCCGCATCCACCGCCGCCCGCATGGTCGCCTCAATTCCCCGGTTGTGGCCGCGTGGGTCCACATGCCACTGCACCGGGGGGGAGGCTCCCGGTCGGCTCGGGTCACATGCCTGGGGGGCAAGCGGGAGTCGGAGGGGGCCGGGTGTGTGTGCTAACTGGCCACAAACACTGGCCGCGAAATACACTGAATGTGTGTAACTTACAAGAATAGCCTTCCCCCCAATTTGCCCCCTGCCTCCATCCCCCGCCCTCTGGCTCACCACTGCCATGCCGCAGTTGCGCATCGCGGTGCACAGGTCCCGCAGGAAGATCCACAGCGAGCCCTCCCCGGAGTAGTCACACTCCTGGAGTCGGGGAGGAGGAGGGGCAAAAGGGGGGGGGGGGGTTTCGTCTGGTTGGGTTACCGACAGTTGGACACCGGTAAGTAATGGACACATGTACAAATGCAGTAATGACTTGCGGCTGGATTTGGTAACACACAGTAGATTTAACACATACATCGATACATGGCTACGGTCATACGCTATGTCATTACAGGTGCATGGCTCAGCTGTTTTCACGGACGCAATCAACCTCCTGTCATGCA